GGGTAATTCTGGAGTTGATTCGCTTCTGTATGTAATTCCTTTATCAACTTGGTTTGCGTCGTCATTTTGTTTTTTAACTTCGCCTTGCTCTTCGTCGCGTCTTGATGTTGTTGACTCGCGAATTTCAAATGTCCCACTCTTTTCCTCAATTTCATCTCATCGCGACTCAATGGTTCCTTTTTCTTTTGAAAAATTCGCTTGAACATTTTCGATGTTATTTGTTTTCGTTTTCCAATTTCCTTGTCTTCGTTCTGCGTCTTCGTTCTGCTTCTTCGTTCTGCGTCTTCGTTCTGTGTCTTCGTTCTGCGTCTTCGTTCTGCGTCTTCGTTCTTCGCCTTCGTTCTGCGTCTTCGTTCTGCGTCTTCGTTCTGCGCCTTCGTTCTGCGCCTTCGTTCTGCACCTTCGTTCTGCGTCTTTGTTCTGCGTCTCCGTTCTGCGTCTTCGTTCTGCGTCTTCGATCTGCGTCTTCGTTCTGCGTCTTCGTTCTGCGCCTTCGTTCTGCGCCTTCGTTCTGCGCCTTCGTTCTGCGTCTTTGTTCTGCGTCTTCGTTCTGCGTCTTCGTTCTGCGTCTCCGTCCTGCGTCTTCGTTCTGCGTCTTCGTTCTGCGCCTTCGTTCTGCGTCTTCGTTCTGCGTCTTCGTTCTGCGTCTTCGTTCTGCGTCTCCGTTCTGCGTCTTCGTTCTGCACCTTCGTTCTGCGTCTTCGTTCTGCGTCTCCGTTCTGCGTCTTCGTTCTGCGTCTTCGATCTGCGTCTTCGTTCTGCGTCTTCGTTCTGCGCCTTCGTTCTGCGCCTTCGTTCTGCGCCTTCGTTCTGCGTCTTTGTTCTGCGTCTTCGTTCTGCGTCTTCGTTCTGCGTCTCCGTCCTGCGTCATCGTTCTGCGTCTTCGTTCTGCGCCTTCGTTCTGCGTCTTCGTTCTGCGTCTCCGTTCTGCGTCTTCGTTCTGCGTTTTCGTTCTGCGTCTTCGTTCTGCGCCTTCGTTCTGCGTCTCCGTTCTGCGCCTTCGTTCTGCGCCTTCGTTCTGCGTCTCCGTTCTGCGTCTTCGTTCTGCGCCTTCGTTCTGCGTCTTCGTTCTGCGCCTTCGTTCTGCGTCTTCGTTCTGCGTCTTACTTGTGTCAATTTCGGCCTTTTTTAACTCTTACTTTATTTTGGGTAATTCTGGAGTTGATTCGCTTCTGTATGTAATTCCTTTATCAACTTGGTTTGCGTCGTCATTTTGTTTTTTAACTTCGCCTTGCTCTTCGTCGCGTCTTGATGTTGTTGACTCGCGAGTTTCAAATGTCCCACTCTTTTCCTCAATTTCATCTCATCGCGACTCAATGGTTCCTTTTTCTTTTGAAAAATTCGCTTGAACATTTTCGATGTTGTTTGTTTTCGTTTTCCAATTTCCTCGTCTTCGTTCTGCGTCTTCGTTCTGCGTCTTCGTTCTGCGCCTTAGTTTTGCGCCTTCGTTCTGCGCCTTCGTTCTACGCCTTCGTTCTGCGTCTTCGTTCTGCGTCTTCGTTCTGCGTCTTGATGTTGTTGACTCCCGAGTTCAAATGTCCCACTCTTTTCCTCAATTGCATCTCATCGCGACTCAATGGTTCCTTTTTCTTTTGAAAAATTCGCTTGAACATTTTCGATGTTATTTGTTTTCGTTTTCCAATTTCCTCGTCTTCGTTCTGCGCCTTCGTTTGGCCTTACCATCATATCTATTTTTAGGGCGACAGTGCAGTCTACCGGAGCCGTTGGTTGGACGTTGCGATGTTCATCACTTGGGTATTCGGGGGGTTCTTCCCCAGACCTTTTGTTAGGCGTTTCGTCCTTCACCTTTCGAGTCAATTCTTCTACCTTCCTCAGGGACTCGATTGTCGCTTTTTCTATTTCTTGGCGTAATCTGTCGTTGTTTTCTCTTAAGCGATTTAATTCCCCATTTCTGAAAACTCATTTCTCCCTCATCTTTCTTGTGTTGCTTGTCTGAATGCCGAAGGAGGCTGCCCCCTTTTCTCGACGCACCTCTTCTCCTAGGACCGGATAAACATTTGTCGTCGGGACGGCAGGGGTGGTCAGGGTGGGTGTGGCCGTCGGTTCTTCTCCTGATCTCATTGCTTCGCCGTGAGCTTTCCCCAACGCATATTTTTCTGCTACCAATGCCTCAACATCCTGTATTGACACTTTTTTTGCTGCTTGATTTGCTGCTTTCGTTAGGACGGCTACTCCCTTTTGAGTCCGTTCGACGTCAATTTCGGCCTTTTTTAACTCTTACTTGCTCGTCTTCGTAATTCTGATTGGAGTTGATTCGCTTCTGTATGTAATTCCTTTATCAACTTGGTTTGCGACGTCATTTTGTTTTTTAACTTCGCCTTGCTCTTCGTCGCGTCTTGATGTTGTTGACTCACGAGTTTCAAATGTCCCACTCTTTTCCTCAATTTCATCTCATCGCGACTCAATGGTTCCTTTTTCTTTTGAAAAATTCACTTGAACATTTTCGATGTTATTTGTTTTCGTTTTCCAATTTCCTCGTCTTCGTTCTGCGTCTTCGTTCTGCGTCTTCGTTGTGCGTCTTCGTTCTGCGTCCTTTTTGGTTCCTTTTTCTTTTAAAAAATTCGCTTGAACATTTTCGATGTTATTTGTTTTCGTTTTCCAATTTCCTCGTCTTCGTTCTGCGTCTTCGTTCTGCGTCTTCGTTCTGCGTCTTCGTTGTGCGCCTTCGTTCTGCGTCTTCGTTCTGCGTCTTCATTCTGCGTCTTCGTTCTGCGTCTTCGTTCTGCGTCGTCGTTCTGCCTCTTCGTTCTGCGTCTTCGTTCTGCGTCTTGATGTTGTTGACTCGCGAGTTTCAAATGTCCCACTCTTTTCCTCAATTTCATCTCATCGCGACTCAATGGTTCCTTTTTCTTTTGAAAAATTCGCTTGAACATTTTCGATGTTATTTGTTTTCGTTTTCCAATTTCCTCGTCTTCGTTCTGCGTCTCCGTTCTGCGTCTTCGTTCAGCGTCTTCGTTCTGCGTCTCCGTTCTGCGCCGTCGTTCTGCCTCTTCGTTCTGCGTCTTCGTTCTGCGCCTTCGTTCTGCGCCTTCGTTCTGCGACTTCGTTCTGCGTCTTCGTTCTGCGTCTTCGTTCTGCGTCTTCGTTGTCGTCGTTGACCCACGTTGGGCGCCAAGTTTTTCAGTGGTTTTCTCTGCTTGACGACGTCGATCATCTACAGGTGATTCCACTTGGTTCGGGGGTCCGACAACAATTCTTTAGTCTTGATTAAATCTAGTTTTCATATTATTAACCTAATTTTATCTATTTTCCTTATGTTTAAATCTTAATACAACCAAATACTCCAATCATTAATTGGAACATGACTCTTGGAATATAATTTAAAAAAAAAGAGATGCCAATAAAAATTTCCAATATCATATTTGCGTTAATTATTGAAAACAATACACATCACATTAAAAACCAATCAAAATATCCAGCATTTCATTGCATATGAATCACAAAAATCAAGACTATTTTATCCAACGACAGAAACATAGTATAGGGTTGCATTATATTTTTCATATCTCGTTTTTTTTTTATTTTTTGTGTAGGGTTTTAAATTTACAAGTTGAGATATGCACCATTAAATAATCGTTACTAAAACAAACAATTATAGCAATACACATACATGATAATAAACATACAATAAAAATAAAATTCAAATTGGCCACACACTATACTATTCCTCAATAATTTAAAAAAAAAAAAAAAAAAAAAAAATTTGTATCCTTTTATTTTGGGTTTTGTTTGTTCTTCGTGATTTCGCTTCGCAGTTACGACAATCCTTTGATTTGGTAATCCTTTCCTTGATCTCGAGGAAGCACGAGAAGTACTCAGCGTCTCAGGTAACTTTGTTCTTTTTTCATCGCTGGTTCGCAACCATTCAGCTATATAATCAATTTCTCCTCTCTTTTCAGATAGTCTTGGCATATTAAAGTTCTCAACCCTGTCTGGTGATGATTTATCTTGGTCTGACTGGGTGGTTGGTGTTTGTATCAAAGATTTATTCACCAAGTTAATAACTCTTGTTTGTGCCGGACACATTTAATCATCAATCTTTCTTAAGTTTTCTATAAAAATAAGTTCTATCTGTGTAGAGGCATCGATAGAATTCTTCAGTTTCTTTATAATTGCTGTAATTTCAATTTTTACTTTCTGACATTCTCCATCATTTTCAATTTGAAGGTTGTTCCCCATCGCAAGTGTCCTTTCAATATCACTTATTAAACTTCTAAACGTTATACTTCAGAATAGCGCAGTCCTGCTCTCAACACATCCTTTTTTCAAATGGATCTGGGTGTGTCATTGGTCATATATTTATTTGCTTTCACTTGGTTATTTCATTATAGTTGCAAGCGAGAGAGAGAAAAAATCTCTCTCACGTTTATCATCCTATTGTGGGAGTCATTCTATGTACTCAGGAAATGTTTGCGTGAGAACGCGCAGCTGTCCTTAGGGAGTCATTTTATTGCTTCCGGGAATTGAATTGTGTAACTTGTGTTTGCTCAGGTCATAAACCCGCATTCTCTGAGTCAAACATGTGCAGGTTTTTTTTGAATACAAATGAATACAAATCAGCTGATATAAGAGAGTATTGCACCATTATTGCCAAAACTTTCTCTCGGTCAGGGCTCTTAATATAAACAAACAAATAAATAAACGAGAGCAAGTCCGAACATGTTTATCGGGACCAGAATAACTAAAATTAATAGGTTAATTCACGAAAGTTAAATTTCTGCCTGTAACAAAGATTGCTGGCTTTTTCTATAAAATTACCGTTCCCCTTGTTTCTGTGAAATATTAATTTTACTTCAAATTTTTCTTTGCTGTAAAATATAGAATTTACCTAAAATGTATTGTTTTTTACTATGTCAGAGAATGGTATTCTCTATTTTTTCTAATGCTATTTAAAACCTATGTCAGCGAAAAAAATGCTTTTCAACACAAAGAAAAATCTTAAATTTTAAAACTTCCAACCGATTGAATTAATTTTTTAGGTTACGAAAATATTCTCATTGCATCACTGGGCAAGAGTTGGTGGATTGGTTACTTAGAAATGATGTGGCTTCAACTAGAGCTCAGGGCTGTGCTATCGGACAAGCTTTGTACGAAGGAAAATGGCTAAAACCAGTTGTTGATATCGGTGGGGTAAGTGAATATATCCATTTTGTTCAAATGTTATTTTTCATATGAAATGGGCACAATAGCATAGTGTTTAAAGTGGTACCCTAACTGTATGGGCGTTTCCCCAACCCTTGACCCAAACGAAATTCACCCTTCACTATTGCGAAATTTTGTTTCCCTATTGTGCTAGTGTTTTGGAGAGTTGGCACCTACAAACTGATTTACATGCTCAAAACGGGTATTTTTTATTGAAATATACAATACAACCATGTGCCGCCTAACCGTACTAATACTTAATTTTACCCTAGTGTATCGCAGATTTTCCGGGACTAATTTTTGATTATTGCAACTAAACTAACACTTATCGAAAGACTAAATTAAAATACTCCATTTACTACTAATTTTTGATAACACGACTGAAAACTGACAAATAACACACAAAACTGCGAAAACGAGGCAATGTTTACAACCATAACTTAAATATCTGCCTGAGCGAACAGAGTTTTTTAATGAGTGGCGGCAAAAAATACAATTGTGATGTCATCGTTTACTATTTGCGATTGGTTATTGTTACGGAAATAAACAAGGAAATCAATGCTCTGGTTTGATTATCATGCACACCACCCGTCACCCAGAATGTAATAAATTTGGTAGTCAATGCTGAAGTGGAAAGAAAAAATAGCTTCTTTCAAAATTGTAGTTTTTTTCATATTGTTAGATGTCAGTGGCTTCTTGTACAGGGCCCTTCCAGAGCGAAGAGGCGTAAATATGCATCATGAAAAAAAATCGTGCATTTCTGATTTTGTTTTTTGAAACATTTTCTAGGTTTTTCAAGATGGGTACAGCCTGTTTCAAAGCGGCAAACGTCACAGTATGGTAGGCGGTAGTGGAAATCGAATCGAAATATACCCAGATCACTTCGCAAATTTTTCGGACGAAAAAGAATCCGAAGGACTGCATCTGTTATCGGAACAAGAACCAATTTGGGTGCAAGAAATTAAATGTGAGGATGATCGAGACGAAGATAGGATTGATGATTTTCACGAAAAAACTTCGGAATCGGAATTGACGTGGAGTGATGGTATGGGGAAAATTTGTGCCTGTATTGTTTTATGTAGATAAATTATTTTAACTTAGGCTCTTTGCAAAAGTCATGTCACAATATTTCATTTTCAAAATCAATAAAATTCGGCGGCCTTATGAACTTTTGAGGAACATTTCCGTCTTTAATTAATGAAAATCTGATGTAGATTACCCTATGAGAAGAAAAAAAAATTTTCCTAAATGCAACAGCAATATTTTCAACAACAAGTTTCCCTATATTATACTTCAGGGGGGTCCAAACTGCGAGCCGCATGTCGCCCACTGACACATTTTGTGCGACCAGCAGAACTATTTTAGATTTTTAGCGTACACTATTAAATCATTGGCATTTGGCAGATATTTTTTTTTATTAGCAGAACAATTTTGATTTACTTTTTGAACTATTCCAACTGGGAACAGTCCTTTTCCTAATCCTGATGTCGAGATTTATGTTTGTTAAAATCACGGAATTCCATTTCCAGTACAACCAAATCCTAACGGCTCATTATTATATTCTGATGACGATAAAAGCATATCTGAGAGATCCATTCAATCATTGTCCAGTTTTGTCGAAATTGATGAAGGCAATGATGTCATAAAGTACACAAGATCAACGAGGTTAGCAGAGTTTATTTAACATTTTTTTAAATAATATCAATGACATCTTTCTGTACACGGAAGTTATTATTATTATTGCGCTCATATCAATCAGAAACGGTTACATTTGGATATCTGATAGTAACGTCCAGATTTAGAGCCAATAAAGGTAGAGCTCAAGTGTGTACAGAGTATTATAATATAGAACCAAATTAAGGAAATTAACTTTCTTGTTTTTAATTGTCTTGCAACTGAATTAGGTTGTGCAGAAATCTACATATACATACTTTCATATATCGCATATCTTCTTGAAAATAGGGAAGTCAATGAGATTCCTAGATAACTAAGACTTGCTTTATTTGGCCAGGTGTTCATCTGAATATTTTTGAGAGTGGAATCTTTTATTAATTGAAATTTTCAGTATTTAAATCTGCTTTGTTTATCTAATAGACAGGTTTCAATTGGCATATAGAGTGTATATTGTATTATCAAAGTTGATACATATACAGAATACAGATACGATACTGTTGGTAGATGACTGGCTATCTACATTTATATGCAGTAGCATTATACAATTTTATTAGTTTGATTAGGATATTTATTTAACGTAGTCAAAGTTTAAAAGCATTGGATTGTATATGCTACTGAGCTGTTGATTTATTAGCATACGGTATTTATTTGCTTATCAGTATTTTTCATATATTTCTGGAATATTTTTACCCAACAATAATTTCTACGGTGTATGTCATAGCGTAAATGTTGTAGTTTCCAAAGTCAATTTAAATCTAATTTGATGCAACCTTTCATTGAATGTATAACAGTATGGCAGCTCAGATATGGTATCGTGAATATATCTGAGATCAGACATAAATAATATAATAGGTAAGACGGGAGATCGGTTGATTAAGTTATTACAGCCAGTGGTTATTAATTAATTATTAAGGGCTAACTGTTTTATGTATTTGTGTTGCTGAAATCTGTAATTTTTGCATAGAAATAGCATGAGATGAATACTATTAAATTTTTATTATTGGACGTTTTAAACTTGAAAATTTAAAAAAATTGTGTGTTATATATCATGTGTCGGCACTATGCATCACTCTGGATCTGGAGTGTCTAAAATTAATCTAATATTTGTACTAATGGCGGACTTTGAAACATTTGATAAGGCATTAACCAATCAAATCGATGCTTACCTTAACTTTTCTTCACTACTAAATTCAAACTTAATAATTATTAAGTACACAGTGATTTTCAAATATTATTTTGAAATGTATTTGAAATAGTAAATTATTCAATTTCGGTCTAACTTCTTCTCACTTCAATACATATTGTTATTATTCATCAAGATATTTTTATGTCAGTATTAAAATCGTATATTCTATCTTTCTCATGAAGTAACTCAAATCTCAATGGACAACAACGGAACATGCAGAGTCCTCAACCAAGTTATAATGATTCTTGTCCAACGAGCATCAGTGCAGATTACCTTAGAAGTTAGTACATTTATGTAATTGTTTTAGATCAGGGTTGTACAAACTAGGAAACTCTTAGGGTACTAAGGAGTGGGCCATGGCCATTTGTCATGACTACACTTTTATTTATTTTTTTTTTTAGGCATTGAATATGTTGTTTGACTGATAAAAAATTTCGTTGATTTTCAAACGACGGCCAACGGGCCAAATATGACCTGCGTAGCGATTTAATATGGCCCGCCGAAAGTAGTGAAATAGTTTAACACTTTACGTTTCTACCGTTTGCGTTTTAGATATTGCCAATTGCTACGTCATTATCACTGTTAAGCATATGTGTATATTTGTAACAATTCAATCAAACTGGTGCATGCTCCCCTTTCCCAGCCCGCGAACATTCTTCCGCTTCTAACTTGGCCCTTGATCAATCAACTTTGATAATCACTGGTCAATTTCTTTACCATGCTGGATTTTTGGGAAGGACCTAGTTTTTTTTTGTTCCCCATTTTTTTAATAGCTTGAAAAAATTCAAGTTATGGTTATGGTGATAATTTATCAAGAAAAATCATAAAAAAAAATTATCAAATTCAAAATATAATTTCATAGATTTTATTACATGGAATGGTACATATCTCAGTCAGCCATGGATCACACCATCAATTGGTTGGAGAGAAAGTGATCTTCAGTCTCATAAATTAATAACACAAGATAAACGTGCATTTCAATGGTAAGTCAGATATCCTTTTTTGCTGGAATTGAAAGTTCCTTTTAATTGATCTGTTCATTTCCCGAAGAATGTTTTTGGGGGTGTAAAGCTATATGCTACTCCTCAGTTCATTCATTTCTGCATACACTGCCATTTGGAAATCAAAATTTAATCGACTTGAAGTAACTGGAACTTTATGGTAGTGACTTTGATGTGGTTGAAAGCCTATTGAAAAATATAATTTTCTCAATTTAGAATTTCCTTTCAAAACTTCTTTGAAAATATTTGTCATAGCATTACACTGATTTTTCGTTAATTCAAATGCATGCGATTCTGTATTTCCGCACATGAATTTTGTAAAATTGACTACCAGAAATCATCTCAGTCCTGATATAAGTTTTGCATGTGTAAAGCTCAAACAGAAGTATACCAACCTAATATTATAAGCTTTGCGGAAAAGATACAACAGCAAATTTCTCATTGGTGCAGAAATTGATTAAATATATATGACCCACGGTCTTCTTTCTCTTAATTAATGAACAAATACGGGTATTTGTAACCCTCGTCTATTAAAACGGGTTCGCCATCCCTGCTCTAGATTGTTTTCGTCACTCACAGTTCATAAAATATTCTTGAATTAAAATTTCAGGTTAAAAGAAATTTATCTTCGACACGATCTTGCTTTTTTGAAGCAACTACTTCATGACAAAGGACTTGATTTAGCATGGGCGGAAATTCTTGTTCCTCTTGCAAAACATGCAGCTGAATCAATAACTCCTAACCCTAATGTGTGTATGGATGTTTGTCATTATGTTCAAATAAAAAAGGTGAGACTTTCCCTGGTTAAATATTTTGACGAGAGTTATGACCAAATTTCTTTTTTCCCGAGTCAAACCGATTCAATGCACTCTCGAGTTACAAGTGGAGTGGAGTTTCTGCTTTTTGAGTCTCAAGTCTGAGTAGATTCATAAAGAACAATGAAATTGATAAATATGGGTCGCATTGACAATGAGACTTCTATTTTGGGTTAATCTAACTTTATCATGAAAATCAAACTATTATTTGATCATGTATTGACAACATTTACCTAGGCACAAACATGACCTATTTCGAGTTATTGCTGCAACAAGCTAGTATATTAGATATTTTTTCATACAGCACAATTTTTCATGGTAAATCGCATTTCAAGTTTACTCAAGTCGAGTCACAAACTCTATTATTCCCAACACTATAATATGCAATGGCGAGTCTTGAATGCATCAAAATAAAAACAATTTTCTGCTTTTTACTTAGGTACTGGATGGACCAAAAACTGACTCACATGTTCTCAATGCTGTTGTGTGTACGAAGAATGTCGTTCATAAACAAATGAAAACTGATATAAGCGAGCCAACAATATTATTACTTGCTATACCTCTTGAATATCAAAGAGTACAACTGAAACTTTCTGCACTTGATCCAGTATGTTAATAATAGTTATATTTTTTGCTTATCTTTGTGATTTTCTGGGTAATATAATGTAGATAGATGTAAGCAGCACTCCTTTCTCAATACTTGTCAATTCAACCTCACCTCACCATACAATGGGTGACCCAAAAACTGAACGCAGGTCATTTGGAAAATATTTTAAAGAAAACCTTAATTTTGTGCAAAATGTCCTAAATTATTGAAAATTGAGGGTACAATCATGCACTAACAGACTTGAGTTTCTTTATTTTTGTATAAGTAATTCAGAAATTCATGGCCCCTGTTTTTTTGGGGGGGGAACCTGCTATATTGGTCATAGTACATTTGAGAATCGAAGACCTATATTTTAGTTATTCGAAAGATGTTTATGTTCATTATACTCTTTCACAATTAAAAAGTAGCACACTGTCCTTTGAAATCATATTTCAGTTATTCTGCTTTAGTTTCAATTGAAGTAAAATTTGCCATTTATCTTTATTTGTCCAAAGAATTTTCAATATTTACACTCAGAAATTTCTTTAAACAGTCCATTCTGCACAAGGTTTAAAATGTCAAAACTGTATAAATTCCACCAATTAATGGATTTCATTCGTTGTCTCTACTTTCCAATGTTTGAGGGACAATCTTACATCAGTTGCTGAATATCATTTCACTATTTTCCAAATTATTATCTATATTTTTATTTTTCGTAGATTGTAAGACAGGAGAGAGAGTTTTACAGACACCTGATTTCACGCATCACTGCTCGTCAACCAAAAGTAGTCATGGTTCAATGCACTGTCTCTCACATTGCTCAAGATTTATTACTGCAAGCTGGAATCACTTTGGTCATCAATGTTAAGCCGGTATGCTTATTCAGTTAATTTAGTATACTAGAATCGACAGTATACTAGAAGCATCACAGATTAAAATTCAGTGGCATCGCTGCTTGAAATTCTGTGGCATCATCGTTAGAAATTATTTGGCATCACTGATTAAAAATCTATGGCATTGCTGGTTAAAATTCTGTGGCACCGCCGGTTAAAATTCTGTTGCATCGCTGGTTAAAATTCGGTTGCATCACTGGTTAAAATTTTGTAGCATCGTTGTTTAAAATTCTGTGGCGTCACTGGTTAAAATTCTGTGGCATTGCTGATTAAAATGTTGTGCCATCACTGGTTAAAATTCTGTGCCATAACTAGGTAAAATTCTGGGCCATCGCTGGTTAAAAATCGGTGGCATTGCTGCTTAAAATTCTGTAGCATCGCTGGTTGAAATTCGGTGGCATCGCTGGTTGAAATTCTGTGCCATCGCTGGTTAAAAATCTGTTGCATTGCTGGTTGAAATTCTGCAGCAATGCAGGTTCAATTCGGTGGCATCACTGATTAAAATTCTGTGGCATCGCTGGTTACCTGTACCTTTGATCAGAGTTGAGTCTTCTTTACCTCTAAGTGAGTGTGTTAGACTTCGCTTTGAACAAATTTTTATAAAATATGTTGTCTCCTTTTATTGCAGTCGGTGATGGAGCGTGTTGCTCGGAGCACAGAAGCTGATATTGTTTATTCCATTGATCAACTCATGCAAGCGAAGTTAGGTTCTTGTTCAAGATTTTACATCAAACACCATGAACTTTCAGGACCCAGTTTTAACCACAGGTTTGATATGTTTCCTTAGCTTTTTTATTGAAAGTTTGTCTTTTTTTTTCAAACAAGATTGCACTAGCCACGACAGGCCTTAACTATTGCAGCGCACAGTTCTGAGGGTGCTGAGATATTGATAATAACCGAAAAATTCAGATTTTGTTATTGGAAAAGGAATTAGTCTTCAGACTCTTCACACTTTATGACCTTTTAACTTTATACAAAATCATGCTTAAGGTGACGAATTTTACGGACTATGAGGTGCACTGTCAATAAATTTCATAGACTGGTTGGTTATTCATACATATCCATAATCTTATACATTAGGCGCATAAGGCGCTTCATTCATTTTTGAATAAAAAAAGTTTTTTAAGTGTGCCGTATGGTCCATAAAATACGATGACTTCCTTTTATGATTCTTGTGTAAGCCCATATAGAAAAAAAACGTGCAGTCATGTACATGAATATAATTTATATTATATAAAAAATTATTATTAATATTTCTCTCACAGATCTGAGGGTCAAAGTGTACAGAATATCAAAACATTGATGTATTTTGATGGATGTAATCCACAATATGGTTGCACTGTTTTGCTCAAAGGAAATTGTGACGATATACCAACTTATAAACAAACTGCAATAGAGTTGATCCAAGTTCAAGAAGTTTTTAGGTTTCTCGTTCGTGCAATGTTCCATGCAAGATTGGAGGTAGGTTTACGTTGTAACAATATGTTGTAATAGAATATCATACCAAGTTTAAATTTTAATAGATTTGATAGGTTTATCTCGAAGTTCTACTCCATATAGTATTGGTTATTTTGTGAACAAATTTTGATAACAAAAATCTTTGCGTTGCCCAGCTTTCTTTTATAGACTGTTAAATTCCTTGGTAAATTTAATGTTTTCACATTAAAAGTCTGCAATTCCAGCTCTGGAAAACTCATATTTTCGGTTCTCTATGCCGAAAAGTTTGAAAATATAACTTTGGCTAAGACTCTATATACAAAAGTCCGATTCCACAGCCTCGCTTTGTGGTTATGATTAAATACTCTACAGATTTGCTTTATTTGAAGTGTTTAAAAAGTATGAGTCATATTTTCAGATATGTCTTAGGAATTTAGTTTAACTGAAACTTGGAAATTTGTTATTTTTTTAATTTTAATATTTTCATCATTTTGGCATTTATATATTATTTTGTAAAATTTGTCATGTATTGGGATACCGCATCAATGAATTCAAAGTATTCAAATTGAAAAATTATTTGTTGGCCTGATTTCCTGACTTGTAATATTATATTACATCTAAATACTTTACTTATTTTGTTGTGTCAGTATAGTACATTCTTTTACATATTTTATGTAAGATTTTCAAAATGAAGAAACATTTGTAAAGATTGGTATTGAAATTTTATTCAAAATTGAATGATATGGAAAGATCAAATATTTTAAACTCTATCGAGAATTTGAGAGATTAATTAAAAATCATTATATTTCAGTTATCTTATCTCATTGACCAACATGACTTTGGGAAACTTTTGAAGAAGCAGAGCAGCACAATGAAGAATAAATCAAAGACTGAACTTGGCGATAATAATAGTCAAAAACATATTCTGGTTGACAGAAACGTCGAAACATCAGATTTGCCAGAAATGAGTTTCAAAAATGTTTCGATTGAAGATTGCAGCACACCAGTGCCAAATCTGTATCCAACGCTTGTTACTAACGATACAAACTCAACCGAAGGAAAAGAAAATTTCGACACTATATCTCGCAAATCAACTTGGGTGCAAATTTCTTCTGATAAAAATGGAATAGAAGAAAGCAAATCGCAGTTGAAAATCAAGAATAAAAAAGTATTTGAAGAAGCATTGAAATCGACGTACCTTACTGTATCACCGCTCATCAAACCTCAAATTCCATTTTTATTTACTGATATAAGTTTAAGTTCCGCCATTCATAGTTATCTACCTGCTGAATTGTTCTCGTCTCATATGTTTGAAAACAAGTCTACAACATTTAAAGGAGATGTAAGTATGACATGCTAGTCTAGTGCAGTGGTTCTGAACCTTTTTCGTGAAATTCTTCTCTTTGCCTATTTCGGAATTCTTTTCCTCTCTTACTATGCATAAAAAGTACCTCATTTGTTCTATCTTTAATTCATCTTTGTCTAGTGTTATGCCCGTGTCACACACTCTCAATTGCACAGTTCAAGTAATTTATGATGTTTGTATCAATAAGTATTGTTTCAAACTTGTAAATATCAGGGAACTAAAGAATATCAGTATTACAAAATACAAAATTCCTCCTCTGTTGGTGAGCGCAGTGACTACTCTAATATGCCCACTTGCAGTATATATCTGAACCTGTATGTATTAGATTTTCTATATAGGTATGTACTTTGTTCTATTTTTATTGATTTGTTTATTATAAAATATACAGGGGTTTTCAACTTTCGATATGGAACACAGACAAGCTATCAGAAGCAGGTACTGTAACCTATATACGAAAATTTTGTTTTTTTAAATTATCATGTTTTATGGACCATAAGGTGCACTTTAAATCCCCTTCTTATCTTAAAAATTGGTCGTGCATCTTCAAAGCCGCCGCGTCTAATGTATGGATCGGGTAGTACTTTATGCTTAATTGCTCTCACTCACTGTTGTGACTTATAGCCAGATGTGCCTCATGTTTGTATAAAAACCTGATCTTAAGCAATTTAATGACAGTATGGTCTTTTAAAAGATTTGAAGCCAAATTTTAAATGTTGTAGGGAAAGCATTGCACCCATATACACTTTATTTTCTTAGTGATTACAAGCGTTGTGCAAGGGGATCTCCAAGGAAAATTAAATATTCCAATTGATTGTATTTGCTTGTTTTCAGGAGCGAACAGAATGTCTAAAAGGGCTTGCCTTTCATTTCTGATAATTATTGAAATGCAAATCCAATCAAATCGCTATACATTTCAATTTACTTCCGATTCAAAATTTTACTTATTGGACACGAAGTGGACCTATTGATCGTTTTGTTAATATGTTGTTGTTGCAAAAAAAATGCTTTTTCTCCAAATACTGGACAAATTGCTTTGAAATTTTTATTTGTCAAATCAGGTTGTTGTCGCTAGAAAGCTATTACTTTTCTTCAGTGAAAAAATTTCTGTGGGATGCATTTCTCATTTCGAAGTTTTGTGTGATAACTCTTGAATCACTTAAGATAATTTACATATCTTTCCTCCTTATCTCAGATCCAGTACTGTGGAAAGTTTAGTTCAAGATAAACTATGGTTGTCACCACCACATCAAAAATCCAGCACTAATTCCTTAGAATATGATGATATGAATATGTCCATGGATACTTTGGGAAACAGTATTGCTTCAAGAGATACAATGGTTGGTATTCGTATCATATATGAGTGATTAATGGATGGTTCCTTGACCCCAGAAAATTTTTTTTTAATTTTTACATCACTGTTGCCTTTTTTGTCGATTAGACATTGTCACAGAAATAAACACTGAATCTGAAGCTCGGGGAATCATTCATTGCTGAAAACAAAAATTTTGAATTCTTTTAAATAATACTTCATATATTTCTAATCACAGGATGATGGTACTTCGACACCGACTCGGCGAGAGAGAAGTGAATCCCATTTATCGTGTTATTCTCAACAGCATAAATCGCACAGAAATGAAAGAAGCAGTGAAGGTTTTTTACCCATTTCATTTTAGATTTTGTTCATGATTTACTGGTCATGTTACATTGAAACTAATGGTTGATATTCTTATGCGATTTGTTAGTATTTTATCACCTGAGGATGTAACTGTTCAAAGGCCGAACCTAAAGTTAATGTTAAGCTTGAACACAACTGGAACACTAAAATCAAATGCAGAATGGTAAATTTTGAGTGTGTTCCATGGGTTAAGAGCATTGTTTATTGAGGAGGACTTATTGTCCAATGGTAATAAATCGAGGTATGTAGGGTTCGAGCGAAGCCGTTCTTGTAATACCGTGATAATCAGGGAACCGATTTTTCTTTGGGGTTAGGTGAATCGGCAGCTGATAGCGTTGCATTTGTTTTTATATATAAGTATATATATTTAAGTATATATGTATTAGATTTATGTAAAGTTTGTTATCAATGCAGCGTACGTAGTTGTGACGTACATATATTTTATAAAATATGAGAACACGTTCCTAGTGAGTTTGATTCAAGAGAGAACCTGTTTTTAAATTTGTGAATTCCACTGCAGGTGATACACAATGGGAAATAATCAAGTAGAAGTCATTATCTGGCATGACCTCGCCAATAATGCTAATCCATGTCTTGTACGTTTCTCATTCACTCTGCCATAGATTTGGTATTGGTACATGTATAACTTGAGAAAAACTGCTACAGAATTTGTAGTGTATGTTCTTTGTGATGCCTCATGATCATTTTGGTGTTTGTTTTCAAATACAAATTCAAAAGTTATGGTTGTATGTAGACCACTCGTGTTTGTAATCAGTATAAATCTCTTTTATCATAGTACCAATATCTTTCAATGATTTGATGTGATGCATACATGTATATTAAGTCTTGCAACCACTTTCAGCATCGTATTCAACTGCGAGACTGCAATCATGGGAACAAAGAATGATGGATCAGATATTTGGAAACCACATTCCCAGGAATAGCATTCCTGATTTTCCGTCAAATTTTAATCCAAAGTCGACGTCGAGAAAACCGAGGGTTTCAAGTTTTAATAAAACGACTGCTGCTCCATCGGTCGAAAATGGTGTGGGACTAAACGATTCTAAGATTAATGCCGTTGTTTCACCATTACACGAATTTGTAACTAAATCACTCATCAAACCGGCGTCATCTACTGAAACTAGGGATCTCCTGGCAAGCTTCAGGTAATGTTTTATCATCTGTATTTAGAATATTAAATTTTGAGTAACATGGTTTCAACTTCTGTTCTTGGGATATGGTATAAAATTGTGCTTAATTATGCGGCTGAATTTACATATACCGATATCTTTTTTTCTTGTTTCATTTTTTTGTATGGCGTATTTATACACCTTTCAATCCGTACAAAGCTTTCAAAAGCGACCACTAATGTCTGTGAAGGAGCCGAATCAGGCATGTGATTTTAATCTACAACACCATTATAGTTTAAGTCTAACGCTTCATTAAACACTGGCCCAATACGCCCACAAAATAGGAATGGAACTTGAATAACCTTTTTATAATCTCAAAAGTTTCAATTGTATTTATGCGCATTTTAAGCACAAATTCCCTTCCTTTTTAAACTTTTTCCAAAAATCAGTATTCGTTAGTGTCACAGCTATCTCCTATCGGTAGTTTAATATTTAAATTAGCGTCTCATTGATAATGCTAAAATCACTTTTTTTAAATAATCATATATTTCTAGGGCTCACACTGGTATGTCAGCAATCTCTGAACAGAAGGCGGAACGGAAAATGAACGGAACAGAAAATGAAATCTCAATCCGCGTTACAAAGGTTAATGAATGGGAGACTGATGATGATGAACAAATCAAGTCATTCCCATTTGATTCTATGAAATCTTCGAATTCTTCGTCAAAATTATTTCCACCTGATTGTATGGATGCAAATAATCATCAACGAATTTGTGCTTTGTTTAGCAGGTTTGTCTTTAAATATGTTGTATAATTTCTTTGTGTCACAAACCAACAATTGTTCATTCTTGTTGGATTTATATCTACTTTCTAATTTGAATATTTGCAAGTTAATTTTATCGGACATCTAAAAATAAGATATCTCTGATTCACTTGATTGACATATTTTGATTTTGATGAAATTGATAGAATTCCTGTTTTCACTACAATTACATTTTTTTCGGAAAAAATACATTAATTAAGATTTTCTGAATTCCTGGATAAGATTTTCTCGGTCGTATTTGTAGCTACTTATATTGGACCTTGTTTGCGGTACTGGTGTGAAAACTTGTCTCTATGTACGAATTTTGTTCAGTCTATACTTTTCCGCGATCACTCCACAAGTGTGATGTTCCAGTACAAATTATTAGAGCTATTTTACCTTAAAGTCATTGTCTCATATTTATATTTTTTTCCAGTCACAGTCCACAGTCTCCAAATGCTCCGTACTTCTGTGTGTCTCCTTGGGTTGTTTACATTGATTTTTATCGAGGAAATGACATCACATTGGGAGGATTTCTAGAACGTTATTGTTTTCGGCCGAGCTATCATTGTCCGAATCCCGCATGTAGAAGACCAATGGTTGAACATATTAGAAGGTTTGTATTTGAATAGTTAGTGATAATTTTCAATACTTGATTGGAGCAGCCTGCGTGCATTTTTTATGAGGTCATGGAATTGGATTTTGGCATTATTCAATGATGTTTGAACAGGAGTCTTCCTGAGCGGAGATGAAACCTAAATGAAATTTAAAACACTTCGAGATTCAGACTCAAATCAAAATTTTCGACGGAAACTAAAATTGTGTTAAGTTGTGTTAGAGCTGGAGTCAGAGTCAAAATATTTGTAAGCCAGTCTGTCCGTTAGTCGGAGCCACTTTTTGAATGGTTTGGAAGTTGGAATCCATGATAAAAGTTCCCAGCTTTAGTATTTGCTGGTCAAATCGAATTAATGACAAATAATTTAAAGATTTACTCTACCTAAAAATTACTGTTATTTCAGTTTTGTGCATGGGAACATGTGTATGTCTGTTGTGTTGAAAGAATTATCAAAACCGTTTCAGCAATCAAGTATTCTCACTTGGAATTGGAATCACATAACAAAGAAATCATCAGGTATTAGGGAAGGCTGAAATGTAGTTTTGTTGATCAAATGACTTCAAATGAATAAAATGGGACTAAAAAAAACTAAAAGCTTTTATTTGGAAACCTTTGTGGACTGTTGAATAGTTATTTAAGGAGCATGAAATGAATACTCTTTTAATATGACTGAAATGTCTTCACACAATAATCCATATTTAATAAAATATCACTTTATGATTATTTGTATGCTTATACTGTATGGAGACAAAATAATTTTAATCTGCTGCTTCTAGCATAGGATGCGAAAAATTAAATTTAAATTTGTATAATGACTCAAATTGCATAGTATTTTTAGTTGTTTTGAGTTGTATGGCACTCATCCAATATACTACAGAACATGGATTTAAATTACTCAGAAGAACATACCTTGATGTACCAAAACAACTAAGAGTACATATTTGCCCGTTGTCATTAGTATTTTTATTTTTCATTTCAGAAATCAAACCAATGTCTCATGATGCGTGGTCTATGTCGTTTGCCAAATATTTAGAACTCAACTTAGAAAAATTAACAATTCCTGATAATTTGTCGTCAAATAATCAACATAAAAGTTCCAGTAAAACAGAATTGTACGGAGATGATTGGGAATTAAAGCCATTTACTAGTTTCCAATATTTCATGTTCAGGTAAGAAAAATTGAGTTATATTCGTTAAAGATTTGGATAAGAAATAGTTTAACATTAATCTTTGTGAATCTTCGGACTACTGGTTCCCAAACTTTTATTATTGGTGGCCCCCTTCCAGAGACTCTCAGGGCCTGTTGCCCCCTGGTCTTCAATAAAAACCTATTGTAAGGGGTTTCCACCAGTTCCTTTATTCGCCATGTTGAATAATGAAAATCCACGAACAAAAATAAAATAAAAATGTTTTTTTTTTAAATTGATTTAATGATGACAATTGGTATCTAGTGGAGCCTTTGCTTATGACCACCAGAAAATTGCCCGGGAACTGCGGCTGGTTTGAGAAACCCGGATTTTCATCGTCCATATTTTTGATATTGTATTTCTTTGATTTAGTTTTTTAGGATAATTTTTTCGTCTATCTCAACTTCACGTTCAATTTATATTCCTTGAACTATCTCCTATTTTTAACAGAGATATTGTCGCGGCATTCAAGTGTTATCCTGTCAATATAAATGAAGTCGTTTTTCCACCTTCAATGCTGAATAAATCGTTACATCAGATTCGTCAAATTTCAAATGAATATGACGATGACTTAAAAACATCTTTGGATTTTCATTCAGCAATTGAAATACTTGTTGAGGTAAGATGAAAGGCTCACCAGAAAAGGGTTATAATGATTTGCAATAAGTATGAGTACGAACTGGATTCAAGATATTTTAAAAGTAACCCTTTTTACTTTCATATGAATAGTTTGATTTCGATATAATTTTTTTCAGACATAGCCTCATAATTTTCATCAGGGTCGCATCCAGGGTTCCGAAAGTCGAAAATTTTTTCAACCTGAAGTCTTGGCCAAAATCATTTTCAACCTAGATTCTATTGCAAGTTTTCACTAACTCCACAGCTCAAGACCCAGGTTAAAATATTGTAAAGGATGTATTGGACTCTTTGTAATTGCAGGGTAGTTCAAATACTGTAACTGCAGGCAGGCCACAGTTTTTGCATTCACCAGATGACTGTACGAAATGCCATTGCTTGCTATATGATCAATTAGTCTTTTCAGCTTAATCTTCCACTGGGAAACTACAAAATCCTATACTTATTATTATTTTTTCTTCCAGCTAAAGTAACAGCATTGCTTTTTGATGGTTTTTTGGGCGGGGGGGAATAATGTATATTAGAATATTATTATGCCTGTTATTCTGGTCTTTTGTAATACGAATGGAGATCATTTGACAGAAAATAAATGAAGTTTTGGAAACTGCTCAAAATTGTATCGAAACATCCATAAAAAGAACTGTCAGTACGAGTGAAATTCCAACAGAAGAATCCATTGCTACGAGGGATGAATTTTATAAAATTTTATTCGATTCTTTGATTGACGACAAAATTCATTTGATGGAAGAAATTACTCTGTCTAAACTTTTGCTGCAAAGATCAGATCAAAGGTATCTTTATTTTGCTTTTTTTATTTATGCACAAAAATTTTTGTTATCGATAGACATATTTCGATTCTAGGAAAATGGTTCTCCAACTTTCATTATCTGAGGCCTCTTCCAAAGACTCTTAACACTCTGTGCCCCCTGCTCTTTCATAAAAATTATGTAATTTGTTTTCAACAGGTATCTATCAGTTATTTTATTTGTCACATTTCATAATAAAACCAGAAAATGAAAATAAAATAATAAATGCGTTAGAGTCAAATAATTGCACAAATAGTTAATTTGCCATCACAAATAGTACATAGTGAAGTTTTTTTCTCGTGGTCCCTGGAGAACCTTCCATTGGTGACCACCAAAACCTAGTGTGAGATGCTTATCATTTAATATATCTGCAGGAGAAATAAGTGTATTTGATTTATCAAATGCGTAGATTCACTCAAACAAATTTTTATCAATACCCAGTTCATCTTCAACAAACAAGGAAGACAATATGTATTCTGATATTGGGATGGATTGCTGGGGTGAAAAGGAGTCACACGAGGTGAAAACATTGTTATTGATTTGTGTTATTTCACCTTGTTGATAAATTTATACTATTTGTTGTAAATGCAGATTATAGTAACGCTAATTTTAAACATTTGATATGGATATTTGTATTAGATCAGTGGTTTCCGAACCACCGCCTGCGTACAATTTGATATGGTCTGCCAAACTTAAGTGAAAAAGTTTAACACTTTAATTTTTTGTGTTCTATATATCGCCCACTGTCACGTCATTATTACAGTTCGAGCAAGTGTATATTCGCAGCAATTATACCGGTATCTTAATCATGCAAAGCTGCACCGGTATGGGCCCCTTGTGGGTGCCCTCCTCTCCTGGCACGCAAACATCCTTTCGCTTTTAATTTAGTCTTCGTCAATCAAACTTTAGGAACCACTGTATTAGATAGACTCAAGCTCAATAAAATAGTAAATTTTGTGTTCTTTTTTTTTTTTAGAAATCATTGCCAGATGATCTCATCAATGAATTATCAACTCGAATTCTTCATCTGAAATGTGAAATTTGTGATTTGGTGCAAACATGGAATTTAAAGTTAGCTGATGCTTATGAAAAAGTAAGAGATTTATTTAACATGTTGAACATGAAAGACCTTTGAAGTTATTGTACTTTTCTTGTCAAGATGTAAGCATATTAAACTTCGTTCACTTCCCATACATGCCAAATAAACCTTTAAGCGATGAGAGTCTCAGGCAACAACAATAATAAAACTCCAAAAGTTTTATTTACATTTTTGCGTCATAGCCTAGCGGCGTTGGACTTGAACTGTATTGGTGGATAGAATATTAGAATCTGGCACCAGGGCCTCATTTTTTACCTGGTACCTAGGCTGCCATTCCGGCTTCATGGCTGGATGATGTTTTTTGTTAAGACCACTACCGTGAAACATCAGGGTTTCAAATTTTAAACTTTTATTTATATGAATTTAACTTGAAGCTTTTGAATTAAGTATTGAAAAATATATAAACAGGAAAGAATAGATTTTATCTTTTGTATCAAATTTGAAAAATTATAAATGTCAAAAAATAATAACTAGATGGGTAGGAGCTGGCGCTTTCAAAAGTTTGGTTAGCTCGAGCTCCATATATTATGGAAAGTATTGCTTCAGCTCCAGTTTCAACAAAACGTCACAGCTCCGGCTCTCTGACCTTGCCTTCAAAGATACTTCCTTTTTATCACACGTTTTTATCTTTGACTCTACCTGCTAATATTATAGGATCGATCTTCATTTTGGACTTTGAATAAAAAGCAGAAGTCCAGTGGTGGATCTCCATTACCACAAAGGAAAAATCACATCAATCCTTCTGAGAAGATTATGGAAGAAGATGAGACTCAACACGAAGGTATGTTTACTAACCTTTATTGCTACATCCCTCACTTTGCCTACTTTGAAACACTTGGTTGCCCCCTTTGTATTTAAAAAACTCTTTTTTTTTTTTTTTTTTTAATATTTAATGTATTATTAGCTAGTGATACTTGCAACTCTGCATGTCTGATACATCATTCTGGTATATTTTTGTTCAGTTCAAACAGTTTTTTCCACAATAAAGAATATTAGTAATACTACAGCAAAATACAAAGTATAATTTCCTACCCTGAAATTATTATATTACCCCTGTTTGATAAACCCTGGCTTATTGTGACAATTGTACAACCAGTTATGATTTTATTTTTTCCGACCTAATTTTTCGACACGAAGTGGACATACAGATCGTTTTGTTATCATGTTGTTGTTGTTTGAATTTTTTACCATTCTGTTTTTTTAAATCACCTTTCTCATTAACTACTGGACCAATTGCTTTAGATTCAGTGGTTTAAGATTGTATTTTTTGCTAGTAAGGCGAGAGCTATCACTTTTATTTATTTAAAAAATTTTGTGGGCTTCATGCGATTAATTTTTTGTATGTGATGTCATCATCAGAGATTAGAAACTAACAATCTTTTGGCTGGTCTGGCTGTACTGGTAGTCTACTGTGACAGGTTGCATACTATCCATATGTTCGTACATTTGAGCTTCGCTCTCTTCTAATTATCTGATCTTAATATTTCATATATTTTACACAGGACCAGGCAACAATGGTGCACCATCGATAATAGTCGAAAATGTAAGTTTATTTTCTTTTTCTTTTAAAATACAAAACAACTATGTTCATCTACTATGTTTCTTTATGCTTGATTTAATGTATCTTTATGCCTCATGTATCTGTTTATGAACTTCTTGTTATTTATGGATTACTCCACTATCCATGTACGTGCATCTGAAACTAGTAACTTGCTTACTATTCGGACTGGTGCATCGCATGTTTTTAATGAAGTTGAAATTTTGACTCATACTTTTTGGTAGTCCAATTTTCCGAAGAAACTCCTGAAGCATCAATTTTAGTCTGAGCCAAATTTTTCTTCGCCCTAATTTGAAGTTTTCACAGCAATTGGCGCCGGGGAATGAGGCTAGGGTTCATCTCGTAATTATACTTTTTTTCAGCTATAGTTGCATTAATATTCTCTTGCACTCTACTAGTATCTAACAGTTTAAAAATAGGTCTTTAGGATGTTTAGGAGAATAATCAAAACGCACAGGTCAAATATTATTATAAAATGAATTCACTTCATCAGCTGAACACTTTGATAAAATACTTTGCCAATACTTTTAACAAAAGAAACCAAAATTCTCATTCTTGCCATGCTATTATTCAAACCAGTGGTCTGCAAATGTATCGAATTTTTATAGCCCTCAAACAACACGCTTAATGCATCAAAAATGCTTTTGAATTTATTGCTATTCGAGCATGGATGTTTGTCGTAACAATGGTCGTTGTGTGTCTCGCGTCGCGATAATTAGCGTAAGCATACATCAGTAGTATGTTGTTTACCTGCAGGACATGCCTACAATTAGTTGTAATTAACACAGAAATAGGAGTTGTGTGTGTGTCATAAGTTTAAATGTGTGGCCCTTATTTATAAGCGGAAATTAATGTGGCTCGCACGCTTCTGTCAATGTGCTAATTTTCCCAATATTACATAAAGTTTGCCGACCACAGATTTAAACTATTTGTTCATTTTTAAGGAACAATCAAAGACGTCAAACTCAGGAAATAGCTCAGGTAAATAGTATTGTTGGTATTATTGACTGATTACTCACCTGAATGGGTGTTCATGGGGTTTAAATTTTTTTCAAATTGCAAAGGAAAGTTATTGATAACATATATAGTTTAGTTTGTTGGCCCCAAGAGGTATATTAGAAAAAGTGAAAAACTTAAAATAAAAACTGTTCACAATAGAACAAACCAGGTTGTGATATATCGAGAGCTGACTTCATAACAAAATGGAAATTAAAACATATCTTTTTCAACAGCTGGAAATTCTGCAGACTCCATCACAGCACTCCTTCCTGATGTGGAAGTGAAAGACAAAGCAAATAACAAATCTTCGAAACGTTTGGCAGTGACAGAACACAAATCTGAGAAATCTACTTCCTATAAAAGATTAAGCAGAACAGGTATATTGATATTAATTTAGGGACAAAGAGTGAAAAATCGCTTTTTCCTGAGACTAAGGATAAACGATTACGATTACAAATTTTCAGGACTTTAATATGTTTTGAGCTGCTAAAGGGTCATAACCCTTATCTTATGGGGTCTGATATTTTACCCTCTTTTTCGCTATTTTATTTTAATTTGTTGACCTTTGACATTCGTTGACGTATATTTGCTTTATATAAGCCGATATCTTTACAAATGAATACTCTCCATAAATTTGCCTTCTTAACTTTTACATATTTCACCCAGGTTCAAGTGTGAGATTTCTTGTCACCCGATTACTGCCTGGAAATAACTTAATTCCATCCATTCAAATGCCATTTCCTGCCGATGAACATTTTCTACTGCCTGAATGTCTATCTGCTAATGTTGTGGTAAGCTGACTATAATTTGTTTATTTGCTTCATAAATTTGATCTCAAATCTAAAAAACTTTAAATAGTTACCAATATATATTTTTTAAGAAATATAAAATTTTTTTAAAAAAATTAGCTCTAAGCAAGGTCACGCTAAGAAGACTGATCTCTGAGCGAAAGTGCCAATAGCTTCTGATACTAGAAAATTATATTGTAGAATTGTATGTTAATAGCTATCAATTGACACAAGATTCCACAAAGCTGGAGGAGGAAAAAACATGAGTTTGTTTAGTCGGCACACTGACTGTGAATGGGTGAGAGTTAAGGCAGACCGATTTTGACGACTTGAAAACTGTTTTGGGGGTCCGAAAGTTCTACTCAAGCCAAATTCATAGTTTAATTTTTTGTCCAATTTGTTACTCATATCTCTTTTTACTTACTCTCATTACTAGGTTAGAGATGCTGAACCTGCTTCAATCATAGCTTATACATTGAGTTCCAAATCGTATAAAGAATTAACTATGCAGAATACTGATGTGACCATGGAAGGGAATTTTCAGGAAACTGATCCCGTTTTTGAAATTGGAAGTACAGAGGTATGTGTCGATTGCATATTTTTAAGACTTAATCAATCAGGGAGTCCAATAGAAAACAAATAGTCGAATACATATTTGTTTTAGGTTTACTCTTGATTTAAAAAAAATTTAAAACATTTTTGTTTGTAACTTTTGTCATCTTTGGCTTTTGATAACTAATGATCAGACAAAAATAAACTTGTTTTCGCTTCCTATACTGTTAAAACTAGGATAGGATTTTTATATTAATATTTTATATTTGTTATATCAATATCAGATATTTTCTCTTTCTCAGATTCCCAAAGAATCAATTTCGTCTAACCAGGCAAGTCCACAATCATCCGTTTCATTATCTGATGCAATATCATCAAATAATATGCAACAACAACAATCTGCGGAAAATTCTGCTGAATTTGAATTCAGAGGTGATTAGTAATTGAATGATTTACTATATTCTCTTATATTGATCATGATTTGTGCAGTGTTCTTGAAACTTTCTTCATCCGACCCACTTGGCATAGCCAAATTTTTTCACAACCCTCAGAAACTAAAATAAAAATGGAGTAAAATTGAGTAATACAGAAATATTAAAAAATATAATAAAATTGACAAAACCTTAAATGAGACCGATTGTATATTCTTGCACAAAAGTTCGAATCTTGGCTCCATTTCCTTGATGGTTATTTTCTGCGCTGGTACAAGTCTTCCACATTTCATCGATATTTTGTATTAACATAAGTGAGTGTCAAAAACTAAAAGAACTGCGACCCCCTTGAGCATGTTCCTGACCTGACCGACTGGGCGTCAGAACCCTCAGTCGGCAGAGCTCTGGCCTAGAGAAAAATAGAAATGGCCTAATGGTACCTAGTGAAAGCCTTTGCCTGTGGCTCCAAGAGAATAGCCTCGTGCCATTTATGGGAGAAACTTAGAACACAAGAATGAGAGGGATATATAAGACATAATTGAAAATGTCATGTTAGGAATTGGATTTCTAAAGAATACAATTTCAGAAATGACTCTGTTACGTCTGTTGTAAATCTTATCCGCAAACTTGGTGCTCCAAGGCCTCACCATATTGGTACTAATACGCGACTATTTTGTCCTCATAATTGAGCATTGCTCTCTTTCAACAATGAGTTATCGCATTTTCTGGTTTTCAGATTCAACAGATCCATCTGTGATTTCAATGTCAAGTTCATTATCTAACGGTGGAATATCATCAAACTCACCTCATGTTGAAATTCAATTTTCTGATTCTACAACAAAATTTTATTGCAAAGTTTATTTTGCATCATTGTTTGAAAAATTTCGATCAAAGGTAACAGTCTTACGATTGTATAAAAATTAATTTCATTTTTTGTGAGCTGGGGTTCAACATTATTTTATCACTGGTTAGGTATGGTATTTCTAACTTATCACTCCAGATCAGTGATTGTCAAACTTTTCATGATCCCTCATGATCCGTGAACTCTTTTTCGCAAAAACTGTCAATATGCATGATCCCCTGTTATTCTAAAAACGTACTTTACGTAGTTTGCTTTTATTGCGAGTTCATCAGTTTTTTCATTCGCCGTGTTCAATTATACAAGCCAACGAACGAAAAAGAATGAATGCATTACAATTAAGGGATTACCAAATCACAGTCTATTTACTTTGGCTTTACCCTTCCCATTTTCAAATCTATAAAAATACCTAGTTTCGTATTTACCACATTCCGATCAGTTAATTTGTGCAGCACGTCCAAGTATTAGAAAAACGAAAGTACAAAATTAAAGAATTATGGCCAAAGAATTGAACAAATTGCAGTCAATTTATGTAAATCAATATGGTCATCGTGAATGGTACATATAAACCTTTTTTTACCTGTAGCCCCAAAGAACCGCTCCATGTCCCTTTAGGGATAGGAGAAAGCCCGCTTTAGATGGAGTAGATTGCATGGATTACCAGCCATCTCCAGCAATGACTAATAGACATTGACAGTAATGCGTTTGTTTTCTTACTTTGGTTTGTTGAGCATAGAGAAACATAACAATTGAATCTTTTATGAAGTATAATTTGTGCATTTATGTTACTTTCACCAAAATAGCTTTGACTGGGTGATTTCACTTTTTAGGTATTAGAAGGTGGTGAAGAACAGTATTTGACGTCGATGTCTCGTAGTATGAGATGGTTGGCAAGAGGTGGAAAATCAGGATCAACTTTTCATAAAACTAAGGATGATCAGTTTATTATAAAACAAATGTCCTACTTTGAATTACAATCTTTTCTCGAGTTTGCACCGAAGTATGTGGAATACATCACTAACTGCATTGATAATCAGGTATCAAAAATTGTTTAGTTATTTGGTATTACTATAATACTTATTTATGGACACATTATATACTATTCAAACTGTACAAAAGCCAGATTGCGAGCAACACTAGCTAAGCTTCTTCGAAAGATTGAACAAATAACGGGAACGGAGTACTCAGGCATAGCAAGGGAGAAATAAAGAATTATAATAAAAATTTCCGACTCCGACAATGGGTTGTCAAACTTTGATGACGAAAACTTTTGCATACGCAAGCTTTCTTTACGTAGACTGGTAACAACACAACAAGTGATGATTTTTGAGTTTCTGTAGGAAGTTTACAATTCCCGACTGTGGGGAATTCGCAACTCGGACTTCCAGCCCAGGGGAGTTTGAAAATACTGCCCCAACTCCAATAAAAACATGCAGACTCTGACACCATATCTCTGTTATAGACCATGATTATTTTTTATGAGGATCATTCTTACTACCCAATATTACCAGACTTTTCTTATAACAGGAAGCAACGACAATTTCTAAAATCCTAGGTGTGTATAGAATTTCATTCAGAAATGCAGAGACAAATCGAAGCTTGAAACAAGATGTTCTTGTAATCGAAAATTTATTTTATCGGAAGAAAATTCAACAGGTAAGTAAAAAATGTATATACCTGGCAATTATAGTTTTATTTTACAAAATGAGAATTTTTTGTGATATCCGGAGTCCTATTTGCAGTGTATTGAATCAACAATTATTAAGAAGATTATTTTAGAAATATTGATAATCAAATAAAAGAAATTGAATAGTTTATCTGTCAATATGAACATTTATGTATTCTATGAGAAACTGTAGCGTTCAGTGTCGATTTGATGGTACAATTGCTTTAAATGCAAAAAGTCACTCTCACTAACAAGTAGAATGTATTGTGTGGTATTCGATATTGAGAGAGCAGTGGTCAAGTGTCATATTGAAGTGTTCCCATGTGTTAAATTAAGTGCTCCCATGAATTGGAATAAAACAGTAAATTTGGGCGAACACCGGCCCCCAAATTAATGTAATAGCACCTAAGTGTCATATTCCATTTTCAAGTCATTAAAATTGCTTGGTCCATAATTCACAGAGAAAACGTTTTTTCACAAAAACCTAGAATGGTTATCCATAGTTACACCTGTGTACAATCATCTCATTTCTTCATAACGTTTTGTTTTCCAATTACAGATTTTTGATTTGAAAGGATCTGTTCGAAATCGTCATGTAAAACCTGATACTTCAGGAGCGAATGTTGAAAACGGATGTCAAGCTGATCACAATGATATAGTACTGTTAGATGAAAACTTATTAAAACTTATGTGTGATAATCCACTATATGTTCATGAACATACTAAAGTAAGTACAGGAATCCATAAATCAATCACATTTGCAGAATTTGTGCAATATGGTAGTACTGTTTTCCTAATTTTCATTACTATGTAATCAAATAAATGAAGATATCTCGAAGATTTTAACAATATAAAATTTAAATAAATTTTGACAAAATATACCAAAAAATAGTTGGTGATACTATGGCATGAGATTTATCTAAAGCTAGTAACACAAATTAAGGACCAGCATAAGATTTACTTGAAAGCGGTACTATATTGTGTGGTATACTACTACGTTTTCATAGGGCCATAGTATATTAGTTCCTTACATATCGTCTAATATCAGTGGCCGCTTGTACTTGGCCTAGTTCAGAGTGAAATGCGTGAATAAACGCTGTATGGCAAAAAATTGAAACTCAAGGAATGGCAGGTCGCATTGCAAGTTTTTGTCTACATATATCCCCGTACTCTTTTTATTTTGCAATACAATTTCAGTTTGATAATTTTTTTTTTTTTCGATTTATCCAATTTTGTTCTTATTCTAGACTAGAATTTTGGTAGACTGTGTTTTGGACGCTATTAGCTTTCCATTTTTGTGGAATATTTAAATTAAATTTTCATTTTCAGCATCTTTTATCAAGTGCTATATCAAGAGATACAAATTTTCTGTCTAAGAATCTTATCATGGATTATTCTCTTCTGGTTGGAATGGACGATAATGAAAAAATATTTGTTGGGATCATTGGTAAGTATTGATATATAGGAAGATGAACACAAAGACAAGGTGTATGTAAATGGTATATACTGGCCTTGCTTTATATTAGAAGATGAACTTCATTTCACTAATTATACCTACTCCTCTCTGAAAAATTATGTTATCGAAGAAAACTATATGATTTTATGCATCATTTTACTGCGAGATCCGTTACCTACAAAACCAACATAGTTTCAAAAAAGTTTCTTAATTCAAATTTTTAACAAGGTAAAGCTTCAACACTAGGTGATTCTAATTTTCTGTTATTCCAAGATTAAAGCTGCATACAACACAGTAACTTTATTGAAAAAGAAACCATCCTTGACAAGAATCTACATGTTTTGCGCTCATTCAACCAAATTGATCACCACTAGTTTAAATCATATTCTATAAGTTTTCTAAGTGAATATCTATATCAGAGACTCGCAACGTATGAGCCACAGAACCTATTTACGTGGGCATTAACAAATTTTACATCTCATTATTTTCAAACGCTTTTTCCTATTTACTACGGCATTTTTCATCACTGGGATGAAATTTCATTCGGCAAGGGTTCAATAACATGATAATTTTTGTTGACATTTGATGATAAAAATGTCTACCAGTAAAAAAGAAATATTGGTCATGAGATGCTGACTGTTGTCTGAAAAACTGGTCAGTTGCGATCCTTCATGCTTCTGGCAGTTTAACTTGAATGATTCTACAAATCACAGATTTTATTCGAACATTTACATGGGATAAGAAGTTGGAAATGGTTGTCAAATCATATGGTATGTTTGGTGGAAGAAAACAAAGTAATAGATCCATGCCTACTGTTGTGTCACCTGAACTTTACAAAAAACGTTTTTGTGAAGCCATGGACAGATATTTTCAAGTTGTACCTGATAGGTGGTATGAAATGCATGCTTTTAAATGAAACCCCGCATACAGCAAGCTTGTTATTATCATATTCTATTATTAGGGGGTTTGTATAGGTCGATATAATTAAGGTAAAACACGGAATATGCAGTGCCATATTCTTCACTGTATCCAAGTCAATCAAGTGTTATTTGAATATGACAGGTGAATATAAACAATGCTATAGTATTAGCAATAAATTTGGCTGTCTTTACACACAATATTTTCTGTGAGATAATTTTTGTGTTTTTTATGATTCATTAGATATGTTATACGTGACCAAACAAAATTCCCTTGTTCATTCGAGCCCATGGTTTTTCTATGTATTTAATCAGTTGCTAATCTATGTTTAATCAGTCATTAATGTTTGATTACGTCATTATTATTATATCATACTTCTACTTATTTTGTGATAAATTAACTGTAACCTTGAATAAATTTTGCACAGCACAAAAGCACAAAACCATAGTTATAAGTTTACATGGGGGTGTAATACAAAGAAATTCTGTATTTCTGACTATTTCTGACTATGTTTTTCTTCCTAATTCGAATGTTCGGAATTGAATTATGTATCTTAGGAATATCTATCTTGTTGTGGGTGTACTGTTTTGTTATATGGTAGTTATTCATGTCATTATTCGTTTATACAGTTTTATTATCATATAATTTGCCTTTAAACATCTTATAAAAAAGGCTGCAAATTGTACATTTTCTGGCATTTTTCAGAGGCAACTGTTGAATATCATTGTAATAAAGGCAACATTTTTATGCCTTCCTGGAGGCTGGTACAAATTACATTGTTCCTTCTTTATGCAGCAATTTTCTTCTTCAAAGCTTGTATGTATTTAATAATCGTGCAATAAATAAGCTTCATGCAAGTGGTTGGGAGTTATTTTATTGTCGCACATCTCTAAGTAATCAAGTTGTAGTCCTGTAATATATTTGAATCTGGAATTATGTGCACCAGGTTAGGCCACAATTTCAGGTACAAATACTTGGCTAGTCCCCGAACTCGTAAAGAACTAAAAAAAAGGAAAATTGGGATAAAATTATGGCCTAACTATAACCCGGTACACATTAAGTCTAGCTAAATTCCGCCATAACTATCCATCTACACAAGTATTTTTTAGTGTTGTGCTACCACTGACATTAACTGGCGTGGTTGTGGTACTTAACCTCAAGTCCCCCTTTCACATAGCTTGTCTGATATTGAGTTGGTGTCACCTGGTTTAGTCACTCTTTTCCCACAGCATGACAGAAATCATTCTGAGTAACTCATTACCCATTTTCGAGTCAAGATAAAACAGCAGAACAAACACATAAATCAGACAGAAAAATTTACTTAAATACTCCAGAAAAAGGCAAAAATATGTAGAATTCAATCATAACGCCAGCCAAGATAAGATGACAGCTGTAAAAAAATATAATATATTAGAACATGAATCTGAATTGCATACAGAAAACGGCCTTGCATTTGTGAGTTTTTTGCCAGTGTTACTTGTTGGTCCCATTAGGTTTAATATAATGAAGAATTGCTTATCCCAAAATGTTTTGTGAAAAATTGAGACGTACAAATAACAAAAAAAATTCAGTACCAATTTAACATCCGGTGGTCTCTCTCGTTCAGCCAATGGTAATGCTAATATTCGCTGCTCTTCAATGATACGACTTGCTTTTCGATCCTGAAATTTTAAGATGGTTATAATAAGAGTTCAACATGTAATATGATCAGTCTTAGACAATATCTTTAGATTTCAGCAAATAGAATTGAAGGATAAGTTATCATTTTTATCCCAGGAAGAATTCGAACCCGCACAGGGTAATCAGATTGCGGTGGCAAACAAATTCCCAATGCTTAGCGTGATGCGCCATTACCCTCCCCAACTTTGTTAAATCCAAAGATAAACCAAAGAGTCGAGCATCGAACAGCAGGATAGGTGGAAGTAAACATCTATGGCCCTGATGAAAATGAAGAAATTTCTAAAAATTCTGCTGCACTCGAATGGTTAAAAAAGACATGTTGTGGAGAAGACATTTCTTAGTTTGCGGCTATTTGCATTATGTTTTAACACCCTATGAACTTCCTTTTTCATTCATATATTCCAGAATCTCTGTATTATTACCTAAACCACACTCCCATATTCAGTATCTTGCATACTTTGCATAGAAAATGTATCCTCATTGAAATATAAAAAACTCTATATGACTTACAGTCATTACTTCTCTGACTGCCAACAGAGAAAAGATGGCATAGACCCACAATCCTGGATATTTTACATTTCTCATATAATCATCTTGTTTCACTGCATGCTCTGCTTCAGTGCCTGCATTTCTCAAAGACACAGCTCGTCGCCTCAGAGAACTACCTGCGAGCAAAAGCATATACCACAATATAATTATGCAAAATACCAATCAAGATAGATTATAACTTTCCAACAAAATATTCTGTGAGACTAAGTTATATAGGAGACGGTATTTTGGAAAATTCTCAAATATGATACAGCATTCACATCAGGTCTTGAAGCCATAACTTTTTTTGGAACTGGAGCTAAAAGATACTTAAGGGCTTCACCTTCTAATTATCTAATAATTTTCTCACATTCATTATTTGGGCTAATGTATCATAGTAGTGATCATACCAAAAAATCTTAATGGCTAAGGAGCCCAATGCATGTGTAAAAAGTGAAGCTGAGGAGCTGGAGCCTCAACCAGTTTTTGATTTAGATGTCGGACAAAATATTAAATAATATATAACTTGACTCCTTAAATGCAAATTTTATGGCACAATCATTCAAATTTTTGAATCGAAGTTAATAAAGTAGCTGTAGGCAAAAACTATCACTGATTACTTAGATTAGTTTCGAAATTTTATTTTTATTTCTGATTTCTCGTTAAATTATATGCTTACAACATTTCAATCAATACATTACTCGATTGTATATGGATATGAATAAGCATTAAAATATCACATTCTAACAAAATGTTCAAATAAGACAACTACTACAGTACTATGAACGAGCGAAATAGATTAGAATGTAGAATTCATATATTTCGACAATTGCAGTTTCACACAAATATTATTTAGGTTGATTAAACAAGTTCAATATACATAATTGATAGAAAAAAGTTCTTACTGTCTTACCTAAACTCTTAGTCAGCCTTCTGACTAGGGCAGACATCCTGACACTTTAGCCTCCAATGAATACGAGGCCAGTATGGCCTTACGAATAAGATAAAGCCTTCTTCTGTGAACACTGGTATTCATGTTAAAATTAAATTCCAGTAACAGTTAGCAAAAAAGAAATAAAATGGATTATTATTAATACATGTGATATGATATAACATTATAAATAAATGGACAATCCATATTTGAATTCCAAAATCATACAGTAATATAGTGTTAGTCTACAATCATAATTAAAGAGACCATGATCAGTTTTTAAGTTATCCTCAAAATATCCTTGTTAAAAAATTATACAGTTACCGGTATGTCAAATCCTTTCCATTTAGAATCCATGAATTATACAGTGTAATTTATATCCAAATACTGAACTCAGCTCAGCCCAAGTTATCAAAGTAATTGATGTTTTTCTGACCTTTGACCCCGCCAAACGACCCCTCATCGTTGCTAAACTTTTGTGTATATTTTGAAAGTGGTTATGTCTGTTGGCGTGTGCAAATCAATCAATCAATCATTTTATTTCGGCTCTCTGACTAAAACGGAACAATACAAATAAGTAAACAGACAACAAATACAGAACAATACAAAAAAGTAAACAGACAACAAATACAGAACAATACAAAAAAGTAAACAGACAACAAATACAGAGATACCTGGAAGGCGAGCATAACTTAAAATGAAGTTAAAAAACGTACAAGTACGTGCCCACCCACCAAAACTAGTTTACATATTCAATTAGGATAGAATTTATCTCGGGGGAAAGGAAAACCGATAAGACGGCTTAACCATATGGCGAACCACGGCTTCTCGTCCGATTTCCATTCGGGGATGGGATTAGTTATTGTAATTATTTGTTTTCGGAAGCATGGACTTGATGGTGGAGGAAGCCGTAAGCTCGTAACCGACCAGCGGTTACGTCAACCTCCCTACGGCGGCGAGGAGTCCAGCAATCCTCTCGCACATAACCATCCCCGCATGAAATTCGAACCTGCGAAGTAAACATTTCCACAATGAGCCACACCGCCGCGCCACGATGTACGCTTTTAGTTTTGAAATATTAAAATGCCTACACTAAATTGTACTCACAGCTTTATTTTAGTGTTCTAGTAAAGAGTATATTAATAGTGGTATAGAGCTACTTTCGGGTCTAAATCCAATCTCTTAACAAACGTACGGTACATTGTGCAAAACGACTGCAAAGCGATTGCGAAATGAAAGCGTTGATACATTTTGATTACTCAGAACCAACGACTAACCTCAGAACCTACCTCTTTGTTGATTCTGAGTTTGGGCGATTAATTTCCTGTTATCCACCTTCTACTAGACCACATTCTGACTTTCATGGCTGAAAACAGATAACACACACCATACGTAGTGTCGGTTGCTATATCACCTATCTTTCGAGAGAGCGAAAGGCTTATAGGGTGTAGTTATAAAATGGCTATGTATGTCCCATATGTCCGCTATGTCCCAACTAAAATGGCTATATCCGCTATTTCTGTAGTAAAATAGCGATGTCCACTATGCCCCTACTGAAATGGCTATGTCCGATATGTCCCTACTAAAATCGTTATCCCGATCTGTATCTACTAAAATGGCTATGTCCGCTATGTCCCTACTAAAACGTCTATGTTCCTTCGAAAATAGCGATGTCCGCTATGCCCCTACTAAAATGGCTATGTCTCTACTAAAATGGCTATGTCACTATTAAAATGGCTATGTCCGCTATGTCTGTGCTAAAATGGCGATGTCCACTATGACCCTACTAAAATGGCTATGTCCGCTATGTCCCTACTAAAATGGCTATGTCCGATATGTCCGTACTAAAATGGGTATGTCACTACTAAAATCGCGATCCCGATATCTCCCCACTAAAATGACTATGTCCGCTATGTCCTTACCAAAATGACTATGTCCTTACTAAAATGGCGATGCACCCGAAATATTGGTTGCCGGATCCATCATATTTGAGCTGAAACATTGCTTACAAATGCGCCCACGGACATTATATATAACGAGAATAAAAAAACATGGCCGCCATAATTAAACTTATGCCTATAATTTAACCGGTTTGAGTTTTATGTATATATATATTATATTTCCACGGATTTAAGTAAATTAGTAATTGAAATGTTATATATATACCCTTTCTGGTTGTTGGAACCCTGCAATGCATATCGCTATGAGCTCGAATATTTTCGTGTGCGGATGTCCTCGGCGCAAACGCGCATGGATGCAAAGGTTTTATGGGGGTAAATGTAAATGGGTACAAGTATGTGAGTGTCAGTTTGAGTCCAAATATATGTAGGTAGTAATATTCCCGAGTGCAACAGTGATGTTAGCCACTGAGAACGTATAAACATTTCCAGCAAATCCAAGTACAGGGGAAGGGACAAAAGAGCGCATCTGAATACCGCATTCGTATATAGTAGTCAGATTTTTATTTCCGTCGTGCATGAAATATTGTACAAATAAACAGTAAAAATAAATCAATTGAGAGAAATTGATGTAGCCTACAATAATTCGACTGAAATAGACGAGGAGCCGCGAATAAACTATAAAGTTATCTTGTCAGCGACACCGAAATCTCTCGTCTACTTGTATATGTAACAACTTCGTGAATCGCGCTTTTAGAAAAAAGGTTTGAGAATGATCCACGCTCCCTCATACAAGTGTTGCTTAGATTTACAATATCAATTCGGAATGCTTCTCGAGTATGGACCGATATGAATGATTTAATCTCAATGCCGTTATCAAATGCTTAACAGTTAACAATAATAGTAAGTGGCCTACTCTATCACTAAGAATGATGTATAAATACGAAAATCAAGTGCTTCATAACCAACCTAATACCTAATGCAGTGCGGTATCGAACGAGTCAAAAAATTGAATCAAATCATTGCCCAAAGCTCGTCAAATGTGTCATACGGGAGTGATGATGATCAACAACATATATTTATATATCATATTTAATCCAAGAACTTGATATCAAAATATGACGACGTCTTAATTAAACCGAATGAAAAGTGATTCATTGCTTTTTTCGTTGGATAATCGACACGTTACTAAGCCAAAACAATGAGGTATTAAATTTCCAATTGACAAAACATAACGGGACCATTGCCTCGGTACAATGCGTGCTCATGGATACACATAATAGTGCCAAGCAGATATTTGGCCGCCCATTTCACGTCGACGCTGATTGCTGTTTTTGATGTGGCATCAAGGCGGGGCAACGGACGATTAAATGGATAAAGTACTCGTTATTTAATTAGTGTGCTTTGAGGTTGTACCGAATCTACAGTCGTACTTGCAGGAACGAAGAATGGAAAATTTTGATGTCTTCCGTTTCTGCATGTGCAGAAATACTGATGTTGATAAGGTAATTAGTTGATTGGTATATTTGTTTTAAGAATATGCATTTAGGGCCATTTCATTCATAATACGACAGATTATCGTTTTATTCTATGATATTTAAGTTTTAAAAATCTCAAGGTGATAAGTGGTTGATATTGATTTTCCAACTGAGTAGTTTTCGCGCTATAACATTTTATTTAATCACCACTGAGTTGATAAGCATTTCGACATTATGGTTAACTGAGAATTAGACTTGTTATGGCGCCAGCGATACCAGTACATATAATTAAACACCTAACGATATCACCATATGAAAAGACAAAAGTACATGTTCGGAAGCCCCTAACCCTGAGTTGGGTCCCTTAAGTTGAGCTCACCCCACATATATATATATAATTCGTCAGGCTAATAACCGAATTGCGTAAGTCATTTTTGGCGATTTCGAGTTTTTTTTTTATAAAATAGGTATTTATGTAATGCTGCGCACCTGTCTGTTAACTCAGTTTTTATTTTAAGAATTCCGAATCCCATAAAAATGGAAATCTTGTATGACATGCACCTTCGTGCAATTGTTTCGTCATAATGAATAATCATTGTTATCGCAAGACTATTGTGACGTCACAAAAGCAAAATAACCTTGCCGAAGTATTATCGAGTTTTTGCATCTCAGATTCCAGCTTAGCGCTTATAAATTTGAATTTATACTACAGTATAGGAAGGCGTGCACTTGTGATATTTACTGTCAGAGTCCAATTCACCTTGGTTGGCCTTTATATTGGGTGGATTGCTGTTTTATTCTTTATATTTAATCTTAGACTTATTTCGATGGGTGTGCAGAGCGTGTTATATTGAGGAAATATATATTTTTAAACGTAAGAAATAATGTAATTGAAACGGATTAGCTATTTCGGGGATTAGACATCGTAGATACTGAGAATTACATTCGTATTTGGAATGTTTGGTTTTTAGGACTGGTGCATATAGTCAAGTTGCAAAATTGCGTATGTCCGCAAGTCATAGACACATTTCTGCCTAAGTCACAGTGCGCCATTATGACGTCACATAACTGCATCATACAAATTAACTTAAATTAGGCTACGATCAAAAAATTGCACCATGGAAAATTATTCACTCTCAATGGCATAACAATATCATTAGGAAGTTTTTTACGGTTTTCGCAAAACTGCTAAAAATGACTTACGCAATTCGGTTATTAGCGTGACGATATATATTTGAGCGTAACGGACGAATGCAGTGTAGTCTCTTAGAAAAAAATATATATATACCAGATATTTTCACTATCTATTATACACATATTGCAGCAGATTGAAAATGTTGAAACTAAATCGACATATGAAGAAACAAAAGACAAGGGGAAAGATTTGACAAAAGACAAAAACAGGTAAGAAAACGATTTCGTGCCTGCTTTGTACTGCATGCTGTAATTCTACCCGACGAACATAGAACTTGACATTATTTTGTAGATAGATGAATTTAAAAACTTCTCAAATGCATATACGCAAAATATTAAAATAGGTTTATCATATTTATACTATATATAGTATAGATCAGGCCTGCCCAACCTTTTTTGTCTCGCGGGCCACTTTCATGTGACGAAATTCGTTGCGGGCCACAAACGTTTGTACCTAACATTAATACCAGCTAAGTCTTGATTTCGGTGTAGGTAATTTACATGATACATAAAAGGCAAGTTTATTAAGATAAAATCAATCAATTTAATAATTGCTTTATGGTTACTGAGTGGGGCTGGCAAATTATTCGAATATCGAGTCGAATATTAGAATAGCAGTTTACTATCGAATATCTGGTAACGCGGGGCGTGGACATGACACTTGCGGTTTTCTGACGACCACGCGAGAACATACACATCACGTCGACATTGAAGGGTATATTTGCGTTATAGTGTTTCTATTCATTCATTTCCAGTAGCTATGATACTGCCTCAATGTTTAAATAAGCATAATGTGTGCCAATGTCGCGGGAATATCAAGTTATGTGGGCCGTTTCGTGAAATTTGAAACATCAATACAAGTATTTAATGAAGTAACATTACAAAGATTTCTGGACGAATAGCCTATATATACTGATTTGTGACCAATATGCAGCAATGCAATTAAGTCAATTTCATCAGAATTATTGACGGATACGCAGTGACGACATTTCCAAAATCTTTTTTAACCCAAACATTAGATACAAAATACTAACATAAAGGACAACGAGTCCCAGGACCAAACCAAAGATATTGTTAACCTTTTATTTTACGTTGGCGATAAAAACGATCAAAGCAGACACGTAAGAAAACAATCAGAATGAAATTAATTTGCAAATTTAGGCTCCAAATTCATTCCTATAATTGCGCTCAGCGTTCGTCCTCAATGATCGCACAATATCTTTCGATTTCGTCGAACAGAACGCTCAGTTCTGCGAGAAATAAAAAAAAAACTGACGTCGATGTCCATCAGGGTGCAAGACTTGACACATACGTAATAATAAGATCCGGCATTTGAATGTAGACCTTTTTGTTATTGCGGAACCCCTGATATCATTTTTCGTTTTTTATGGAACCCCAAATAATAAAATTAAAAAAAAACACGAAATACTCGTGACACGAAATATTTGTAATTCAAATATTTCCATCTCAACAACGAAACAGAAAGAAGGTAACAAGCGTGAAATTCAATGACTAGGTTGTTCTTGCATTTTCTTTGCAATCTTTTTGAATCGTGGCTCCACGGCGCTCAAAGAAATTCTCATACTCATGTCTATACTCTTTAAACAACTTCGTTTTTGTTATTAATAGTTGTTAAAGCAGAAAATGCTGATTTACACAAATAGGTATTGGGAAATTGGCACAGAAGTTTTAATGCATTTTTGCAATTGCTGTACCCTCTTTGTGAAGAGAAATCCAAAAATATTCCTTTCCATTTTTTCGAAGGTTTTCTCAGAATTAATATCATTACGGATATCTAGGAGTCCTTCTTGCTGTTGCGCACTTAGGAATTCATCCAAAAATGGAAAAGAATAATAATCATTTTTTGCAACTTTACTGGCCCAGCAGTCATTTTTTCCTTTACGCGGAACCCCCAAGGAACCCTATAAACTCACGGAACCCCACTGCATGTGTTGCGGAACCCTAGGGTTCCGCGAAACCCCTGTTGAAGAGCACTGATGTAGATAGATGTCAGGAATAATCACACCAAAATCACGAAACATACTTAAGCCTATCTATTGAATATAACATGGTAAAAACATAAAAAGTCTGCTTACAAACCCATAGGGCGGGCCGCAAAAAACAGTCCGGTGAGCCGGGTTGGGCAGCCTTGGTATAGATGAATTTTAGAACTTATTGAAGGCATTTTCCTCATTCAGATACAAAGAAGCGCTATATAGAGCAGATTAGTTTTTATGTAATCCAATGACGCTTGTAAAAGCATGGTGGCGTTTGGGAAATCTTCGTTCGATATTAATAACGATTATAATATCCCAAACGCGCTATCAGATATCAATTCAACAGAATCCTTGATAAGGTTAGCAAAATATATAACTATAATATTCGGGGGAAATGGTCAAATGCTATAATAAGTTTAATCTATCTGAAAAGTTTCGTTTGTAACTTCGAATAAATAAATCATATTTGCAAGTATCAGGTATCTCACGATTAGTATATAAACATACGATTTAGGAGTGCAACAATTACAAATTCTGACGTGAAAGTTCGTTTCGCCGATAGTGAAGATGGACAAAGCAGCCTGGATTCGAATAGCACGGAAAACGAAAAATCCGATAAAGAGAAGGTATCTATCTAGTCGGACTATAAGATTTCATAGGGTGATATATTTTTATTCCATTTTCCGATGATTATAGAGGAATTCGGTACTATGCATGCATTATAGAAAATTGATTAGTCAGCATTCTGAAATTGAACTCTTTTGAAAAACCTGTATGATTTCAATATGAGTTCAGCATATTATGGCCATTTATTGAAACGAAAAACGAACTCGTTTGATACAGGGACGATGTTCATTTTAGGCGGTGGCACGAGATTCCTCAAACAATTGCTATGTATTGATACAACAATTATATTGATTACAGATGTAAACTAACTCTTTTGTTTCGTTGAATAAAAGGTAAATGATTAAATATCCATTGTTGATGATATTCGAAACGAGCTATCTATTCTCAACTAATGGCATATATCGTAAAGGTGATCGAATGAATAATGCTTGCATTGTTTGATAAAATCACAAAAAAAGATAATTAAACAAAAATTTGAAATAATTCAGCTTAATGAAATTAATATTTAATTATAATGCTTATATCAGGTTTGTTCAAAAGATGTACAAAAATCGAATATCACGAGGCCTAAAGCAGTCAGTTTCGAGGACACCCTTCACCACGAAGTATCGACACTCCTTGCAAATGGATATGGAAATAATGAAAAGAAAAAGAAGTCCAAGGATCCAGAATTTGAGGCTTTGCATACTGTCGTACGAAACAAACGAATATATTTACGTAAGCAACACGCAAAGCTGAAAATAGACTTGAACAGTTTACAGACGATGAGAGAAATATTAGATTCCTCGAAATGTGCCAATAGCGCCAATTTACCAGATGTCGTGTCTACGGAAGGGAATTACTCTGAAAACGATTTTTTGGGAACTTTCCGGCAAATATTCAACGGAGCTATTAATGACATTTCTGCACCATCAACAGAATTGCAAGAACTAACAGTTAAATACACTAAGTTGTTGTCACAATCGGCCAGTGGCAAAGATATATCTGACGAAGACGATCCGTCTCAAGTGGAAGGCGAAAGTGAAAGATTAGTGCACGACAGCCAGCGTATAATAGAAATGCTGAAGAAAGGCATGGAAATAGCAACAATACAACATAAGTTAAAAGCTGCGCTTGTGAGCCAGAGTGCATCGCACAAAGAAGACATGAGCATCCTGGAATCTGTGTTATTGCAGATGCAGAGATTCAAACTTAACCAAGGACTTACGTTTGAAGACAGTCAATCACAATTTTCATCTCATAAAGACGGTACTGCATGTACATCAATTCGTGACATTTTTAGAGAATTGTTCGACTCTGGTAAACTTTTGAAATTAGAAAAGAAATGCAAACTGAAACTTGCAGAACTTCACATAGAAGCCCTCAAAAATAAGTATCGCGAAGATGAAGTTCGAAATCAACTTAAAAAAGCAATCGAACACCGATCGGAAGAAGAATTGATTGCTGCTATAAATGAGTCAAAAGAAGTAGGGATATCAACTAGTAACGAATTACAAATACAAGCCGGAAATTTACTGAGCGAATTGACAGATGAAGTAAGAAAATGCGAAAATGCCATTACAAACGCTATAGAACATTCGTCCATCAAAGATCTCCAAAAGGCACTAAAGAAGGCAGAAAACTTGAAAATGAAAAACTCGGCATCGCTAATCGAACGAGCTAAGTTAGCTTTGGGAAAATTAGAAGAAAGGGAAGACAAAATAAAAGAACTTGTATCGCAATTAAAGCAAGCAATGAAGAAGAAAAACGCCGAAGAAATTCAAAAAACGTTGGTAAACATCAAAAGCATGAAGGTCACTACTGGAATGAAGATAATTGAAGAAGCGACAAATTTGTTAATTTACTTACGCAAGTACGATCAGGAATTGAAAACGGGCGCCGAAGAAACAACTCGCATCCGTTTGATAAGTTTGCTGGAAAGCGACAATACCCAAGACCTTGCAGATGTGCTACTGCGAGCAAGAATGGTAGGGTTGAATAATTGTGTCGAAGTTATAGGAGCGAGGACAAAACTTGCTCAACTTCAAGGTGACAGAGACCAGTACTCAACAGAGTTGAAAAAAATTGAGGAATATGTGGAAAAACTTATTAATCGAGCCAGTGATAACTCAGCCACTGTTGACCTAATAACAACCATGGAGCGAGCCATCGTTGTTGCTGAAAATCTCGAAGTATCGTCCGAAATAAAGCAACGTGCGAGAGGTGCGTTACACATACTTAATTCGCGAAAGGCCAAAGTAAAAAGTATAAAGGATGAGCTTCAACGTGCAGTGATGGAATGCAGACAAGAAGCTATTACATGCGCCATAAAAGAAGCAGAATCAATTCCATATTTTTTGTCATTTGATCCGCTAGATGGCCAGATATCAGCAATTTTAGAATACGCTAAAAACAAGATAGCCTCTCACGATGCTCCGTCGATGAAAAATGAGACGAATTCGGCTGTTCGTCGTGTCAAATCCAATCTGAAACGAGCAATGAGAGGAAATAATTCCGATAAGTTGCAATCCGCGATATCGTTATATAGAAAAACTGTTCCAACGCAAAAACATGCTAATAACGATAAGCAGACGAACAGTCCATATTCGGAAAACGATAATGATGTCATTATTCGAAGAGCGGAAAGAAAATATAAACGGATGAAGAAACAGGAAGAATTGGCGGAAAAAGAGTGGATAAATGTTCGCAATAAAATGCGAGAAAACCTGAAATCTGCTATGCGCGGCACAGACAGGTACGTTTATTGTGTATAACCTATCTAGAATATTTACAACAATCTATCAAAATTTTAATGATTTCTGTTATACAAAGGTTATTCACCCCTTTTTTTCCAAACAAATCTCTATACAAGCAGCCACTGATATGTAGAGACCGGAATCTATCCGGTTCGGTATTGCTCACCCAATTTATTACACCCTGAGTGCGGTGGGGAGCATGGGTCTTGAACGCGAGATGTGTCTGCGATGCCAACTCAGTTAAGTCTTAAACTAAAGCATTACCCGCTAGGCCAGGGGTCGGGAACCTTTTTGGTCAAGAGATCCCTAGAATATACATATTTTCAATTGCTTTTCCGTGCGAGCCATAAACATTTCTTCACTTAATCAGGCCTGAAACGTTTACTCAAAAGTCAACACATTTCATGTCAATATACATTTAATGTGACTTCTGATGCTGCATGTTGTCGCTGCGGGCCTTGAACGGTTGCTCACATGCAGCCCAAGTTGAAATCTACGATACTCATCACCTTTTTTCGTTTAGGCATCTCCGTAGTATTTTAAAACTCTATCGCTTTGTGATGTCACAATATATGTTCCAGAATCCCCATGTTTTGTCACAATGCCTGTCTGATAATTCTCTTACATAACATAGGCATGCGCTGGGCCCGCGTTTTCAAACGTATTGGGAATTTTTGTCAAATTTGGCCATAAAATAGTTTGAAGTCTAGTAACAATAGTAAGCTTAATCTTAGAATAATAGATTTTTCTGGGAGCCATATGCCGTCACCAAAAGAGCCATATATGGCTCGCGAGCCATGGGTCCCGACCCCTGCGCTAGGCCATCGTACAGTTCTGTTTATCATTTGTTCTTGCAGGGCTGAACTCTGGAAAGCAGTTTATCAATTCAAGCGGGAGCTTGGATCGTCGTTGGATAAACAAGATGAAACCTTACTGCTTAGCGCAAGAAAGCAACTGCGCGAAGTTACAATAAAACAGTTTAAAACCAACCTTAACAGTGCTTTACAGGACCGTAATTCTACTCGTTTGCAACACTCGTTGATTGAACTTGACAGTCCATCTCTTACTATGTTTCCAATGAATATGGACAAAACATTTAAAGATGATATATCGAAAGCGAGAAAGCTTTTAGATCATTTGAAAGAAATGGAAAAACTAAGAAAATCGGTATCGGACATGAGTCGATCACAACTTGCAGAAATTCACAGATATCCGAATCCACCTGAATGCGTTCGAGCCGTTATGACCGCTACTTATGTCTTACTTGGGGAAAAAGAGAAGGATTTGAAGGCAAGTCTTGCGTTAGATACAAATGTTAGTGAGTTAATTAATTATGCTCCTTGGATTTTCAATGGCGTCATTAAACTGAAAAGTTTCATTTTTATCTATTTTTAATTAAAGCACTCTAATCATGGTTTCGTCAAATTGCCATATATATATTTCAGCATGCGGGAGTAATGTTTCCCTTCACTGAAACATAAACACAAATATTTTCAATTTTAAACAATCAATATTTTCGCTTGTGTTTAATCCGTAATCGTGGTCCATTTATATAAATGTATAGGTAATTACAAAATGAGTTAGTTTTTGTGCTCAAAATGGTCATGTCTTTGTTTCTAACGAATAAATTTCAGGAATGGAATGATGTTCTGCGTCTCATGGTAAAGATGGGGAGAGAGTCACTCACGAGAAGAGTAGCAATTTGCAGTTCAACGCATGTGCCCACTGCAACCGCTCTTCGAGTTGAAGAACTTTTATCTCGTTTTACACTCACTCAAGTACAAGACATCAACAAGGGTGCCGCGAATTTTTACGCATGGGTGAGTTTGTTTCAGAATATAAAAGTTATATTTTGGGCTTATGTTGGGTAATTTACATGCGCATAATTCTCAAACACAGTACATTTTGCACATTCTCCTAGAATAAGCTAAAGCAGTGGGGTGTTGCCCACTATTATGCCATTAAACTCTTTTTCGGTACATTTTATGCTATATGGCGGTGGTCACAGAAGTTACATTTGCTTCGGGCCCGTTCGTTGCTAACTTTACAAGCGCTTCCCAACGCAACCACAATAACGACCTAATAGAGAAGGTCCTAAACGATCCAATTTTCAATAGGAATGGTTTGTTTAAGGCAATTGTAAACACGGCCAAATCCTTTCTTCCAACAGGCAAAATGCATGACAAAAGAAATTCTTGAAAGGCATAAAGATGACCCCCCAAAACAAATAGTTCCAAAACAGGCGCGTGTTCCTGAGAAACCTAAAGAACCGGTTACGAGTGATTTTTGGATAAGACTATCAAGGCCAAGGTCATCAGTTCCTACTAGATCTGTGCGATCTGCAAGAGTAAATCCACGACCAACCAGTGCATTGCGATGATCAGAAATTAACAACTTATCCAGAAAGCTAGACATTCCTATCGTTGGGCACAAGTGTTTTGAGCACGTTGACAGTGCCACGAATATTTTCTATGGAAAGCAAGAACGGGATGTCTAGTTGAATGCACCAGAGCACTTTTCAAAATGAGATATGTTTATCAAATATACGTTCACTGTAAAGCGTCTTCAATCATATATATATAATTAGATACGGGTTATATAGTATTTGACGATGTCCCGCGTGCAAATGGTGAGGAACATGGGGGAGTGGTGAGGAACAGTCTCAAGCAAGATCGCACTGGCGGCAGACATCTAGCCTTAGTACATGGCAAACTGCACACTTGGTCAGACCACTTACGTCGACTGCCGACGTCATCAGGCACATAGCTCGCGCACGGTCAGATTTCCATCGAAATCTGGCCGGGAAACAAAGCAAAAATTGATTTGGTAACGTTCGGTAACAAAATACACGGGGTTAATTACGTGGTTCTGTATGGTTAAGTTCTTGCCTGCGCACTCCGATGTAAGTTGATATTAGTTCTGTGCTGGAGACAAATGGCAACGGAATTTGGTTGAATGATGTTAATACATGTTTTGAGTAATACGTGGTTGTATTTCGTGGTTGTCAGAGTACCGTACTTTGTGGCAGAGTTACATAAAATTTATTATACTGTGCTAAAAGACCCCAATGCCGTTTTCGACAATTCGCCGAGATTACACATATTTTGCAAATTTCTACGACACGGACATCAATGGCCACGAACTTTTCACCGAAATTGAAGATTGCAGAATGCTGCTCAGTAACGACGTTTTACCCAATCTGCTAATTTCTCTACAAATTTTGTCAATAATATCAGTTTCGATTGCAAGCTGTGAACGGTCTTTCAGCAAATTGAAACTTCTTTTGTCGTATTCGCGTGCATCAATGGGACAGGATCGTCTCAATGATCATGCACTTCTAAGTGTTGAACGAGAAACATTGGAAAAAAAACAGATTTTGATGACGTGTTAACCAGTTTGCGACAGTGAAATAAAATAAAAAAATTATTGTAGACTATGTAAAAAGGTCTCAAACTTAATTTACTTGGGGGCCGCTGGGGCAGAGTCTGGATGAGTCCGGGCCGCATCAGGTTTTTCATAATAAAAGCTTAGCAACTCGTTTAAATTGTATTCCTTGTGCACTGCAACTTTAACTGTGCAGGTAAAACATGTCTGGATGCTCCTATGCTCAACAAAGAAATATTGCATTTCCCAGTTTTTTGAAATTGTCTGTGCTCATCACAAACCTTTCTGTTTACTGAAACTTCACTTCCAACGACACGTTTAGGAATGTGCGAAATTATAAAATTCCATCTTGTAATAACTGTTGCGCTGATGTTTTAAATGCCACTACCCTAACTTAGTTAGTCCAATTTAGGCCGACGGTGATGCAATTTTAAACGGTCAGTTGGGCAAAAACTTCGTGATTCTCAGATCGCCATGGCGACCAATTTAGATGTATTTTTGATTCCCTTTCCACGCAACACTCGGGAGATGCGGAACACAGTTTGGGAAACGCTGTATATTAAAAGCATTAATCGTGCTAAATGAGCTAAGTGACTTGCGGGCCGCGCTAACATTAAACTTTAATATCAATGCGGGGGCCACAAATTATCATCCCGCGAGCCGCAATTGGCCCGCGGGCCGCAAGTTTGAGACCCCCGATGTCAATCATCTTTGACAGTAACTGAGTGGGATAATATGGACATATATATGCTCTATTTTGTATAGCTTTGCGTCTTCTTTAAATAAAATGTTCCATTAAAATTTGAATACACATATTTTGAATAAATAATAAAATATATAAATACGTGTGAATGTACATATATAACTTGTTTTTACATATACAATTGATTGTAATAGAAAATATGATTAAACGTGGAGGTCGGGGCGCCAATTTTATAGTATGACCCGGGCGCAAAATATGCTGGCTACGCCTCTACACCGGGTTAACTGGCACCTTGATTACAGTATAAGCCTATAAGTTGTGATGGAAATCTATCTGCAATTTGCGCTTCGGCGGTCTGCGCATTGTGCTGAGCGTTAGGAATACGCTTGTCATCTGACTTCTAATCACCCTGTGTCAGTTCGCATGTTCAAATCCCATTGGGGCGATCATGTGCAGAACTACTCGTCGCCGTAGGTAGAGTGTTTGACGCAACCGCTAGCAATCACGACGTCCTATTGCGTCAAGTCTATGCATCTGAATCAAATAGCTGTCTGACTAATCCCAAACCCTATAAACACGCTTTCTTTACACACAATGGATTCCTTTGTCATCGTCGTTGAATTTGCTTGGCTCAGCGTGATAATCAACACCTCACCAGTCTGACAATCCCATACCCAAGCAGTAACGTTGAGCTACGCCTTGCAGATTAAAATCCATACTGTGACGTCACAGTATGGATTTTTTCGCTGTTGAACTCTCAAGTCTTATCAATAAATCTAAGCTATGAAAAAAATATTCACAGAAATAAATGATGAAATGAATTTATTAGAGCTCGACCGATATCACTTTTTGGCACCGATACCGATAACGATATATCGGCCAACTAGTGACCGATAACCGATATCGACATACCGATATCTACAACCTGAACCCGAAGTAAATACTAGTAAGAAAAATTCAGTTTCAGTCAATCAAAAGTTTAAGTTGAAAAATAAAACAGTCCTACACAGTGCTTGCATCATTGATGAAAGTTTCACAGCAAATAATAAGAACACACACAGAAGGCAATGTTTGAAAAAACCAAGCACAAAAGAAAAAGGCAGTCAGTAAAAAGGTTCTGGAAGTCCATTTTGATCCATACAGTAGTAGGTGGGGAGTAGGCTTGCACGTAATTTACGGAATTACGTAATTATTTCGAGTTACAAATTACGAGCGTTATGAGCGTGCCACCCAGTTTGAGCGTTTGGTTTCATGGTCAAAACGATATTATTATGAGCGTTATCACCGTGACGCAATTAACACCGACAGGCTTTTTTGTCTTCACGATTTGGTATCTTTTTTATTCGGCGCTGATAATGATGAATAAGAATGTGTGACAGTTGATTGTAATTCCGGAAGGCGTATTTTTCTTTCTCTCCGTGAAACAGACATGAAACGAATTTTACCGCCGCTATGGGCCCTCAAAAGGAGAGAAGGCTACTTTCTTTTCCCGACTTAATCACTTTTATTAATACAAATCACGGCGCATTAAAAAACAAAATAGAATTTATTAGCATTAATTCACAACGAGTTACGGGTAAGAATTTATCGCCGGCTAAATAATTAATATTTGATCTAAATTTATCGCAAATAATGTTATAACATTTAGGCCGCGAAATAATTTGATATAAAATGAAGCTTGGTAATCGGAATATCGTCAATAATTCAGCATCAATAACTATTATAAAATGCTAACTAGGTAGCAAAGTCGGATAATGTAAAAAACGTAGCAATAACAAGTCTTCGTCGCGAGGCAAGCGCAGGTATAATCAAACGAGATGATGCGCTTGTCGTTGATTAATAACTTAGAAACCCGAAATTTTTATTCAATACGAAAGTCGATTTTAAAAAAGCCAACTATCGTTTCATAAATATCCGTATACCAGGGTCGGTAATGATAAAATTGATCGCATAAAATTGGGACGGTTAATTTGCGAAGATGATAAAGGAAAATCACAGCCAACACAAAAGATAAAAATCAGAATAAATTTAATTTGAATTCACTCCTTGGTATTTGTCTTTAACATCTGTCGCCGCCGTGTAGTACTGTCGGTAATATGAAAACCAATTTCGATGTCCCGTTCGGAAAAGAAGTGGATTCAAATGGTTGTTATGATAGGTTTAAATGTGTGAAAAAATATCGTAATTACGGGGTCATTACGTAATCAATTTTGCCGTAATTACAGAATTGATTTTTGTCGATTACGTGCAAGCCTAGTTGGGACGCAAGATATTCGAAGGCGAGGATTTTGCGCCGCACGAAGAGATAAAAGAGAGAGAGAAATATAGAAGAGAACTCTATTCACTAAAGGCAAAATGAGAGAAGCGAAAAAAAGAAAACGCTCGGCCGCAGATATTTCCCGGGCAAAAATACTCATTTTTTAGAACGTGGAAAAGCGTCTAACACTGATATATATCGGCCCAACCGGCCGATATGATATATCGACAAACACGCAATATCGGCCCGATATATCGGTTGGCCGATATATCGGTCGAGCTCTAGAATTTATTTTAATATTTATTTCTCAGCTGAGATTTCAAATATTTAAAAGATTCAACAGTGTAATGAAGACGACTCTCAAGAAGAACTTTTACTGTTTGTAATTTGTATTAGGGATTAACTCACAACATGAATAATTTGTTAGAACCACCAAAGCTGGAAGCATTCCAATTTTTTGATAAAAAAAACTGAGGGTGCTAGTTTAAGAGTATCTGCCCAAGTTGACAGTTTTAAAATAGTTTACCATCCTAGGATAGCAATAATCTGTTCAGTTCCCATGTTGCAAAACGTCTGTCATTCAACATATTCTTAGGGTCATTTCAATTTGGTCATGTATTCCCAGTTATGACCTCAAAGTCAGTTCAACACATATTATATCAGTGTTCGGGAAACTAAAGTCAGCGGTCTCGACTCAAGATGGACTTGAGTCATCTTTTACAAGACTTAAGCCATGTAACACAAGGACTAAGACTAGGAAAAATTCGTTGAAATAGCAAAGAAACTTTCAGTGAATACGATTTTTCACTAAGATCAATGCTTTTTCGTTTCGATTTAAAAATGAACTTTACTACTATTCCAGTAATAAATGGTTTTGTTGTGTTGATGGTGAGGTCAATAGATGATTTAATTCCAGTTTGACTTTCAATATAATGTTGGTTTACCTCAAGATGAAGTTTTACTGTCAATTTGACTCGTATTTATTTATTTTATGGTTGAACTCAACTTATGACTCGGAAGTGAAGTGAGCAACTAGACTTTGAGGCTCAAAGTTAGGCACTTATACCTAGCAAGCCTTCTACATTGACAGAAGTCAAAATAATCCATATCTGTGTCTAGATATGCAACCTTCAACTTTTCACTTGTTGGAATCAGGACAAAATAGGTATTATCTTCGGGTTACACCAATTATATCCTCAGTTTTTTCAAATATCTCCTCATTCGATAAACTCGGATGAGCTTTTTGAAGTTCAGTGAAAACTTTGATGAAACTGAAAAATTATATAGAAAATATTATAGAATACTAAGTGTAAAAAATAATTTTTTTGGAAATCGGAGAGAAAGAAACTGGTTTTGGAGACTGTTCGAATCACAGAAGAAACATTTAAGCACCCTATGGTGAGACTATATAACAGTTACATATGAGTTTATAGTAATGTCTCCAGAAAAATCCCATACATAGACAAATTTGTACTCTTACAAAAACATGAATATTGAGCCAATAGACATTAAGTTAACCATTGCTTTAAGAAGATTAGGCTCTGTACAAACAATAAAAAAGTTGAAAACTTACGATAATGATAAATTCATTTCTTTTGGTCTTTCAATCAAATGGTGAACAGCTTCAAAATCTCCATACAATTTGTTAACAGACCTGTAATTAACCAATGACATAAATATCAATTCTAACTAAAGAATACATTCTGCTTGTTCGCAATTGCACGATGTATCGATTACAAAGGGAATTCAATTATGTCAGCTTTTATAATACCTAAAAATCAAAAGAACATTATATCAGGAATTCTAAAAAATGCCAATTTGAGATTCTATCCCATGTAGTTCATATAATTCCGTCTTGCAATGAAAAATAAATAGAAAAGTACAACTGTATTAAACTGTAACAAAACATCAAATAATAGAAATAACATACGCTCTAGCCCAGTCTTCTTTATACAACAGCGGTTTTACATTGTCTGCTTGCTTGATAAGCCCGTGTTCATCAGGAGTTGGACCATGAATAAAAACCGGTTCACGCTTTGGAGGAAATGCTTCATATATATCATACCACAATGGCCTGTCTTCAGCTTTCATTACTCCAGAGCTGATCAGCTTTTTAACTCTGAAAACATAAAGAAATAAGTATGGATGATGAACAGTATAGCAATCAAGTTGGATATGTCAGTTTATAGACCACATAAGTTTGCCAGTATATTCAACCCAGGAATTTTCCCACCATACATTGATATATCCGTCTGTCCGTAGGCTAATTGTCATGGCAGAATGGCTGAAAATCTTCCAATCCCCCAAGTCTGTAACAAAAATGCAAGAAAAATTCCCTCTGGCTTTTGATTCGTTTTTCATAGTTAATTATCATATTGAGCAGACATTTAGCTTTGATTTTTTCAAGATTTTCCAGGTTGATCTACGTGAAGACTAGTAAATGAAGTCCAAACAGCCATAATACGGTAATATGATAGTAGTCTACGCCTTATTCATATGACAGAACTACGGATGTCCAAGCTTCCGAAAACAAACAATATAACTAATCCCATACCCGACTTGGAATGGTAACCGGACGAGAGGCCGTGGTTCGCCATATGGAAAAGCCGTCTTATCGGCTTTCCTCTCCCCCGGGATAAATATGTAAATCCTATCCTATCCTAAAATCAAGTGCTTACCTTGAATAAATTGAGCCAATATTATGATTCCTTGTCCCTACAGACGCCATATTACAGCATTCAAAACTGGGTGTCTCTTAGAACTGTAGAACACAGACGGAGCCGTCTCCGTGCAACGTGTGTGCAAAGAAAAACAAGCTGAGGTTTCGGCAAAGCAGTCAGATCGAATTTCAAACGCAGGAGTCGAAATGGATTGGTACGATTCTACTTATTGTAAGTAATAAATAAAAATCAATGCTTTGTTTACTTTGGTAGGCACTATTCAAGAAATAGATGTTTAACCGACCTCTGACCCTGAAAGTTCCTTTCTGTAATTCATCATTTTGTTTTCGCAAAGATGGCTACACACTGTACACCACGACTATTTAATGGTTTTGAATATTTCCATGACGCCATCCTTTTCATTGCTACATGGCAACTTCAAGTACCGTAGTGAATGGCATGGACCTTTCCCCGAGAATCGACTTCCTTGTTTGTATGTATGTATGTATGTTTATTCGTCTCGTAAAAGCAATATAAAAGAGTAAATACTTATAAATACTGAAGACGGGATGTATGCACAAGACCATATTGGCCTAAAACACAGATGTGCGGCATACACCCCTTTGATTTATATAAATTATAATAGGGTAAATCAAATATGTACAATATGGTCCTTTATACAGGCAGTTGTGCGAGGAGGGTGGGTGGATGCGGTAACAGGGATATGGGTGGAGTGTACAAAACTGTTTGTACAAAGGAGTTTGTTAGACAAAACAACATCTATAAATAGAGACACAACACAACATGAAACACAATGCATATGAATATAGTAATGAAATTTTTTTCTAAAAAAAAAAAAAAATTAAGAATTTGGATGAATGTACAATACCATTGAGTGATGATACCACATACTATAAAAAGCGGGAATGGTCAAGTTTAAAGGGTGTGTACATATATGGTATGCACCACTCAAGGGTGACAGTGTTATAAGTGGTCTATGGCTGTTCTGGCCAAAATGTGACCCTACAGGTTTTGGCGAAATATGATAATAAAGGTATGTATCAAATGACTCACTATTATAAGGTTTTTTTTGAAATTCTGGATTCGGCCAAAAACAATGAAGTTTCAAAAAAAAAATAAAAAAAATTAATAAAAAGCATTTCCACAAAACCTATTATGGTTGCATTCCAGCCAGAAGATTAGAAAGATATAAAGGTACAGTGGGATAGGGAATGATAAGTTATAAAGAGAAGCCATTTTACCATGTCATGGATTTTCCAATGTAAATTAAAATAATAAAATTATACGGTATCCCGGGATGAGCAGAAGAAAAAGTGGTAGCAACAATGGAAATAAATTGAACAGCATGCTACTCAAACAAAAACCATTGTCCCTATTCCCTACTATTTGAGCGTTCTATCTATAACCTAAATTGCTGTACTTTTGTTGTTGTCTAATTACGCATTATAATGAAATTAGAATGGTGTGCTAGTTATTAATTCAGTCCATTGTTCTATATTGAATCCGGGTGAAGTATCCTGTGGAGTTATTGAAATTGTCAGCTGGTCTATGGTGACTGAAGAGGAGGACAGTTTCCTGATAGTTCATTTAATCCAAATAATCAACAGCTCTCCCTTTCAGTGTTGAATTGACCTTAAAAAAAATGATCTCCAAACAGTAACATGTTCAAAGCAGAGAAAATTGCTAATATGATGATAATATATATTGTTTAAGTTTGGAACGAAATTCTGAGTTCGATTTTGAATTTTTGATGTCATCGGGTAGGGAGTTCCAAGCTTTTGGTCCACATACTGCGATTGATTCTTGTGAAATACTTTTACTGACAAATGGAATAAAAAAATTATCTTTATTTCTGCTGTTTGAATTTGGGTTTGCTTGGAACAGGCTGTTCAGGCTGGACGGAAGCTCTCCAATGTGACAAGAGAACATCATATTACATAGTTCGAATTTAGCTAAATCCACAACTCGTAGTAGCCTATGCTCTTTAAATAAGTCATCAATTTTTTCGCGATTACCTCTATGAAAAACTCTTCTAATAAAGCGATTGCAAACACTTTGAATTTTTTTGAGAATGGACGATTGGCGATGAACATAGGCTGAGGCACAATAACGAATATGGCTTTCTATCAGAGAGTGGTATAGAGATATTAAACAAGATGTATTTAAGTAGTTGGCTATTTTCGTAATGGCACTAAGAGACGACCTTGTTTTCGATAGAACCATATTGGTGTGTTGTTTCCAAGACAATTTAGACAATGTTTACTTCGTGACACTGGCCAATCAACAAGATGCAAAAAGTGACGTAACAATGCTCCCATTTCGCATCCGCTCAGACAGATTTTCAGGTGTGGTCGTAATCATTACTTCGTTTTCGAACTCTATTCGTTAGTTTTCAGTTGTGTTTCGGAAATTTAAATATAAATCAGATAATTCAATAATTACTCTGTCTTTATAGGAGTTTTAATTTAATTGCAGTAATAAAGAATCTGTGTAGAAATAGCTGTGATAGACTGGGCTAAAATTCTTTACCGGTACTTTAAAAAACAGATTGTTGTATGCAATGAATCATAATGATGGTTTAAAGCCCATACCCCATTTTACAGGCGCCAACTCGTGAAACCTCTCTTAAAATAAGCCCCGAAAATTTTGCAATAGTGAAGTATAGAAAATTTTTTACGATGGTCAAAGTTCGGGAAAGGTCCATTGGAGAATATTCCCAAATGTAATTATTTCTGCAAAACGTCGCTCTGAAGCGCCGTCCGGTCGATTTCTTTGCTTCGTTTTAATTAAAACTAATGATGAAAAACTTTTTCCGCATGAGCCTAACTAGTTGAAAATACGGACAACAGTTTGATTGCTCGCTGAATCAGACAGTGATGATTATTCGTTATCGAGAAATATGCAAAGTTGTGACAGTGATTCTTTTTTAAATCTGGTCTGTAAAGTAGAATCACAACTTTAATCAAGCTTTTTAATTGGGTTTATCATAACAATCTTTCTTCAGTTGATCGACGCCTCAAACAAAATGAATTTTCATTACAATGACAAAGTCATTAGTAACTTGGCACCAGGCTCAAAATCCTGCAGTGTATCACCTGGAAACTATATAAGTGGCTCATGCTTTTGTTGCGCGTCTCGTGACCACCTGCAGGGTCGCAATAAGTTCATATCTTACTGGATGTCAAGAAGCCCTGGAATATTGTACTGGTCTTGGCTGTTTTCTGGTTTAAACGGAGATATATGCATAACCTTTTATTTGGATGATAATATTAATCAGGAAAAGCATGCAACATAGAAAAACCATGAGTGCCAATTATTAGGTATCTGAATCTTGCGGGATTCGACGGAGCTTTAATTAAAACGAAGCAAAGAAATCGGCTGCACGCCGCTGCAGAGCTACGTGTTGCAGAAACTTCATTGAGGCCTCACTTGCAATCCTGTATTGGAAACGAAACGTTACCAAAATTTTCACTAGAGGTAATTGTGTTTGTACGTGATTTGACATGTACATGTTTTTCATGTGAGATGTTTTATGCGTGCATAATGGGTGCCCAGCACTGCATTTCATTACGCAAATATATATATGGTATTATTTTATGTTTCATCCATTTTAATTATTGGCCGGCACATTATTTGATAGTTTTTCTTCGTGTGACATGTTTTTGTCTAGTAGCATATTGAGTGCCCGAAATTACGCAAATATATGTTTTATATACTTTTCCGGCCATTTCAATTTTTTGCCGGTCCGCGAGTACATTTAATTTTACCGTCCACCTGGGTAGAAAGGTTGGGAACCACTGTCCTACACAAAAACTACCTTTCTGCGGAATATTTGCATTCTATTAATAAATCGATTGTATTAGCTTTCATGCAGAGACGCATCGTACAGGTAGGCTATGTGGAAAATGAAAAGGATGAAACATGTTCACTTTTTTGTCGAACGTTACAAACCCACAGACATGCAACATGCGATGGATTTTAAAACTACACAACAGTTACTAATGCAGATTCCTGTTCCAGGCCCAGGTATAGGTACTAGATTAGGAGCCAAGCATTACTTAGGCCACAAACTTGCTAATAACAGACAGTCGGTATGACAACAATACAATAAGGCTCAAGCAAAATTATATATACAGTTTTTAATATTACGCCGATAATAGGGAAATGGAATTTCAATATTCCATTTTCTTTTTTCTCGTGAGACATGTCTGCGTGCATTATTACGAAAGATATTCGGACAATAGCTAACAATAGACTTACGTGAAGAAAATGAGCACACATGTGCTCGCTATTGTGTATTATTCATTTCACAATACATCATCCATTTAAAGTGGTTTACGGATTGTTTAATGATCTGATTTACACAAAAGGTCAAGGGGAGAGCCCAACCAAAGAGCAGCTTGAGACAGCAGTTTATGCAGGGAGGATATTTCATGAATTAAATAACTCTTACATCGGTGAACGATATTGTCAACTGCAATCGTCATCATTGAGCAATTATCTAAAAGAATAAACGTGTTTGACGCTAATTCAAACAGATATTTTTTCACTTTGAATATCACTTTTTAATTTTTTTTTTCATTTTTAGATTGTGTGATGGAAGCGAATACAATAATTCAGGCCTACCAGATACGGCGCTCCCGAAGTATGTGAACCAAGATGACGCACAACCTGAACCCTAACCTGGTATGAGACCCAGACATCTTTCTACTCAACAAACCTAAAATTCAGCGGCTTAAGTCTTTCTAAATTAAATTGCTCAAAAAGTAAATGCTGGTTTGCATATTTTAGACATTGTCGCCTAAAATCCAATCACATTTGATACTTCTCATAAGCAGGGCTTCCATACCATCAATAATTGTGTTGTTAATAAAGTTGTCTTTGTTTTTAAAATTTATTGAACACGAAATGAACCTATGAATCGTTTCGTTATCATTATATATGTTGTTTTCATGAAAAAAATCGCTTTTCTGTTAAACTGAAGGAATATTTGCTTTGAAATGTTCAGTGATTCAAGCTTCCTATTTACGATAGAAGGCTATTATACATTCATTTATTTCAAAAAAGTCTGTGGGCTCTATGGCATTCGTTTTTCACTTTAAAGTTTTGTGTGATGACGTCGTCAAGAGTAAAAATTGTGCAAAATGCCGCGATTCAATGATCACATCTCAGCGGTCTGACTATCAATACTGTAAAAGATTGGATAGGCCTTTTAATTCGTTTTGGATTTCGTATTCTTACATTTGAGCATAGCTCTCTCGTAGTGTTTTTTGAGTTCCATTAATTCGTTATACTTTCATCAATTATATACGCATAAATGTCAATGAAAAAAGTTTTTAAAATGAATATGGCAATATTTCTGCGGGTTTCAATGTCGCGAATCTTCATTTATTTTTTGAGCCTATGATTCAGCCTTGTTTTCCGCCAAATCTTTTAAGCCTTGTCGTATTTAGCTTATACTGCCATAAATCTTTCGCTTGGGCAAAAATGAACTTGGGTTGAAATGAAATGTTTGAAACTGTTTCGATAAGACAGAGATAATGATTTATTTCCGAATATATCAAAAATGTACAGATTGCAATGGATACAAAAAACAATCAAAAAATATAATCGGGAGGGGGCGGGCAAGACTACAAGGTCAACTATGTTGACCGACCCGACCCCTAAAATGAGAAATTCTTTTATAAAACTTATGGTAATTATACCTGGAGCAACTTGTTTTTACCACGTACTGTACTTATTACTTTTTTCTAGCTGACACAGGTTATATTTATAAATGCCGGTAGAATATGCATTGGACGAGTAGGCTACCTGCACAACATTAATGTTGCCATGAAATATTTGAAGCCTAATATAGTGATAGACAACTTGTCACAACACATCGAATATTATCTAGTAATATTTACCAGAAGAACCAGTCTTATCTCTATGGATCAGATTAGACTACCGACAGCGTAATATCAGACACGTTGTTTGCAATTTGCATGCTTGAATCTGCCGCGTCGGATTCGCACCCCTGCCTGTTAGAAACGTCATCCTTTGGCCACACAGAGCGACACGCGGGTTAGTGGTGTAGCAACGAAAAAAGATTGCCGGTACTATCGCGGCGTGATTCTGTTGTTCGGCGTGTAGCGCGTGTCTTTATCGAAAAGCATTGTTTTTGTGTTTCCTTTCACGGCGTGCGTTGTCGCCTCCTTGTATTTTACCTTGGCTGTGACGTTTCATAACTAGTTCAAAAAGTGTTGATAATGTCGGTTAATTTAGTTTATGCACATACGTTAGTTTTGCCATGTGGCATGTGAAGTCACGTTGTCTGATTGCATAGTCACGTGGGCATAATCTACAAGTAAAAGCTGTTTGTCTGCGAACAGGTGGATGTAGTTTCGCAGCGTTTTTCTTTTCACTGGGCGTGGGACCATAGAAAGCTGAAATAGATTGATCGTCTAGTTTTGTTAGCTCAGTAGCTGCAGCATGGCAACATAATTTGCATTGCAATAAGCATTGGGAGATAGGCGATGTCACAATTTTATAATCTGATAATGCTGTATTGGTACCAGCTTTTTAGGTTATACAGTCTGACAGTTATAGTCAAAAAGCTGTGTACAGTATCCTATTGCTGTATTGTTAATTCTGTAATTACAGTAATATTCTATTGATATTGTATCAAGCTTCCTAGTAAATAATTTCAATTAGGCTACATTAAGAATGATAGCCTACCGGTACTGCATTACTGTGATATGAATGAAATTACTGATTCAGATTGTAAATAAAAGTTCAGTAGTTTGTCTGACAGTAGAAGTAAGAGTGGAAGTGGTGACTCCTCTTCGGCCCATGGGCCGGGGCCACGGCCCATCGAATTGGGCCTCGGCCCATCCGGCTATGGGCCGCGGCCCATCAAGTTGTGTAAAGAAACTATTCACTTGGCTAACACAGACAGTCCCCAAACTCATAATAGAACTATAATGTAAAAAATCTGAACAAAATTTTGCCCTAACCCTAACCTGGTACACATACTACAGGAGTTTATTTTTTGGTTCGAATATTGACAATTTTGTAAAAATTGAAAATTTGGTAAGATAATTGAATTTTTCCTGACGGGGCCGCGGCCCATAGCTTGATGGGCCACGGCCCATGTGGCCCAATTAGATGGGCCGTGGCCCCGGCCCATGGGTCGTAGAGGAGTCACCACCCCTGTAGAGAAGTAATGGGTCTAGTATAGTTAGTACCACAAGTACTTCCGGTGGGCGTAGCATAACAAAATTTGCACATGTTATTTCTAACCCCTACCTGACCCGAAACGACATATGCGCCGACGATAACGAACTCACTAACGCCAGCGATCTCTCTCATATGGGATCGTTGCGACGAGAAAACAAGAAAAATAACTTGCTCAATTTCGGGTGATCGTCTGTGCATTTTGGTCGACCATCCATGCACTTTGGAGATCTTTATTACGCCACTTTGACGTCGTAGTGACGTACTTTTTTAGTGATGTAGTCGGGGTGGGGCTTAGGAATGACATATGAAAAAATTGTTGAGCTAACTAGTGCATGTGGTACTAACCTATACTAGACCCGAAGTAATATTAACATTAAAGCTACGGTAATTCAAAAATTATAACACTATAGTCAAAATAAGACAAACTCGTAAAGCTGTGGAGGGCTATGTCGTGTTTTTACCTCTGTATCTAATATTCAAAACAATTCATGTGAAACAGTAAAATGAATCCACAAGTTAAAGAATTTCATTTTTTCTTACACCGCTTCGCACTACAAAATAATGACGCTTAGTCTGTAAGCACTTGTAGGTGGATAGGTTGGTTACCCACTTTTGTAATTTAATTAATTAATATTGAAAATATAAGCGACTTTGATGACTCAATTCAACACAATTGCCAACTACTTTGACTACGAAATCTTTGCTCATAAATGTCAAATAACCCAACTCCTTTAAAAGTTTAACGGAAAGATGATTTTAATTCTATTCCTGTCCGTGGTTTTACTTTTTTCAACAAATTTTCATTTACTCATGAAAAAAATTGATTTCGAAGTGTCTAGTAGCGTCATGTAGGATATCAAAATGTACCATTGGCAGTATTCCCTAAAGATACTACAAATTCTCCTGTGTATGACTTTCTTGATGAACTGTACATCAGTACATGGCAGACAGATCGTGGAATCCCCTATCCTCTGTTGTTCAACCTCAAATATTCATATAGCGCCAAGAACTCAATTAATTTAATTGTTTGCATGTTTTTATTGGCTGCCAAAAGTTTTTGGGGGCCCTGAATTCAACTGCCATATGGATGACTAAATTGTCAATTCTATTCAGTAGTCGTCAACTTGAACATGATCTGATAATGCTGAAAGCCTCATTCAAACTAATCTGCACTTCCCTTTAATTAATCGTAGTATCTTCATTGGTTTTCCCAGCAAATTCCAAATTAACTTAGCATAATGACAGACGTTGTGGCCAAAATTGAGAATGAAGATGAAGTTATGAAATCAGAACATTATCAAAGTCTAATAGAAGCTGGCTGCACGGAAAAAGTTGCCGGAGCTTTAGATGCCATTTTTGTAGAAGGTTTGTTTGTTATTCGATTATCATTGTGTAAAGAAAGATTGGATCTAACATAGATTTCCTTATCACAATGGTTGTTTGTTTGGATTTGAAAATATATCGTTTCTACTTTCTATGGTTTTACGTTGTGATTTGGTTCACCACCGATGATGAAAATACTTCTTTCCCCGTCATATTAATACATGATGATACAACTACAAGCTCAACAGATCTGAGGTGGTGAACTGACGATGTATAAACTTTTGAAACTTACTGGTCGGGGAAATTAATTGGTCTTCGTGTGTTAAAATGAATTTAAATTCATTATATATGTATACATCCAAATCGCGATACTTTAAAAATATGCGACATACAACTTGAATATTGAGGTAATTTCATGTTACAAATGTGTTGAATGAATTTGGGTATTTATAATCAAAGTAATCTCTAAACCGAAGAAAACCTTGCCACGTGACATTCTAAACTCATATTCCAATTGGTGACTTATTCCATTGCTTTTAAATAATTAATCATTTGCAACTTCTGTTGTAGGTCTAGTCCAATACAGTGAATTAGATGAAAGAGCGATTGAGGCATTAAAAGAGCTCGAAGAGGATGGAGCTATCGCTGTTTTAAAGCAGTTTAAAGATTCTAATCTTCAGGTAAAAAAAGCAATGGGGTAAAGCTCATATTTCACAATATCTCTTGGTCTTGTGCAATTAGATTTAGTTGTAAAATAAATTGTAATATTGCATAGCACTTAGCGAATTATAATCGTATGTTTCTAATTTTACAGCATGTCCAGAACAAAAGCGCCTTTCTTTGCGGTGTAATGAAAATCTACCGACAGAGACTCAAGGCAGAAAAAGATGGAAGAACCAATCTCAGCCAAAAAGTTGGGCCCAATGAAGACGATATTCAAGTACGTAATATAGAAGTTATTTTGGTGGAAAAATTCTGTTTTACATAACTTTTTCTTTGTACTTCACCAAATTACTAATTGGACTGAGCAATTGATAACTTTCTGATAATTATTTTGTATATTTTCATGGAATTCATTTTTACAATTGATGTAGGCTCTTCTGGATAGAACGAAGTACTCCTTAGATGTAACCACAGGTCAACGAAGATATGGTGGACCACCACCCACAGAAGTTTATGATGGTGAAGAGCCAGGACCAGGCTGTCAGGTATTTATTCGAATATCATTGTGTAAAGTAAGAGTGGATCTAAAAGTAGAATTTCGTATAACCACATTGTCTGTCTGGTTTTATTCAAAAATAAATTGGTTTTACATTGTGATTTGGTTCACCACCGATGATGAAAATACTTCTTTCCCCGTCATATTAATACATGATGATACAACTACTAGCTCAACAGATCTGAGGTGGTGAACTGACAATGTATAAAAAATGAAGTTTTGAATTGAGCATCTTGGTTTATTTGAGTATTCACAGCCAGGACCAGGCTTTCAAGTATTTTTCTTACCTGTTTGTTCTTCAATAACTCTCTAGGTGTTTGGCAGATTAAGCTAGGTGTTAGGAACATGTGTGCCATCACACCTCTGATTATCCTGCAGAGAATCTCGAGTTTGAATGTATATGTGAGAAGTTTCGTAGGATAGTTCACATGACTCCTGATTGGTTACTCCTCCATTAATAATAAGCCCATGTATCTGAATCAAGTAACTGGTTAACTATTCCTGCCCCCGAAATGCACAAGTACTGAAATGAGAGGCCATATAAGCAGTCTTTCCTCTTTCCCAGGATAAGTATGCAAATTTTATCTCCAATGTTTCAGTTTTGAATTATTATGTTTGTATCCTATAACAGGTATTCATTGGTCGAATTCCAAGAGATGTCTTTGAAGATGAAATCATACCACTTCTGGAAAAAGCCGGTACAATATGGGATTTCAGACTAATGATGGAACCATTATCAGGGCAAAATAGAGGCTACGGTTTCGCGTCATTCGTACAGAGAGACATGGCGGTGGAATCCGTGAAATTGGTTAGATTACTGAAATATATATTAAAAAAAAATACATTGTCATCACAAGTTCATCTCTGAGATTTTGATTGAGAAAGCTTTATTGGAAGTGCCACTGAGCCAGATTAGGTCAAACAGATTTTTACTCATTTAAACAATGCATTCTGCTTTTACAGCTGGATAATTACGAAATAAAACCGAAAAAATTTCTTGGCGTCTGCCTGTCACAATCAAATTGTCGCCTGTTTATCGGTTCAATACCTAAAAATAAAACAAAAGATGAAATTTTTGAAGAGTTCCAGAGTTTATCACGTAAGATTGTTTTGCCCTCTTTTTTAATATTATTTGTTTTTTCTATTTTGATTGATTTACCACCAGTGATGAGAATACTTCTTTCCCCGTCATATTTATATGTGATGAAACCTACTTATAAGCTCAACAGATCTGAGGTGGTCATATACATAAGCAAATAAATTTGTTTATAAATTGTGATATAACTGTAAGATGCTGATTACTGAATAAGTAGTAAGTATTCATGAGGCACCCACCCCTTCTGCATCTTTCAGTCTAAACTGTAACAATTTATTGATTTCTGATAATTCAGTTATTGCCAATGCCAAAATTATTTCATCTGCAGACATCCGTGACCAGAGACAGACATTATTTAATCTTATTTTGAAGTAATGTAAAAAAAATTTGTTGCAGCTTGTCTAAAAGATGTCATTGTTTATCATCAAACCGAGGACAAGTCGAAAAACCGAGGATTCTGCTTCCTTGAATACACTGATCACAAGTCTGCATCGCAAGCACGGCGAAAACTTGGATCGGGAAAAACAAAAGTTTGGAATAATCTTGTGTCAGTGGACTGGGCTGATCCGATCGATAATCCATCTGATGAAGTCATGTCAAAGGTATATATACATATTATTGATTGGTATTTATCGTTACCAGTGTTGGGTAAAAGTGCCTAAACCCATAGCTGCTCGTCATTGGTCATCAGCCCAACCTAATTTTTTACACCTTTGATGAGAAGTATGGTCGAGTCACTCACTCAGTTAGGTCTCATTGAGTCGGGACTCGTTCTTTTTAGACAGTTATCGTTAAATGGCTGCAAGAGTTTAAGATGTCGGAACTTAGCCCCGTCAACACTTTTCATGAAATTTAAGTATAGGGTCTTTGCAGTTGTGTAACCCAGCTAATCAACCTTTACATTATCTTTTACAGGTAAAGGTTCTGTACCTGAAAAATTTGGCGACCAAAGCTTCCGAAGAAGTAATCCAGACAACATTTAGTTCATATGGCGAAATTGAAAGAGTGAAAAAAATCAAGGACTACGCTTTTGTGCATTTTAAAGATAGAGAGCAGGCTTTGAAGGTAAGGTTCTGCTTTGCTTTTATCGATCTCTCTAAGTAGATGAGTGTCTGAAGAAGTACTACTGTATTCTGTTCAAATATTTCTTTTATTTATAGGCAATGCAAGAGCTGAACGGTCTGAATCTGGAAGGTGAACCAATTGAAATCAGCCTTGCAAAACCAGTTGATAAAAAAAAGAAGGAAAGACAAATGGAACGAAAAATGAATCAGCAGTACGTAGAGAAGCATTTTTATTTTTCCGCAATGCAAAAATTCATTTTTAACTCTGTCCTTATGCTATTGCAGCATGGGCATACCCGGGCAGTTCAATCAAAGAGGGCAGCGCGGAAGAGGACCACGTGGTGGACATATGGGCCCAATGGGTTTTCCACCGATGCCGTACAACAGTGGCGGATTCGTCGATGATTATTACGATTACATGGGCTTCGGAAGTGGTTTTGGCGGAGGCTACGATGACCCGTATTTTGGTGGAATGGGAATGGGTGGACCTGGCTTTCGGGGACGCGGAAATATGATGATGAGAGGATACAGAGGCAGGTGAGCAAGTCATATTATTATTGTAATAGACAGTTATTATATTGTTATGGGCTAGAATATCGTTCCAGACACCCAATTAATTGTCCCTAAAAGTAATAAAAATCGAATTATTTTCTCAAAAAGTTAAGTGTTTGAATGTGATGTACGAGCATGATGCCGAACAGTTTGGAAAAATATCTATTTATTACAGGGGCTTTGTCATGATATGTGATAAAAAAAAATCTAAACATGATAGTCTGAAAAATTTGAAATTTTTTTCAATTCGATTATCAAAATTTAAATCATTCATTTTTTCTTTTCTTCTGCACCGATCAGCATGGGTATGGGCATGGGTGGCCCAATGAACTTCATGGCCCGTGGTCGTGGTGGGCAGGGGGTCAGGGGCGGCCGCGGAGGAGCCCGTGGAAAACCAAATCTAGGTGGCAAACGTAAAGCTAACTTCAATGGCGATGGTGTCGGTGGAAAACGGAGGCAGACTGAGGGGGGTCAAAATTCTCAAAACATGTGGGGTAATCAGCCCATTGCTCAGCAACCATTGGGTGACTTCACTGACGAATCACAGTGGATGTAAACTCTCTGTAATGGGGTACAATTCGGTATTTGCTTATGTAACAAGACAGAGAAAAAAAACTTATTTTTATTTGAACTTGAAAGGTTGTGAATAATCACAATGGTTTTGCTCAATGATGTTATCCTGCCTGTGCCCAGTTCATTTTACTTTTATTTTTATTTTATTTACTTTGTCAATTTTGTAGCGTCTCGTCTTTTGTTTGTTTACACCAACTACGCTCAAACTTTATAAAAACTATTGCTGAATGAATTATTTGTTCAAATTTGTACTTCACGATCGTGCGAAGTTTCAATCCGGTCTCTGTATAAAATTGCAATAAAATTGTTCAAACTTCGAATATTGTCAAATTTGTCAGTTGTGAATCCCAAAGTCTTCAAAAATGACTTTGGCTGGTATTTGGGCAGAGGATTCAAAATTAGCAACCTCATGAAAATGGGCAAAAAACGAAGCCTTCAGAAACTATATGGTTTACCTGGTCAATGGTTTACCTCGTCAAAACGTTGCGTTGAAATAAGACTTCATCTTGAAAATATGGATTTAAGCGTAAAACAACTTCATTCATTCGAAAGTTCTGGTGACATCTGAAAGTTCTCAAAAAAAAAAAACGAACTTGAAGAAACTGCTATGCACTTATTGGATCGTGCTGGCACAAATTGTGGATTTGGCACCTGAGACCAAAAACTGAATCTGTAAACAGTTCTGTCGTTATTCTTAAACAAATCTGGTGCAGAATTTTTCATCTCGACAGAGGTATGATTTTGATCGATTTTCACTCCAAAATGAACAGTAAGAAATTTTATATTTTTGGACAATTTTATTTAAAATTCGAGCATTCAAATTTGCGTTTAAACCTATTTTGTATTTGTCTCGAATCTTGATTTTTGAAATCTGCGTTATCATGCAAATGGTTATTTCATAGTCTTGATGTATTCGGGGTGTCCATTCCTTTTAAAAGAAAATATCAATGCAATGTGCTTATGAGTGTTATGTTTTTAATACAGGAATTATGGAGGGTTCTTGAGCACATGAAGGAACCAGCTTGCTGCCCAAATGTCGAGGGAATGTGTCAGCCATGCTATCTGCCCCATGTGACATAAGAAGAGTCACAAAAAATGGACATGCCTTGTTCAGTGCATCAGTTCTCTACAGACTCAACTCATTTTCCTTCAGCAAATTTTGAATTTTCCTGTTAGATTTCTTCGTTTTATCATACCTTTTTGAGGACATAGCTTTTACACAATGAAGCTGATCACTGCGCCATTCTGTAACTTTTTGAATAATGGTTCCATATGTAATGGAATGTTCCTGCATGTACTGTGCGTACAAACCTTGGTGGAGGTTCAGTCTTTGTGTTGAACCAGATTCATTTTTTTTCTTTATCAATCATCTTGTTCTATTACTAAGCTGCTAGCTATGTTTTTGTATGCATGAACGTTTTATTCAAAATAATTGCGCCATCTTTACATCTTAGCCTCCTAAATGAACTTAATATGAATATGAAGTGATTCATACGTTTTTTCAAGTTCCATGAACAATCATGTATGTTTAAACTTTTTATGGCTAGATTGGATTTGTTTTCGTTATTGTTTTTTGTGTGTTTTTGTTACCCTTTGTGTTCTTATCTATGATTCTTGATATTATCAATAGTAAAAATACTGGCCCGGGTCCCCTTAAATCTGCAGCAAGTTAAAAAATAGTTACCCTCGACTGACCCAAGCAAATCGAAATTGTTTCGAACATTTTTTGTCTGCTTTTGCAATGATGCATTTGTATTGTGTGTAATGCTTCTTCTGATTTGACAAAAGTAAAAGGAGCTGTAAGTTCCAAAAACTTGTTTTTGTTAATGACTGTATAATGTACCAGCGTTATAGAAACCATTCACATGTTGTATGGTGACGCACCTTGCTATGTTTAGTTACACTCCACTCCAAATATCCCTCTCTGAATTGGGCGTTTAGTATGGCGCGGATGTCTGCCAATATTTTATATTAGTGTTTGCGTGGATTCATTTCCTTTATGAAGACTGTTCTATGAATCCCATTTCAAGTTGACATGTAGATACAATAACCGGAGGAGGCATTTAAGTACACCCGCGATCTACTTGGCTTGCCGTGTGAAAGACGCGTTTGATATTAGTTTGAGATTCGATCGCCCAATAGAATCTCCAGATATTTATCATGCGATGGTAATCTGGCTGTATGCCTGGCGTTAATCATGCCGAGTCTCCATTTATTTATGCTGTTCTCCCATTGTGACTGAATGAGTTTTGCAGTGTATTTGTATCAGGCGTATTACTATGACCATGCTCGAAGAAAAGAGAATTTAAGGTTAAATCAACCCCTCATCTTCACTTGTACTGCCAGAAAGCGTCGGTCGTTGAAAGTTCACATAGCATTTCACACTAACTTCAATACTGCTAAAAAGCGTCATTCGTTGAACGTTTGAATAGCATTTCATTAACTTCAATAATGTTAAAAGGCGTCAGTCGTTGAATGTTTGAATATCATTACACCGTAACTTCAATGCTGTTAAAAAGCGCCCGTCGTTAAACGTTCAAATATCGTTTGTCCGTTACTGAAAGCCGTCAGTCGTTGAATGTTTAAATAGCATTTCGCCGTAACTTCAATACTATTAATCGGCTTCACTGAATTTATTAGTTTTGTATACAACGCGTGATTTAGTCTTTCTCTATCATGCTGACGGATTTGTAGGCGTGTGATTATGCGAGAGTGTTGCATCCAGGGATGAATTCACCATTTAAAGTACGTGCTCAGTGCACCTAGGAAACGACAATATCACAGAAATTGTCATATCCGAGTTTGCAATAGTGCCTCTGTGTTTAATGAAGTGATTGTTCAGACCTAAATACAGTTTTGGCCCAGCTGGAATAATTTTGCTTATTTTTCTTTTTTAAGTATCATCTTAAACCTATCTATAAGTGTTTGTAGTTATGAGAACTATTTCCGAAGAATATCATGCAAATTAATTATAATCTGGCCTTCAATTATTAAGAATATACCCTAAAACTTGTTTATTCAATTTCAGATAACACGGAACTCTTGTTATATTCCTATTATTATTATTTTTTCCAATATGACACCAAAGTCTTAAGTGCTTATAGTCTCTAACGGCCTAGGATAGTTTTTTTTATTATTAAAAACGTCACTTTTTATACACACGATAATATATAATTACAATTGCACTTAAAAAAATGAGTTCATGATAATTTTCCACTTTTTTACATGATTCGACAGTTTACATTTTTTAGTTGCAATAATTTTTTCACAGTTGAAAATACTTTTTATCATATATAAAAATTGATCAAATTGAGGCCTCTCATTACGTAATTTACATTTGTAAATATAATATCTTGCACTTAGTAAAACACAGTTTATACCTTGGTTTTGCCCTACCCAAAGGCCAGAATCAAATTTCTTCATATGTCAGATCAAGATTTAACCCATATTCAACAGTTAGCTATGCATTCACTATTTCCCAAAATTGTTGCACAAATTAACAGAAATAAAATAAATGTAACACTGTTTCGACATGACTCTCACAAAATGTACATTTTGGACTTGATGTCTTATTTATTCTAAATAACAGGTTATTTGTAGGCACTGCTCTCAGAGAAAATTTGACATGGAAAGATCTAAGTCGCGATTCAATAGTGCAATAAAACACTTTTTCATACTGCGTCAACTAATTATCCAAGTTCTTGCACAATTCATTTGACCATTTTTCTATTTTCCCATTAGGAATCAAAATTTTTACATTACGGAGCCTAGGATAGTTGAGAAAGAGCTAGTCAAAATTAGCGAGGAATCAATGAGCATCTCCTAAGTTTTGTGGATCGTGGTTTCGCAGCATACGCGCTGCCGCACCGGAATCGGTTGCAGGATGTGAAAGTAATATTAACAAATTAATTAAGTCAAAAATATTGCGCGATAATAAGAATCAACATTGCAAATTTTGAAGTCGCGGAATCTCGATTTGAGATTTATGATATAATAGCAGAAATTTAGTCTTATCTCTTAAGATTTGTCAGAAGCGATAATTTGTTAACGCTATTCATAACACATAAAATAATCGTATTTTACACCATTAACTCATGACATGCTGGATAGACGATTGAAAAAAAAACAGAAGGTAAAAAACGCAAGATACTAATAAACATCGAAAAACTGTGTGTTTGCGTTTTCTTGATTTATGAGAGAGAGAGAGAATTTATTGTTTCGTCAAACCAGAAAACACGTACAATATATATATGATAGCAAAATGAGAAAAATTAGATTTCGGTAGATGACAGGGTGGTAACGATACGACCATTAACAGTCATCTGAGTCGGTTACCACCCAAAGCAAGCACATGAATAAATAAATTAATAACACAGGTTCTGTAATATTACACTCTCAGGATATACATATGGAAAAAAAACTATATACACTATGGAAAAAAAAAAAGATATCTAATTAGAGATGAGAAAAATTTCTAATAGGGATTAGGAAGTTATTAAATAAATTTTAAATAAAGAGGAGCAAAAAATAAGAATTCCATACCAAATTTATTATTATTTATTATATTAATTTACACTTCCAATCTGTTCTGAATCTTCTTTTGTGCTTACACATGATAAAATATGAGGGATATGATCACAGGGAAATTGAAGGTTCTATGAGTGACAATAATGTGTTGTGCGAAGAAAACCATAGATTGAGATATGAAATATAGGCATAACAGTAGTACAATTTTATATTTTCAATTCATTAGGGTGAAGAAAAAAAGCAGGATGCATATGGAACTTCTGCGAGATTTACACATTACTACGCAGAACAGGTATTAAGATGGGAAACAATCAGATTGGTATTGCAACCCTTCACAAATAATTTAGAAATAGTCAAATATGACTATGAGTTGAAATAGATATGTGATATTAGATAAATTTTGACAAGGCTGGGTCAAATTAAATCACGATAGCCCAAAATATATTTCGTCTTGTAGTAATTTATTGCATACACGAGGTTTAAACTATTAGAGATTCTGAACAATTAGCAAATTTGTCTATATCACTATTGCACATTAATTAAAAGAATATTGATCACATTAAATTCAATACACAGTATAATACTACATAAATATATATATTAGATCAAGGCCCTCCTATCCTTTGTATCTAAGTTGCAATTAAGATGAGCAATTTTGGGTTATTAGTTATACATATATGGCAAACTAAGGGAAGGAATAGTCAAACTATTGTATGTCACAATAAGAAGAACATAATGTACACAACTACATTAAAATATAAACTAAAATTATGACCCAGGGCAGTCTAGTTTCAAGCCATTGTAGTATGAACCACAATTGGATGATATGAAATGGGTGATATGATATATCACATTGTAGCTAAATATGTACTATATTTAAGACTACAATAAGATTAGCACCTTTCACATATTTTGTATATCATTTTCATAAGAATCAACCAAAGAATATATATAACAAATGTACCTACATGTTATTATTATACTCCAACAGTATGATTCATATTAAATAAAGAGCGACGATAGCATATGATTACTTAGAATTATTAGAATGAAGTAATTACAAAGATCAATTGTAAAATGAAAAGATTTTGCGGTATACATTAAAATAACCCGGTTAGAATAGTTTATAAGCATATTCGACACCTCAAAACCAAACAGTGCTAAGTCCACTTTTCCAAAAAATGACATTTTTCAATTGCTGATTTTCCTGGACTTAGCTCTACATTTTGGTCTATTTGCCTTATCTCTAGGTGCTCTAGATCTCAAGACAGCTATGGACATAACCCTGCTTTTTTTAGGGCATTTGAGAACTAAACAGAGCTGTGTCTACTATAGTGGACTTAGCTCTGGATAACTGCATTGTAAGTTGGGGCTAAGTCCGTTTTTTGGACATAGCTCCTCTCAAAAAATACAATACAAAGCGCTAAGTCCATACCAGCCTCTATAATAACATAATAAAGGGGCCCTAAGTCCAATAAAATTGTTTCTGGTCCAGAAAATTGAGAGCCAAAAAGGGTTAAGTCCAAAAAACCCCCCCCAAAAAAAAATTGGGGCGGAGCACAAATTTTTTTATACCATCTAAATATGGCCTTCATTGTAACTTTGGTGGACCATAAAAACTAGACATCCTCGATGTAAGGTATTAGAGAAATAAAAAAAAGAAACAAAAAAAAAACGTTTTTTGCGTTTTTCTCAAAACTAGAAAAATGGACTTAGCCCAATTTGGATTTCATATGTCAGAAAAAAAAATTTGTTCTCGTCGCAGAAAAACCAGATATAACTTTTAAATGTCGTTTTCTACTACCGGTTCTTACAGCCTGTCTTGGATATATTCTGCGTTTCGTGGTCTGAGTTTGAAAAATAATTCTATTCCTTGTTCTTCAGTTCTTCGCAACCCTGAATTGTTTAACCCTTTCCATGCGATTTTTATTTTTTATTAAATAATCGTATTTGCTACGCCGACTTTATGCATTTGTACCCCCACAACTAATCGATCGACTAACGAAAAAGTAATGATCCTCTGCTGCCCACTGACGGCTCGTTGGAAAGCTTATTTAAAGAGCTTGCAATTGGCGATTGAAAATTTTTTTTTTTTTTCGAAAGGGGTGGTCTGAGTCACAAACCGGATAGAAAAAAGGCATTTTTTTTCTTGGGTGTTGAAACTTCAAACCGTGATAAAAAATAGAAATATTCGCTAAATCCTTTACTGTTACCGCTTCTTGGTTGGCAAACAATAGCATAATATTGCTGTAGCAATTTCGTTATCTAACTCAAAATACTTTGGTAGATGGAAGGGATAATATGTCTTCTATTACCACCCAAAAAACACCGAAATTTGCATAAATTTCAAAACACTCCCTCGTTCCGCCGCAAATAAAATTCCCATGGTAAACGAAAGCGAGATTTACCGTCGCTTATGTTAATCTCGAAGAAGACTTCTTATCAATAAACTAAAACCCGGAAAAACTAGACCAACAGTTTGCGACCGATTGCTAAATAAAACAGTGGAGTACATCAACGTACCCGCCGCAAACTAGCGAGTTTTGTCGTGGGTACGTATACGTGCCCACCGCACGGAAAGGGTTAAAGGGAAATATGAAATAACCATTTGGTGTTTTTTCAACACGTTTTAGTTACACGACCCCTAGGCGGTGTTCCGTGGATGATTTTGTTTTGGTTCGTTTGCGCTTCAGCATCGTTGTTGGATTTTAATTCTGGTTTTGGATCGTATAATCTGTGATTTCAAAATATGGCAGACACGTATCGCAGGGATGGTGAGTATAAAATTTGGTTATCGCGTCTCTGTGATAGGATTTGGCGCATAATTGCTATATTGACCTACCTCACAATACAGCAATATCAAATACCTAACACAGTACGGTAACTTCTGAATTTAGTACGGTACCGTACAGCTTTTGAGCTCCAATAGAAATATGTTTTTAGAAAACACTGCCTCACGCACCTTACCTCTCTATGCTTTGATTGCCGTATTGTTATTTTGTATCATCATATGTTTGTATGTATGTTAGGCCATGTTTTAGATTGAATGTCATTTTCTGGCTTTACAGCTTTATGTTTGAGGTGATTTTGAATTAAGTTTTCATTCATATATGTTGGATTTCATATTACGGCTTGCTGTATGCTGCACTAGTATAAGGCCAGTAAAACTGTTATTACCACCATCAATTCATTCTCAATCCTTGCTGGTATTTTAAAATTGAATAAGATGCCTAGGAATTATGATATAAATTATGACGAAGCCAAGAAAAAACGAAAGTTTATAATTTTTGGTACTTTTGGATTGCTGATTAATATTTTTAAATTTGTTTTAGCATTTTGCAAAACTTTCTTTACTCTTGTTATTTTTTTTGCAACAAATACGTGTTTCACATGCATTAAAATACTGTGTTTTCTATACTCAAATGGATCTAGTATATATAAATCTGACAATTTCCACCTGTTCAATTTTTAAACTCTCAAATAAATATTCTTTTGTACATTAGTTCAATGATATTGTTAATAAGAGTAAAAGAGGTGACACAATACACTCTATGTTACTTCATGTCATGAATCCCATACTGTTACGCCATTTCATCTGTTGTACATCAAAATATTACATAATACCGTAATATATCCTGTAGAAATATGAAAGTATCATTTATAGATATTTGTAAAAAGTTATAATTTAATGAAAATACCAAGTTTGTAGACTTATTTCATACTGATGTGGAATGGCTTGTCAGTTTATGGAGCTAATTTTATCAATCATGCTTATCCTCGTTGACAATTTTTTGATTTTATTGCTTGAAATTAGGCATGCATTCTCATCTTGGGAAGTTTTGACTTGTTCTAACAGAGGCATCTTCTTACAAAAGACCATCTACAGAGACCTCATCCGAAACTATTCCATCAAAGAAGCCTTCCATTGGGTTCAATATTAAGTCTTCTACATCAAACAAGAAGCCTGCCACAACTACAAAGATATTGAAGCCTGGTGCCATGAAAAAAAATCTCAACCCCATTGCTTTAAAACTGGCAGTGAGTGAAAATCATGGTTGGGAATTTTGTACGATTACCAATATTGATAACCAATGCTATAATAGAAATTTAACTATAAACAGAATCCCTTCATGATTAGCAGTATTCTTATACGATATAATAATGAATTCATTTTTACTAATACTGGAATTTATGGGGTCTATTTGTTTGGCCTATTGTGGTAGATATAAAAGGGGTTTCGAGCTTGCTGTTCGTGTATAACTCAATTAGATATTTGATAAATGAAATTTTGAAATAAATAATACTAGCGTTTTGTGGCCAAAATTACAAAATGTCTCTGAAAATTACAGAAGGACAAAACAAAGACAGAACCAACTGTCGTGAAGAAATCTAGTAAGGTTGCAGCTGTGTTTAATGAAGACAGTGATGTAAGTAATTTACTAAATACATACAATTTATTGTCATCAAATGATCTATTAACCCTTCCACTTTCGAATTACCCTGCTAAACTGAGGAATTCATTGCCCCTTTTTTAAATTTAAAATGCGGGATAGCCTAGAAGAAGTTTTCGAATGTCTTTATTGTACTATTTGTAAAGTTGAAATTTTGTACTTTGGTTCATCCTCACATGCCCCAGTCTCCCCCAATCAATTCGTAATATATCACCAACAGGTCCCGTGTACCGTGGGAACCATGCCTAGTTGGTCTGATCTGAAAATCATGCAAATGTAAATTTCTAAGGTCTGAACCAGAAACAACACTCAGAATTTCGGTCTTGATCTGAATCAGAAATCCGGTCTTACCATCATTCTTAAGTTATCCATTTTAATGCAATTTTGTGGGAATTCTAGTGTAATGGTCGTCTCTTAAACTTACAGTATTTTCAAGTTAGCTAACACACTGTCTATCGATAAGAGGGACATGCCTATTTCTGGTACTCTAGCAGTTGACATAATGAAAGGGTTAATATGATCTGACATAAGTTGACACTGTTGCATTGCCCTATTAGATCCCTTAAATTTCGAAAGGGTTGTAGGATTTTAATGGATACATTTTACTGAAATAAATTTGAAATCAGTGCTAGGGAATAAAAAGGTTAATGATATTTTTTATACTCTGTTAATACTAGTCATTTGCAGTTTCCATTTGAAATCATGTAATGGGCAGCTACTTTCCATATCTAAACTAAACTTTTTCGTTAAACTTTTCTCTTTGTTATGTTTGTAGAAAGGTTTGCCAGTTTTATTGTTTTATATCTTAGATAATAATTTATTACTATATGTATAGTTTGGCCTTGTATAGTATTGTTGTATTTGTTATCACTTGTATACTGGTATATCTTGCCTATGTATTAAGTTGGCGATGGCATACTTGAAAATTAACCTTGGTTGCATATGGCCTGGTTTGTTGTAAACATATTTCTAAATATCTGGCAAAATTGGCATCCAAGAATGATTTTTTCTAATCTATTTGGAGCTAGTTACAATATCAATATTGTTTATATTTCTTCACTCATACCCATAATCTTCATACTTTGAACTCCAATTTAACCAAAATTATTATATCAACTGGACTCGTTGTTCGGGCTTGACTGACAAACTTTTCTTCATTGACCTAGTTATCTTTATTAGTAATTGAGATTTATTGATTGAAAATGGCTGATTATGAATCAGATGAAAATGATAAAATATTAGGAGAGTTTCTCAACTCGGCCCATGGGAAAGATCTGCAATCTAATGAGAATGGTAAATCAAGTACAAAATCAAGCACAGAAAAGGTGGCAATTCAAGATATAGCTGGCACATCTGGAACCGTCTCATTTACAAGTGCGTTTGCATTCTTACAAAAAGATGCCGAAGCTGAATATAAGGCTTGTCTTCCAAGTGGAGGGAGCACTCGAACTTTTGCTCTAGGATCTGGCAATGCTATTATGGTTAACCCATGTCAGCGTGGTAATCCCGTTTTGGATAACATATGTAATGTTCCTTGGCAATATGCGGACAAAGATGCCGGAATGGTACCTGATTACATTATGAGTGCCACGTCTTGTTGTTTATTCCTAAGTCTTCGATATCATGCTTTAAAACCAAATTATATATACGACCGTATTCAAGCATTGCGGAAATCTGGTCAGTTCTCCATTAGAGTGCTTCTGGGGCTCGTTGATGTCAAAGAGCCTGCTCATGCAGTTAAGGAACTTGCGAAAGCCGCATTAGTATCGGAAATGACACTTTTGCTGGCATTTAGTAACGAAGAAGCTGGGACGTATTTAGAAACTTTCAAAGCGTATAGGAATAAACCTGCGGACTTGATTCAAACCAAAATAAAGAAAGAATTCACAGCAAGACTTGCCGAGACTTTATCATCCGTTAAATCTGTTAATTCCACTGATGCACACACTTTATTATCAAACTATAAAAATTTGAGCAATGTTGCAAAAGCTACAGAACATGATTTAGCTTTATTGCCTGGTTTAGGGGGGTTAAAAGCAAAGCGGTTACATGATATATTCAGACAACCATTTTTAAAAGAAACTAAAAAATAAAATTTCTTGACTTGAGTCTTCTTATATGTTTGTCAATTTGTGTTGGCTTTTCGTTAAAGATCCTCCAATTGTTCAATTTAGAGGGAAAAAATTCAAATTTTAATAAAGAAAAATTGAAATATCTCAATATCGATATTTTATTTACTTACTGAGATAAACTTGAATGTAAAGTAATTTTGTGTAGTATAGAGGTGTTATTCCCTGTTGTTCGCCATGGATCATTGCCAAAGTGTTCTGTTTACTTGCGCATACAATTTTTGTAGCCGTTTTCATTTTCTGCTCGTATTTTTCATTGACAATAAAATCATTCCATTTATAGAGACCAAGTAGTTATTATTGCATTCCTAGAAGTCTAATATTTCCACAATATTCATACATACATTTATAGTCATTTGTCGCAGAATGTTATGTATTTCTTGTTTCTGATGTAGAGTGAACCAGAAGAGATTCCTCCAGAGGCTAAGATGCGAATGAAGAACATTGGAAGGTATATTTGTCTGATGTTTAACTCCCTAAAAGTTATATTAATCATATTTAAACTGTGGATCCGGCTGCATAGTCATTAGATTTTTTGTGTTGACCAGTAGACTACTCACCCCGAAACAACAACCCAAATGCAGTTTCGCAGCAGTGGGAATAGAAACTATATTAAAAGGGTTTCAAATTGTAAATTAACTTGATTATATAATTTAAACTTGAAATTTTTAAATTAATATTGGTAATGAATTACAAAAAAAGTTATCCACTGATAAGGACAGATTTCATTATTGGTATGAGAAAATTATAAATGTGAAAAATAAAAAGATGGTTCAGAACTGGAGCCAACAAAGTTTCTGGTAGCTTCGGCTCGATGGTCATCTTGTATGATAAGCTTCGCTCCAACTCTGGCTCCCTAGCCTTTGTCAGTATAAATAAGAATATCCTATTCCTGTTTCTTATCGACTTGTAAAGAACATTTTCGAATTTATCTTCAGAAACACACCAACTTCATCAGGCCCAAACTCTTTCAACAAAGGCAAACTTGGTTTTTGTGACGGACAGCGTTTGTGGGAGAAGAAGCAGCAAGAAATTGCTAGAAAGCACCAATCCGATCAATCCTAATAACTAAGTTAACCTCACTTATTTAAATAATTTAAAAAAATTGTCATTTTTGTACGCTACATACTCTTATGAACTAAAAATGGAGGACGAAATGTTACTACAAATAGTGAACGCCGTAGATGCCATTTTAAATCCGAATACTCTACCTGGCGATCGTGTGACAGCTCATAGTATTTGTGAAGCATGTAAAGAAAACGAGATGGCTTGCTCAATCGGTTTTGCTCTGGCGTCTAAATCTGATGCTGCTCCCCATATTAAACACTTTGGTTTGCAATTAATGCAACAGTTTGTGCATAACCGTTGGACAAAAACTGGTCAAGAAATACAAATTCAAATTAAAAATAATGCTATGCTTTTAATGGAAAGCTGTCTTCAGCATGAAAGTAGCTATGTAAAGGATGGTATTGCTCATACATTAGCTGAAATCATCAAGCATGTATGGCCACAACAATGGCCATCTATGATTGAGGATTTAATTGATCTAGCGAAGCTTGGGCCAATTCAGACCGAGCTAGTTGAACTGGTTTTTCTCAGAATAGCAGAGGATGTTGCAGTGTTGCATACTGTGTCAGCTTCCCATAGGAGTCAAGACATACGACACGGTCTTTCCTTATGCATGGGAAAAATTATGAGATTTTTTTTTGACGTACTTGAAAGCAATTCAGCAATATACATTCAACTGTACTCAAAGGCTAATGCAACGGAACTGCAAGAACTTGACATGTATAGAACTTTATCAATATCAACTTTAAAAACGCTTCAGGGATATTTAGAATGGGTTAATATGGAGCATGTGTTCACAAACGAAGGGTCACTCATTCGCCTACTTTGTAAACTCCTAAATGTGAGAGGATTACAAGTACTGGCAGTTGAGTGCCTGGCATTGGCTGTATTTCGCAAGGGACAGGCATCAGACAGAAAATATGTCTTAACCCTTTCAACACCAGTTTACATAGAAACTATGGTAGCATCCATAACCGATGCTGCTGCTCATTCACAAGAAAACGAACAATATTTATTTCTCAAGCGAATGGGAAATTTTCTTTCACTGCTTTCTGGGCAGATTGTTTCATCCTGGTCTGATGAAGTATCGGACAGTACAATTACAAATTTAGCTTCTCATACAGCATACCTTGACTTATTGATGGATTTTTTGTGTCAAGATAATCCAGTACTATCCTATGAAGTAAGTGGATCATGGTATCAGTTACTGCAAAATAGTAGTATAGCTAGGGATGAAACTTTTGTAAAATATGTTCCACAGTTATTTGAAGTGGCTGCTAAAGGTATAAGAAAGGATGTTGCTCCATCTTTGTCTCTCCCTGCGCAGTTAGACTTCAATGATGATGAAGAAATTGAAGCTTTCGTGTTTTCCCATCGTGTCACTCTGCTGCAAATTATCCGTGGCTGTACACGAGTTATGCCCATCCACTGTGTCAATGTTATTTTGGAAGCTTTGACTGCCGAACTCTCTTTGCCGATTGAAACTGGAATGGGCTTAGATGGTGCAAAACTAGAACAATGTACATCAAAATCTCCTACATATCTCAGATGGGATGCGATAAGAAACATTCTCGAGATCGTTTTGAAGACTGCCATTACTTTCTCAAAAAAGCAAGATACGATTCAATCAATGCCAGTTGCAAAAATGGAAAGCCTTCTTATGGATTTGATAAACTGTGAAATAACAGATATATGCCTTTGTCAATGCCTCATTAGTCTTATAGGATGCTTTCTACCAGTCATAGAAATATTTGATGACAAAAAGAAATTTTTGATTGGTATAGTTTTCAAATATGCAGCTATGGTAAAAATGTCGATGTCACATCCTGAACGCTGGGGACCTGTTGTATCTCAGTTTCGTCGACATGGCCTGTCTGCCACAATACATATTTGTAAATATCATCCTGATCATGTTATTACAATATATGAACAGTTCCAACAGGCAATGAGTGAAATAATTGCTATTCCAAATGGCCTCACACATTTGGAAAAAATATGTGTATATGAGTCAATGGTTCTTGTTAGTGGTGAATGGAACATGTTTGAGCAACAGAGTGCTCTGATTCAAGAAGGTATGTCGTTGGCAAATGACATGTGGCTTGCAAAGGATGATATTCGAATGACTGCACCAATTGAATTTGCTGCCGCTATTGGACTTAGTTCACCTTCATCTCAATACAGAGATGAACAATTTAGTAATTTTCGTAACAATATTAGCTTCTGTGTTTCTCTCACTCTGGCTATGATCAACAGATCTCGAATTCCAGAGGATGCAAAAGCGCTTTCTAACGGTGGATTTTTGAATGAAAATGGTGTTGTATTACACCCTTGTGCTTCCCATGTTATTGGAGTTATGGGCAATATTGCAAGTTTAGTGCAAATGTTTCATGGACTTTGGACAGCTGGTATAAAATCTATCATACATAGCGATTATTCAAAAAGTCTATTAATCAGAGAGACTGAAAGGAAGACCATGGTTTCATTTAATCCGATTACTAAAGATCCAAATGAAAATCGTGAAAAAGAACCCTGGGAAAAGATGCAAACATTTATTTTGATAGTATTAGAAAATTGTTATCAAATATTAGGCGCTGTTGGAAAATGCTGTAATGTTCTATTCTATGGCAGTGCTGATCTGTTCCCGGAAATATTAGCCAAATCATTTTCCGATTTTCAAACATTGCCTGAATTAAGAATCCGTTCTTTTACAAGGCAGTTCTTATATTATTTCATGAAATCGTGTCCTGAATCACACCTTAATCAGGTAGTTGCACCTATTCTTCACAAATATTGCAATTTCATGAATTCAATGCTTCAGTGCCAATGGACGGAATATGGAACCAAAGAACAAGAAAGACTAAAAGTGATTGAGTCTATGTCTGATAAATGCCAAGAATATGAAGATACAAAAGAAGAAGATGAAATCTTGAAGGAACAGCTTTTACGAATCGTTTCTCGTGAATATCTTGAACTTTTAGTGAATTTGTGCATCAACAAGAAACCAAATTCTAAATCAAATACCAAAGAAGAGGAAAATGACGCTAACATTGATACCGAAATGCAAGAAGATAATAATATTACACAAAATACAACAAATTTAAGTCAACTTACATCCATTGGAATATCTTTAATGCATACTGAAATAGCTGAATTGCTTCTAACAACTGGTTTGATGTCCATATCTTGGCACGACACAGCAACTGCTTATAAGGGCGTTCATCTTTTATGGGGGCTTTTGAAACATACATTCACTGAGACGAAAGAAGTGCCTGATGATGCTGCTAAATTTATATTTGAGTCTGTACTTCTTGGCCTACAACGTCAAGGACAGCATGACGGTTGTCAAGCTCAATTGCTAGCCTTAAGCCTTTATGTATATGTAGCTCTACGGCCCACACATAATTCTTTGTTAACTATACTTCAAGGTATTCCTGTTCTGGACAAAAAAGCCCTAGCAACGTTTGACCAGGGGTATACAAAGTATGCAGAGAAGAAACGGAAAGTTACATTTAAGAAGCTTATGATCAAAATTGTCGATCAGCATATTGGCCAGAGATTTAAATCAAAACAAGAAATGAGAGTTCTTCCACGATTTTTTGTTGGAAAAAAGGCAAAGTCACTAAATATTGATGAAATTGAGAGTTTGGGCTTGGAATTTTTCTTCAAACCAGATGGAAGATGAAGTATATGAGATCTGCATATGATAATTCTGCAATTCTGTTTTTTGATTAGGAATCATCTAAATTAAGCTATTTTCCAGCAAAATCATGTTATTAAATTTTTATTTTTTGAAATATTGACAGAAGTTCTTGCTTCCGCTAGAATATGGTAAATTTTCTGAAACTGGAAGACCACAATTTTTTTGAACTGACTTATAGGAGCATCCATGCCAAAAACATTTGTTTGCAGACGAGAATACCCTCCCTAATTTACAACCCATTTCATTTGTAAATACATTCTGATTTACCAATTTCCAACTAAATTCTTTGGATATCCTTTTCGAGATACTGATTTCAAATGAACAATTATAACATACATTGCATTTATATGGTTTTTCATAATGTAATGTGGCATTTCTTGGTGATATGAATTCCTTGTTAGCTTTTGTGTGTTGTGGTTATCATTTGTCAAAATGTAGTTAAGATCTAGGTTGAACTTATTTTTTTTAAGGGAGCCGGAACTGTTCAACAGCATAATCCCTACATTCTTTCCGTACATATTGAGCAATTGATTGGTTAATTCCAATACCAGACTTAAATTGATGAACGCATGATAGGCCATGGTCTGCCATATGATTAAATCTCCAGGTGTGAATATTGAAATTTAAGCCCTAAAAATTAAGGACATACTATACCAAATTAGAACCAAGAGTGAATCCTGTTATTACTCACCATGTCACAAATTTTATAGAATGTACATCCACATTAATAATGAGGTATTTATTTTCCTGATGAATTCCCTGGCGCAGTGTGTCTACTGGCTGCAATATCTTACATCCTCTTGAATTCAACAGCCATTATCTTTGGGATCGATTGGTTTATATTTATAGGAATTATTTTGAGGGTTTTAAGTCAAAATGGCGAATGTTGAAATTTCCAAAAACGTCTTTATTTGAAAATATTACAATGAAATATGTGCTCTACCAGTATTTCAAAAAAAATTATGGGAGTTGGATTTGAATTTTTTTTTGCCGTTTTGGGTTGAAGCCCTCGTAAAACCATGATTTGTCTTGGAGGAAGGACTATGTGGTGATTTTGTTCCTTTTTATTTCCTGTCTGCCCTTTTCTCAATAAAATCGAAAAATAAAATTGTACATTTTATTTTGCAACAGTAGTAATCGCAAGCTTTAATTAATCCTTAGTAAATAACTTGGCAAATGTGAAAAACACTCACCTATATAAATTAAAACATTGAACTAGAGAAATGCCGAAATACGATACAGCGTGCCACATTAGTCTATTTACGTTTACATGACAGGATAAAGCACAGCCTACATAAAATGAGATGCAGTTTTATGAGAAATAGGACAACAACGCAACACAAAAATGCCATTTGCTTATATAAAATCTAGCAGTGCTAAAATTAGCTGTGTTAGGTAATCTGTGATGGCGATCAGCTTTCAACATAAAAAGCTATGCTAGGGACAATACAACAAACAATATATAGTGGACAGTGCATAATGGCAGAGACAAACACTACAAAAATATTTGACACTATTCGTTTTTTAAAAAATAAGAATTATAAAGGCAAACATATCAACATTTAAGTGCTAGTATCTTTTTTTTAAATTTATTTAAACCATCAGTCTTGAACCAGGAATGTAACGAGATTCGCTCCATATGTTTGATTCTCCGCAGTTTGTAACACGTCTCTCACATTGGCCGCATCGACTGAAAAATAGATTGTGACAATGAAGCACAAAATTTTTTTTATAGGGTGAACCCCTCGCCGGGTCATTTGGACATATTCTATGGGTCCCGTTTTTACTGGGTCATCTTGTACAACAAATTAGTGTATCGCCTGTGCAGGATCATGTCATGGGTGATCCTGTCAGTGCCGTAAAAGAAAATTTACAATCGACTCCGGAGGTCGTAAATATTTTGACTCCAGCTCCGAACTCCAAGAAAATCAAATTCTGATAACAAAAACATTGTATGCAAGCCTACTTAAATAGAGTGTTAAGAACGCTTAGTAAATTCGACTTAAAATTTTGACTTATATTATCACCATTGTAAGTATTTCGATTTGAAATTTTGACTCCAGTGAAGATATGCCAATCTTTTGGCCCCACAGACTCAGATTAGGTTGATGGTTGAAAGAGCTTGCTTTACTCCCTAAATACTAAACTACCGTAAAAGTTTTCAGAGTTTAAGTCGTTAAAGATTTAATTATTTCCTAGAAGTACATTATATATTTTTCTAATTTCTTATGTGTCTCCTAGTTTTACCCGCTTTATTCGCTGATTTGAGGACAAATTGTAATGTCGTGTTTGATGTGACCCATAATCAGGTGATGTTTTCACTTTCTATACTAAGCAAACGGCAAAAGCTAAAAATAAAACTCACTCATATTTCTCAGTTTGTTGAAGAAGAAGCATTCCTGGTGTTCTCATTCTCTGTTTTTCTTCATGTTCTCTGTTGTGCTTGCTACGAGTATGATCTTTCCAGTTGTCTTCCAAGGAATGACGCATCTCATATGCTCGGTTATGAGCATTTATACGATCTTCAATAAGCCTAAAAATGTATTTTCATTATTTTAAAGTCCGGAATCAATTTCTCTGCCTATTACAGCCTTGATATGGAAAGAAAAGATACACAATTTGTGACACTTTAAACACAAATTGAGGTTGTTTTTGCTATCATTCACTTAGTCACATTTTTCGATTCGCCCAAAATTTACACGTAAATATCCTGGAATAACTTTTATACTAAACAATACAGTGTTCTGTTGCCATGACCTCATCATGTTCACAATTAGTAGAGTCTGTATAAAGACGGAGCACAAGTCTCTTTGAAATACTTTCAAGTTCATTGAATTGCAAGAGTTTCAATAGATAGAAATAAACATTACAATTGAAACCTATATCCAAGTTACACTCTGTAAAATCTGTGAGTGATCATCTCAAAATTTGAATTGCTTGCTTATTGGTCAACTTTATTTAGCGGCATTTCTCAACCCACATGCGAATTTTATCATTTTAAATCAGTGGTTTATGGCTAACATTTTTAAATATTCTAATTGACATACTCTTGTCTTGTGCGTTTCAACATTTCAATCTCTTCTTTCTGTTTGGTCAAATGATGAAGAATGGATTCCTTTTTCTTATCAGCAACCATGTTCAGTTGGTTCCTACAAAAGGTAAATAATAATCAAAACACAAAACTACTTGATACGATTTACCAAGAAATAGTGAGCTTGTTTTATACGACGCTTAACCATTCTTGCTCTAAACAAGGCATGTGCCAGCAATCATATTCTTAAAAGGAGCGGAATCTTTCAAGTTCGTTATTGACTACCCAATTTATAACACTCTGGGTGAGGTGGTGGGACTGAGATGTGTAACTGTCGATGTCTACACAGTGAAGTCTAACGCTTTAACAGTGAAGTCTAACTCTAACGCTTTAACAGTGAAGTCTCACGTCCACTGTATAATACGCACCATTCTATAACGCTCACAATATTGGGGGAAATATTAGCATAAAATTAACATTCATGCATATGGAATGTAAATTGATTAAAAATAATATTGTATACTTCGTGTTTTACATCAGGTATTTACTTTCAACTATCGGGTGCCCTATTCAATAAGAAATAATGACAATTCCCAACTTTTCGCAATTGATTTGATATATCACGGCATACTATGTTACTAAAACTTATATGGCTTTAATTTAATACACAACACAGAATCCGAAGTTAAATGCAATAGTTTCAAATGTTATGAACAATGAGAAGAGGTTAGTTTTGCTACAACAAAAATTGAAGGCTTAATTAAAACAATCAGTATTTTTATATACTTGTAAAGGGCTCTTGCTCTTTCTCTTTGCTCTAGAAGTTTCTCATTAGTCGAATCAAATTTTCCAAAAATAGGATCTTTCGAATCTGGTTCTGCTTTTGGCATTGGTAATGGTTTGCTTCGCACCTGAACGATAATAAATTAGACATTGCACAGTTCAAAGGTGTGGCATTGTGAAAAACGTTGGGAATAAGCTCTCCACCACAGCTCTGATTAACTTGCTCAGATTTGAATCCTGAGGGGGATAACTATGCGCAAGAAGATTGCTGGACTTCTCGTCGCCGTAGGGTGCTTCTTATGACGTCCTCCACCATCAAGTTCATGCATGTGAAACAAATAACTGGCTAACTAATCCCATACTGGACAAGAGGCCGTGGTTCGCCATATGATTAAGCAGAATTATCGGTTTTCCTCCATCCCCGGGATAAATATGTAAATCGTATCAGCTTATATATTTCAAGCACTGACGAGGATGGATTGGTATTATGCATTGAATCGGATCATAGTCTCAGTGGACACAATGTTGATGAAGTTTGAACTTTAATCACAATAGCCACAGTCGTTACTGAACTCTTTTTGTTGTTCACTAACCGTATCTCCCCAATGGCACCTTCAATAATAAGCTATTTACTTCACCTAATCCTGTGCTCACGAGAATCTCATATCTTCAGAGTATAGTAAATCTCTCTATAGTAAATAATAAACTAGTTTTATATTGCTCAACCTTGTCTCCTTTCTGATTTTCCTCCTTTTCTGCTTTGAATGGATTTAGAATCTGAGGTCTTGGTACACTGAGATGGCGCCTTGAACGACTTCTTCCCTGTATCTTAAAATGCTTCTTTCTTACTTTTATCTAGGATTGGTAAAGGATGTACTGACAATGACAAGAAGATCGAACAATTGGTATTTATATACATCCCTAGATTTGTTTTCTTCAACACTGATTTTAACCAAAATATGTGAAACTCAACAACTCATCATTGCATATTAAGAACATCTATAAATGACAATCATACCTGAATGGCTGGCTGGTAAAACCTATCTGACTGGTTATCGAATAAGCACCATATGGTTGAGCTATACATGAACTATAATAATCATATTCTAACTTAACTTTTCTATATATCGCGAACACCCTTTTATACCAACAACTTGGTAAGAGCTGTCGCCTAGTGCTTACAATGTTAAATTAAACCAGTGTTTCCTAACCTTACTTGATATTTTCCCCTCTGCCTATTTTAAATCTCTCTATCCCTCCCTCAATATGAATACAAACTCTGCTTCTGTTAATCCAGTATCTTAGCTAGGTGTAATATTTCCATAAATATGTATCAAATACAAGATAATGCTTGTGTATATCTTGCCCGAAACAACAAAATTTCTTCTTGAGGAAGAAGAGTTCCTCCCTGTAGTGAAACGCTAGCTAAAACTATGTCAGTTGCCTCAGTCGAAGTATAATCCATCCGAGTATTACCCCCATAGTGTGATAAGTTGTGTGGCTTATGGCAAATCAGAATGTAACCAATATCTTGCATCACATTTTGCTCAGATTGAAATTATTATAAATAATCAATATAAGTATTCCCTGCTTTTACATCTACATATTCATTTTCTCACCTGTGCTGAGAGAGCTCGTTGATATTGTGCAATCTGTTCAGCTTTGTTTCGCAAATATTCTTCCCTTTGTGCTGAGAGGCTGCAAATGAGAAGCATGTTTGGATTGTGATCGCGACCAAGTCAGCAATGGCTATGTCTCAGACGTAAGCAATAAGTTGACTAAGTCTTAGGAATCATTATGAAATTTGAGTCAGTTCACCAGTTTTAAGTATTAAGTCTAAGGTCCTGAGGATAGTTATTCGACTAAGGCACTATAAGAAGTATCATAAAATGGGTCAAGTTGATTTCCATAGTTTCAGCAAAGTGACTCGAGTCACTTTTGAAAAAATTCAATATCCTTCAAGTTGAGTCTTTATAAAAATGTGACTTGAATCAAGATCAACTTACTCCTCAGCCAATTGAACTTGTTCCAAACGTTCAAGGAATTCTCGATCATGACGATCTTGTTTGGAGCGAGTCTTTTTCAGTTTTACCTGCAATTAAGGAATTACAATGAAATATACTAAATACCAGCTATGACAATTTCATGTCACTGAATCACTCCAAGAGATTTTTATGAATATTGACTTTCAATTTACTAATTAAACTTTTGCTAGGTCCAAGATTATGAATCAATTTAATTTGCTTGAGTTTTTACCATGGAGACCACTTCCATTCCAAGTGGTTTCATAGATTCGAAGGTGCAAGAGGCTGTGTACGACTTACTCCACCATTAAGTCCATGCAACTGAAACAAATAAGAGGTACACGACCCATATCGACGGCGATAGGTCACAACACGAGAAGACATGGATCGTCATATGATTAAGCTATCTTTTTGTACTTCCTCTCCCATGGGGCACTTATGAGAAATCCTTCTTGTTCCTCTCCCTTAGGTAACTCAAGAATAATAGGTCTTTTTTTGAGCTTGTGTCAGAAATTTTTTTTGAGCACTTCGATGAAGAGTTTTTTGGGTACTTCTGTAGTATGTGAACCAAGATGGCGGACATCGGATCGTAGTATGTGTAACAGGTTACCAATTTTCCTTATTCTAATTCTATTATGAGTTGCCAAGTGACTCCCGTAGTATTTGTACCTGAAGTTATGGCCTAACCTGGTACACATACTAGTTCCGGTGTTTGCCATCTTAGTTCACATACTACGAGAGTACCTTTTTTTGTTAGGCTCGTCAATAGACCACACATGAATGAACTTTGAATATTAAAAAAGATACCAACCTGTTCTTCCAAAGCAGTACTGTATTCTTCTTGCTTATAAAAACGCAGAGGAGTGAGAGGTCGATGTTGAAATAGGTATGATTTCTAAATACAAAAAATTTATCAACTACGATGCCATTGTAGGTCAAAATCCATGCCACCCACCTCACTTGGGATATAATAATGAGGTTGGCAATGCAGAATCAGAAAGATTATGGTTCCCCCAAACTATCTCTAGCAGTGGCTGCTTGTACCGTGCCTTGTTCGGAGCTAAGGGCATATACATATGTCATATAATGAAGTACAGAGTAATCTTTTAGTATGAAAAGTAAACCAGTTAATAAGAATAGTTCAATAAACAAAACAAAAAACTAACAAAATTATATAGTCCTTATCAGAGGACCACTATATATGGAAATTGAAAGAAATATAAATCTGTTTTACCACAAAGTCAGTGGAACGTTTTGCTTTGACATCACGAAGGCATTCCGCAACACCAAGATTGAAAGCTGCTATTTTCTGATTTGAATGCCTCGCTATGTTCTGAGATGCCTGTGAAAAGGAAATATATAAGTACTTACTCGGCTTTCCTCTATTCTAGGATAAATATGTACCATACATTCCATCATACTATATTCATGAAATCAATTTTTGATGAAATCTGCAATTTTTATTTCTTTGCAGCAAAAATAATGCTTCTCAAAGGCTTCTTTGAGTGTCTATATTCAGAACAAATCACTCAAAATTCATCTATGACATTAGTTCTCAAACATTTATGATCCACAACTTTCTTCCAAAGAATCTCAACAATTGTGGCCACTTGCTTTTCTAAATACCTAGATTTACTTTTGCACGTTTCGATCATTATTCTATGCGCCAAGTTCAATAACAAAAAAGTCAACAAACAAACGTAAAATACCAAATGCATTACAGTCAAAGAATTAAACAAATCGAAGTTAATTTACGATAAATTAATGTAGTCATTGCAAAGATCTTTGCTCGTCGCCTCGAGAAAACAGCTTTGTAGACCCCTTGCGGGGCTGAGACTTCCGTTTGAGCAGCCGTTATCTATGCAAATAGCAAATATATACTTGATTCTTTTGAAAGAAATATTGTTTTCGAACCTGTTCTTTAAGAATTGCTTCCTGATCTTTCATTTGTTGATATTGCTGAAGCAAAGCATCCTGTTCTTTCTCTTTTCTTCTTCTTTCCTCTTCAAAGGACACTGGGATGTTTCTCATGGCACGTTGCATGCACAGGTAGCAGAGCTCTTGTCCAGCACTAAGAAATAAAAAGATTTTTTCCTATAGTTTTGAAAAACCAAACAAAATTTAAATCCAACCCGGAGTCAACCAGTGACTAGGTATTTTTAGACACCATGTTCGGCGGTGTGGTGCATCACGCTAAGCGTTTGGAATACGCTCGTTATCGCACCTCTGATTAACTTGCATGGGTTCGCAGGTTCATGTGACAAATAATCATCTGAATCAAATAACTGGCTAATTTATCCTATATCCGACATGCACTGGTAACCGAACGAGAGGCCGTGATTTGCCATGTGTCAAGCCGTCTCATCGGCTTACTTCTTACCTGGGATAAATATGTAAATCTTATCCTATAAATGATGAAAATAGTTTTTGTCCAAAAACTCTAGTTATATGAATAAAATGCACCGCCTCATAGATGTTTTTCTGATCAAATTGACATGACATGCTTTATGTCTCACGTCATTCAATATCTACTAACACACAATTCTACACAGTAACTCTTTTTAGTTTCAGTAGCTCTCGTCACTTAATAAGTGATCGACTATAATTGCACTCAGAGATCAATCTCTTTCATTTCTGAGTGAGGGCATGTGGCCATGCCTTGAGTAAAGTTTCTTAAAAAAGCAAAAAAATCCTCACCAAAGACACCAGAAAATGGAACCATATTTCAAGCAAATTTTATAATTTTAAAAGAAGGAGATGCGATTAATTACCCAACTACACCACACTACAGTGTTAGGGTGGCCGTTAACTTAAACAAACTTAAGATTAATTTTTAAATTCCACAAACTGTCAATCCACTTCATTAGAAATCTAACCTTATAATAATATATTTTGATTACCCTGCATGGGTTCGCAGTTACAAATCCTGTGTTGATAATTATTTGCGAGAGGATTGTTGGACCCCTCACCGTGGACTTGTTTACGTAACTTGTTGTTGGTTACGGCTTCCTCCACCATCAAGGATGTGCATGTGAAACAAATAACTGGCTAACTAATCCCATGGTCTGGTAACAATACTAGAGGCCAAGCTGTCTTATCGACTTTCCTCTCTTCCATGATAAATATGTAAATCCTAGCCTATCCTTACCCATGGTGATGTGCAGGAGACGAACAAATGCTTGAAGCTGGAGGCGAAATTCTAGCAGATACGTTCAGTTTAGGTTCGGGAGTTTGCAGTGGTGCTGAGTTTGGACGTGGAGAATCTGTAGAATATGAAACACGGCATACAGTCATCAATAATCATTCGACTTCTGATTTTATGTGTTAGATTGTTAATTCTTGTGATCTTTTTTGACAAATCTTATTGCACTTTCAACAAATACAACAGTTCCTATAACATCATGTTATTTTTTCAAGTAATAAGTATTATGGGAAATTAAATCATGTGATTTATGATAAATTATAACTTCATTGGGAACTCACAAATCATTCACAACTGATATTTTTTGAGTTTGAGGAGGTTTTTGTGACCTCATTTTGAGTGATTTTATTGAGAAAAAATATGTTTTTCAGAATGAATCATTCAAAATATGATTCATTTATTATATTAATGGGTCACCATTTAAAAAACTTCTAAAATCCTGTTTGGTTTTGGATTTTCCCATTTACTTTTTCGAGTTAGACAAGGTTCTCATGACCTATTTTTAGTAAATTTTATTGAGAAAAAATATGTTTTTTCTAAAGTGAATCATTTCGAAATATGATCCATCTATAATATTAATGGATCACCATTTGAAAGAGTACTTTTTTGAGTCACATATACGATTTGGGCACTTCATAAAAAGAGTTACTGTAGACACAATTGATCATACTCTACTAGGAATTAAACCTTATGAAAGCCTTATACCCTTCTACAAATAATTTTAGATATTATTCTCTTGAGCTTACAACAATGCTACATATGATATTTGTAGAAATCCAAAATAAATTTGCAAAGGTGCATATTTTTTATATTTCCAACCGGTACTGACAAACAATGGTATGACGCAAGCAGTGAATGAAAGTCGTAAAATAAAATTTTATGTGTTTGGTCGTAAGAATGTTCATGGCGCGAAAAAGAAGTTTTAAAATGACCGACAGGTGGACATCATTAAATATTTATTGACATTCTTTTTGACTGAGACCCACTCTGTAATTTGTTTCAGTTGTGTATGTGGATGATCTTGTATATAATGAATTTATTGTTGTTGCTATGACAATATTTATGCTGAATATACTGACAGAAATAGAATATCAAAAATAAGAGGCTAATATTCTATACTATGATTGACTAACCTATTGCAATCTTGAATAGTTTAATCCTATTTAATATCAAAAATGCTCAAAATCATCATGATTTAGTAATTTAAGCAACACAGTTGATGTTAATTGCAATTTCCATTATTTAAAATCTTGCCAAATTATATTCAAATTGTAAACTAATTTCTGTATAGTTTATACCTCCAGCTTCACCACCCAATTGTCTGTTTTCATACTTTGGCCTACTAGGTGTTAGTGGTGGTCCCGGAACATCTGTATTCTGTAAATTTGTTTCAGGCTTCATTCTAGTAGGTGTATGAGGAGGACTTGGTAGCCTAAAATAATAAAATGAATAGTTATTCTCTGAACAAGGCTCGCACAAGCAACCACTTCTAGGTGAAGAGCTACTATAGTTAGGAAGTTTAGGAATCTCTACGATTCAGCATTGCCTACCCTATTTATTACATCCTGGATCATGTGGTGGACATGGGGTTTGAACCCAAGATTTCATACCACAATGCTACCATAGTCAGGTCTAATGCTTCAATACTATCTTATATAATATAATATATATAAATAATATATCCATATTCAAACAAAAAAAAATTGAATATTTAATTTTGAAAACGCTTTTCACAGAGGATTCAGTATGCATCCAATGTAGAAAGACAGGACCTCCAGAAAGATGTGCACCAAGATGGCGCACAACCTGAACATAGTAGTTGTACCAGGTTAGGGTTCAGGTTTGTTTGCCATCTTGGTGCACATACTTCGAGAGCGCCGAAAGACAATAAATAAATAGATACTAAGATACTAATTAAATGATTAAAAATAAGAATTTTGAGTATTTTTTTCCATTAGTTCCTCTGCATACAGAAAATTATTACAATTCAAAGTAACTGAAAATGAATTTTTAACAGATAAATAGCAAGCATAAAAATTCAAAAGTAGCATGTGATATTTTTCATTTACATTTTATCTAATTTTCATTCTTTATATTTTCAGAAAAAATTGTTTTAAGAGATTTTACCTTCGAGCATTTAGAGAAATTTTAATTTGTTGACAAATTTGTTGACTGTTACTAATATACAATATATTTATCGCACCTGCTCTGCTGAGAGTATTATCAAAATTGTTTGTACAGCGTTATTATGAATGATAATGGTTAATAAAACATCTTCTATATTCTATAAACTTCAAGAGTTTATTTGTATAAACAAATTGGTTTCTTATTTCAATGCAGCTTTACCGTCTTAGTTTTTCCAGAGAAGGAAAAAGACCAAATGGCTGTCTTTGAACTTGTTTTCTAGCCTTTTTACTGTGTAGCTTACTTCGGCCATGAAAAGTAGCACTTCGATGAACCGCTGGCAATGATATCTCTAACTGATAGGTGGACGTCATTTTATAACCTCAATAAAAACCCACACACAACCTATCATCAAATTCTTTCTGGTCAACTAGAAGCGTGATAATCTTTGCGTAAGATTTTATCCTCTTGGTGCCCTTTTTTCTTGTATTTCCATGACAACAGCCCATCCCTTTTGTCATAGTCATAAATTAACCCATTCATTGTCTGTAACTTCATTACAAAAAAAGTCTTGATATAATGGCGACAAAAGCAGTTTCTTTCCATCTATGGACCATATATTAATCAAACTGGTAAGCAGATTTTATCTATGTTTCTTATATGATATTATACATCATCTCAAATACCTTGGGTGAAAGGGACATAGGAAATAGATAGCTATTAACCACTCAGTTTTTATGATCAATAAACCTGCCAATTTTCATTTGATCAAACAACCGTTTTGATGGAATGTTTGATCATTTCTGTAGGGGACAATAACAACCATGTAATTTTATTTACACAGACACCATCCACCAAATCCACATATTTGCTTGACAAAATTTGTACAAATCAGGAACATAATTTAATTATGTTACGCGGTTTCAAATTGGTTTTATTAACAAACAAAGCTGAACTTAAACTAACAGCCAAGTTGGTCTGAAGAATCTGACCTTTATTGAAATTTCCAGACTCAAATAAAGACATTTGTTTTTTCACAATAGAAAAGTGGGGTGTAATTATAGACTAATATTTATTTCATAATGAGTTTGGTAAGGAGAAGGTATGTCCAAAACTAAATAATTCTCCATAATATCAATATATATAATGAATAAATATTACGAATGAAAAACGCAATTATTTGTGATTCTTACTTTTCAATAAAGCGCACGGTCATTACGAGTTTAAAATTGTTGTCATGTGGTCAGTTCTCAATATATCTCAATATAACTCTTTTTTTTTTATTTCAATCAGTGTTTAATTAAGTTTATTCTTCACTTTCTACACCATTTTATGACCATCATTTGTTGTAGAATCATATCGAAATTCTTTTCCTTTTGTCATTTTTTTGGCGCTCCAGAACTATGTGTACCTTTATGGAGGTAACTAATTTTGTGTAAAGGGATGAAAGCCTATGGGCAGGGGGTATATTCAATTGGCTAACACAGACAGTCCCCGAACTCGTAATGAAACTAAAATAAGGAAAATCAGGATAAAATTATTGCCTAACCCTAACCAGGTACACATACTACGGAAGTACCCATTTTTTTTATTACTGCACCTCATGAACCATAGTATTTTGTTCAAGTGAAATATTCAATGCAATTTACCTTGAGCTCAAAATATCTTTGAAGATTTAAATATCAATTTATTACATTCAAAACGTTTGTAAATAAAACTGTGGGGGCAATCCACAATTGTAAAAATAAGAAATGCAATTTTGCAAAGATGATGAATGATTATTTTTGGGACATGTTAACTTGGTGAGAAGCCCGGCGCTCCAGAAGTATGTGTACCAATATGTATGGGTAAGTAATTTTGTTCGCCTATTCAAGTTGTGTAAAGGGACTGAAAACTATGGGCAGGTGGTATATTCACTTGACTAACACAGACAGTCTCCGAACTCGTAATAGAACTAAAATAAGGAAAATTGGAATAGAATTATGGCCTAACCCTAACCCGGTACACACACTATGGAAGTACCAAAGCCCCACACTTACTTTTTCACAGCTGATCCACGAACACCGTCTCGAGCTGGCATGGCTTCATGTAATTCATCTGCAGTTAAGCTGACTCCGACAACAGGGTGTGGTCGCATTACTTCACGATTGCTTGTTCTTGTAGGTGGAAGTGGAATTTTCTCTGCAAACATGAATTACTTTGAGCTATTTTCTTCTAAATACTGTTTATATAATCTGGTAGTTTACTTGATTTCCGACATCAAGATTTTAAAACAGACATAGATCAACTATCTTAAAATCAGCCAAAGTATGATTAGTATTACGAAAAAATGACAACAAATGAGACAAACGCATAGGACAGAATTTCACAAAATTTCTTAATAATAATAAAACATGATATTTGCCATGTAGATAATATCAATTTATTTGGTATTTTAAGCAATGGACTTTAAATTCAGAAAAAGACTGGACTCTATCGCAGGGTGTTTAATATTACCCTTGTTGCGGTATTCAGTCATTTTCACCATCCATCCTACTATTCCATAATCAATCAAATAACACACCAGTACATGGTTTGCATATATCTACATTTCCTGACCAGGAGAGGAAATCTCTCCCAGGAAAGAATTTTGTTCTTCTTGGAGAGGAATTACTTTAGTTCTTTATTATTACTTCTATATTGATTTATTCATGATTGCAAACTATTTGACTGGGTACGAAAGTGGGAGTATGATTTGCACATATCGCTAGCAAAGACCAACTAAAGATTGAACCAATTTTAAGTCCTCATTTATTCTTTCTATCAGTGCTATTTAGGTGACGAAAGTGACGAAAGATACTTAAGTACAAAAACAATATGCCTAAAATAATATCTTAAGCCACTGTAACACCTCAGCATTGTTGTATCAATAATCTATCAAAACAAGGTTAAGGCAACAATCTGTATGAAGTATGAAAATATGTTATTCTTGGAGTAAGATGAAGGAGAAAAAGTAAGCAAAGGGGTCAAAGGTTTTGTAGCCAATTTTAGAGAGATACCAATAATAGTTATAAGTGGTCCATTCATAAGTGAGTCATATAGCGCAGTGTGAATCTTGAGTGTTTCTAAAAAGCAAATATTGGATTGAAATTGTTTCTTTTATTGCTGCCCAGAATCCAAAATAGAAAAAAATTCACAAGATGAAAGTGTTTTTTCATTGGGTGGTAAGGTTGTAAATTTAAAATGATCATCATTAATCTAGTAAAAAATGTCATGAAACCAGAATACAAATGATGGTATATAAGATTCAAAGTTTTAAACAGTACAAAGCCACAGAGTACTCTTACTGATGTTTAAGAGTAAATAAATACAGCAATGTTTATTAGCAACAAGTCATCAGGGTGATAACGTCCGCTCATTGAAACGAGCAAATAATAAAAGTTTTATTCTGACCATGAAATTGAAAAATCTACATGATTAAATTTTCACTGTTTAAATACAAAGAGCACTATCAAATTGTGGTATGACCTTAACATATTTATTCCATTGTGGCAATAGTTTGCGATCATAATATTTCATGGTTTGCTATATAATTTGGTAGTTTCATTGTGTGTTTTCTCAGAATACAGAAATCATTTGTAAGGGTATCGCTTTCAAATGAAAGGTAAACAAGTGTATAGCGATTTTTCATGTAAAAACCGAGATAAATTGCACTTTTCGTTGTATTTTGGAGCGTTGAAAGGATTTGTGTCATATTTTATAAACATAAATTTACTATAAAAGATGACTACAATTTTAGGGTTTCAAGACAAAAAGACAATCCTAAATTTTTTATTTAAAAAAGTTCGAAAAATGCTATTTATCACAATATTACAATAAAAAGTTAGTTGAGTTTAATAATAAGAAAATACCGTATTTCTCCGCATATAGTACGCACTTTCAAGGCTGAAACTCAAGTTCAGAATAAGGTATTGCGTATTATGCATTGACATAGAAAACATCAAAAAAAAAGTAATCCTTATGCGTATTATACAAGGAGATTGAAAAAACTTTGCCCCATATGTGCTAAAATGCACACACATACTATCTATGGGTGCTTATTATATACGAAGAAATACAGTATATGTTTTCCTCACTCTCTCAAAACATTTTTTTTTCAAGTTTTGTCTTTTTGGATTAAAGCCCTCGTATTCAAGCAAACTTAAAAAAAAAATTTCCCAAATCTACAACAAGAACATTATCCCAACATTCAATCAATTATATTGTTTATTAAAGCTAGCTTACGATCACTTATGTATGCACAACAATAAATATTACTACCTTCCGAAAGCATTTCTTCATCTACACCATGTTCGGTAATTGGTGGCAATAAATCTCTTTTTCCATTCAATCTATGAATAAACATTGGGTTACTTTATACAATTCGCACATTGTTTTCATATTGATAATATATATTACAAATATTTACAAGTTATAAACGAAATAATACCAAGAAATTGAGCACCATTAAATGGATGTTTGATATTTACTTTTACCCATATTATATTTGTATAAAATGATATATGACTTCTGGTTGGCTTTAGTTAATTAATGGCTTTATGTAAGCAGTTTTGAAATTGGAAAACAAATAGGGTAGCTATTTTGGCTTTTGTCCATGTCGATCTTACTTTATAGATTGAAGGGTGTGTGACATTTTTTGTTGGCAGGCCATATATATATTTTTCCATTTACACAACAAATTGAAAAATTCGTTGCAGGAAGAGCAAGATAAATGAATGCGGCTATCGCTTAGCCTTATAGTAATAAAGGCACCAGAAATAAAACGACAAAAGATTTAACGCAGCGACAAGGGCAAAAAAACACTGTGTATTTTTACCCATGTGAGCGCCTTTTTGAACAAAAACTGTCAGATTAGGATTTTATGCTTGATGGGGAAAAATCTGAGTGTTGACAAGGGCCACACTAAATGGCTTGGCGGCCGGAGTTGTCGCCCTTGGGCTACCTGTGCACACCCCTGATCTAAAAGATTGAAAACTTTAATTGCGAGTGGAATGATTGCTTGGTTTGTTACTACAGATATGTACTCTGCTACGTTTTAGTTGAAGTTTTGAAGAAAATACAATTTACAATACATTGATTATATTGAATACTATTGTAAATGAAAATTGAAATATCAAGTGACCATACATATTTCCACAACATTACTTATAAAATATAGTATGATACTAATACAATTTATTCAGTACATACTTAGGTAACATCAGAGTGTTGGTTGAAGGCCTGTCCCGACCTCCAAGAGAGGTTTGTGTTGACATAACAGAATCTGCTGTTCCTGGCCTCTGTAATAAAGATTTATTTCAATATTTCTTTATATGTTTTACATAATTCAAAATATCTATACATCATAGTAGAAACATGGCAAACCACCTGTAACTATGAACACAGTTACACATTGTACACACAAAAAGTCTATTGTCTTTATTATGCTAAAACATGCTTTGTCGACACACTGAATACAATAGAAATCAGATAGGGTAATAGGCGGAGTCAAATTTGCCAGCTTTTGTAGATAAGATCACGAACTGGCAGATGCAAACCGAAATGATTCCCAAAAGTAAATAAAGAACAATAGAGGCTGGATTGAATAGACATGTTTTTATTAAATATAGGGATATATATAAGGCTCTGTTATCTATCTTTCAGGAAAGATGCAGATCCTCCCGAATATGGAAGATCTTGCGTCTAAGTGACAGTCCAGAACTTGGTTTAAAGCAGTGGTCGGCAAACTGCGGCTGTAAACAATTCTTTTATGGCCCTCGAACTACCTCACTTTTAAACAAAAATTCTTGTACTGTCTTTGTTTTGTAGTAACTAGCGTAGACAAAAGCAAATTGTATATCGTTTACTTGCTAAACATGCCTACCATTAGTCGTAATTAACAAAAAAAATCGTTGCAAGCGCGTCATAATCTGGAGTTTAATGTGGAGATTGCACTTTTGTCAATGTGCATATTTGGCCCAGTAGTACATAAAATTTGTCGACCATTGGTTTAAAGTGTTTGTGTGAAAATGAAGGTGGGTGCAGTCTTCCAGTTGTTAAATAGTTAGACTTAACTATGATGGCACAGTAGATTAAATTTCGGATACAAATCCCATTCTCACCATCTCACGCAGGGTGTAATAAATTTGGTATAAAATGCCAAACTGATAAAATCCCGGTCCTTCCAAAATATAGTAGCTACTTGCCCAGCAGTGGATGCTTATACAGAGAAGCACTATTATAAACAATAAAGCCTGCTTTTATGTACTCTTAAATAACCTGTTTCTATATATCTGCAACAATAATAATATAATGATGTCTGTATATTTCAATAATAATGATGATCTCTGTATATTGCAACCTGACTTCTACTTTCTTGTTGAGCACGGCAAACATAAATTGCTTCACTTTCAATACCGGTAATTAACAAACTAACCTTCATGCATTTTTTGACTATCTCTGCTACACTTGAAGAACAAGTTCCATTGAATAATTCCTGACAAATAAACAAGAAGACAAGATACATAATGAATATGATATCTCTTTCAACTCTATCTAGAATAGTCATAGTCAAGTTTTTTCACCAGCAAAATAATAATAAGCCTTTCTCTTTTTTAACTCTATAACCTCCATTGCACTAAGATTCCTTAACAGCTATTAGGTTTGCAACCACTCAATAACAACTTCATCTCAACTGAATATAATCTAAAACTGAGAACTGGGTCTTTCATTAAAATACTTTGTGCTTAAGCTTGAGAGTCCCGATGTCAAGGCAACACATGAAAAAATCACTCAGATATTAAGCAAACTCATTCTCAGTGTAGAGCAACGAGTGACAAGTAAAATGGAATCTATCTTCTTAAAAAACTGAAGTTTTCAGGATTAAAACAAGAAAAATATGGCTTGGAAAAAAAAGGATTGAAAACATACCCATTCCAATGATGAAGTACGTAAGCTATAAATGTTACAAAAGTGCCGGGGATCTTTCGACCCCTCAAGACGACCCCATGCTACTGCAACAAGCGGATATTCGTTTCAGTAATTTGTGAAATGTATTTTATTTTACTATTCAATTCAATGTCTTGCTTGCTGCACCCTAACACAAGCCTGCTGCACCCTTGCTTGCACCCTAACACAAATGTATATTTCTGTAACGTTTCGTCTGACCAAGATCAGTCTTCTTCAGACAAGCAAAACTCCAACTGTCAGTGTATTTTATTTCGGTACTATTTTTTTTCGTGCATTGTTTTTTGCATGACGAAAATAAATTATCTGAATCTATCTGAAGTGCCGTATATTATACTAATGTAATACACATACTACAATATGTTTATTTTTTATTTTATTTTATCTAATACAAACTCACATTAGCAAGTACTCGTACGAGATTTCCAGATCCATCCATGCTGTTCAAAAAATCTTTAAAAAACTTCATTTTCACTTTTGAATCTCGGATGTTCAAGACTCCTATGCCACGAAACAGAAATTCAACATTCCGTTGACTTGCAACAGCACGAGAAAGAGCCTGATTACAAATGAAATAAAAATGGCTTGAAGAATAAGTTTTTGATATAGTGAACAAAAATTGTAAAAAGTGGCAGTATATGATAAAAAAGACTTTCCCACTATGTTTTTTTTTGCTCTTTCCCCTTATTCAAAGTACTATTGGTTGGGTATTGAATGAATCAGAAGAAACCCCTATTATTACCCCAGTAATTAAAGCACCCGCAACCTAAGCTCCAGCTATCTCTTTTGGTAACCGTATGTCTCTTCGGGTCTTTGCAAAACTCTCAATAAACTAGTAATTGCAAGCGGCTGATCCTTTTGTAGGATGGGTTTATTTTTATAATTATCCTAGTGGGGGAGGGAAAGCCACTTAGATAGCCTAATCATATGGTGAACCACGACCTCTTGTCTGGTTACTGAATATTGTTAGATTTGCTTCAGATGCGTTGATTTCAAATAGGTTGATGCAGTATACGGTCACCAGTTATTTGAACCACCAAATGACAACAAGGGGTCCAGCATTTATCTCACACATAGAATTCTCTCACAGGACTTGAACCTTCGCAGGGTAATCAGAGGTGCAACGGCAAGCATGTTTCTAGCGCATAGCATGATGTGCCAATCATCAAGCACAAAAATCATTTAATAATAATAATATGATGGCCCTATGAATGATCCATTATAATAATAATAATTGTCAGTGAAACTGTGTCAGATTATTGTTTATTTAACAGCACCTGCAAAACTTCACGAACACATGATTCAACTGTATCTCTGTCAAATGGTGTTTCCATCGCAAGAACAGTAAAATTCAGCTGAACAACAGGAATTTCACCTAAAAGATATAATTGAAATATGGTGAAAAATCTGCTTTTTCCCAGTGGCATCGATTTTTCTAACAACTTCTAGATGTTTGAAGACAACTTACATCAGATATATGATAATGGTTTTGTAACACTGCACTTGATAACATAACCAATGTTATCTTGGTCTTAATGATTTCATGCAGCGTTAAGGCCATACTAACTGGACAAAATTTAAATTCCAAAAATAGTGTTCTTTGTCTGTCTCGTAGTAATAAAAATTCAATATAACAGAGTTTAAAATCAAAGTGGGCACGAGTCGGCCGAGTAGTTAAATCATTAGACTTAACCGTGATGGCATCGCAGGTTAAAATCTTGGGTTCATGTGTCATATCTCATGTTCACCACCTCACCAAGGGTGTAATATATTTGAATAGGCCATGCCGAACCGGAAATATTCGGTGCTCCCGTAGTATGTGAACCAAGATGGCAGACACCGGAATATAGTATGTGTACCGGGTTAGGGATAGGCCATTATTTTATTCCAATTTTCCTTATTTTAGTTCTATTACAAGTTCGGGGACTAGCGAAGTGACTCTCGTAGTATTTGGACCTGAAATTATGGCCTAACCCTAACCTGGTACACGTACTACATTCCGTTGTCCGCTATCTTGGTTCACATACTACGGGAGTACCAAAAATTCTGATCCTTCCAAACTACAGTAGCTCTGCTTGGTTTGCGAAAAGCACATGAATATGTCAATTAAAAATATTCTTAAATAAATCAATTAAATTAAATATACATATATATATTTGTTTTAAATATGACAAGTTTAATAAATTCTCCTTCTTTAAAAATTATTAATTAAAATTGTAGAATATAAAAAATATTTAGAGTATAATTTATGACCTGTGGTGTGATATTTAGTGTATTGTAGAGCATGTGTCTGGGCAAATTTTTCAGATAGAACAAAAACAGGTCGTTGCAGAAGAATGAATTTGTTGTTTCCAATGTCCATCTTCTTATGAACAAATGTGAATGTTCCCAAATTGGCAATGTGAACACCTTTTTGACCTTGCATCTGTATTTCAATAAATTCAGATACACTGTCCCATACACTGATGATATCTAAAAATGAAAATTAAATTACTAATTACTATACAGTTTTTTTTCAGTGATAGTGGTTAAACTGAACAAGTTCAAGCTCTTGACACCCGGGGGATTTCTCATGGCTTTAGTTTTGCGTAATGTTACTGAAGTTTCTTTGCATTGACAAACCTGATGGGCACAATAACCTAGCACTTACAGCAGTAGACTTAACTAAGTTCGCATCTTGGGTTCAATTCCCATGCTCAATTCTCTTAGTGTTTAAAGAATCATTGATAAAAAAGATAAACATGCCTTGATTATTTTGCTCAATAAAAGTTAATTTTGTTAAAAAAATGAAATCAAAAAATTAGTCATATTTTAACTCCAGTGGTTGAAGTTTTCATCTGCTGAACTCAGAAATTCTTTTTGTCTATATTTTGTTTCATTACTCTTTATCAAAACCTGTTGTGGTTGGTAATGATAAAATTTGTTTACATTCAGATCAGGTGTGATAAATAGATTTCATTTAAAAAAATAAAAGGAGATTTAGTTTTGGTATAATATAACAGAAACTGAAGGACACTATCACATTCAGAGAGTTTTTAAGAATATTTTATTGGCTTCCAGCTTCATTGAGGTAAACTAAGTCAGTACTACAGTAAGAAAGGAAACTCATTCCATCATATGTAATTCAAATTTACACTTACCATCTTCTGATAATTTTGGTATCGTAGAAAATCGATTCCGTTTGGCTTCAGAAACCAGATTTTGTATAGCTTCTGGCATTTTTATGTTTGGTTATCGACCTTTTATCGTTCAATTGATGAAGTAAACAATTTCTTTCTTGAGCTTAATATTTTAATGTCACGTTTCTAAATCAACAATTGCATGCTACTGCTTCAGACCATGAACTAGTTTTCAGAAGACAAATAAAAAGAAATAATATACAAACAGCACGGAAATGCAAAACAAAGCGCAAATCCGGGAACGCTTCTTTCGCGTAGCTGTTGCTATGCGTTGCTAAGTAGTGTAATTTAATTAATGAAGCGTGTCACGTATTGTGTGTCATAATTGGCTATCGAACATATGGTAAACTGTAATTTTTGTTAGTCAAAAAAATGCAAGTTAAAAAGCATGCCACCATGATAATAACAGAAATTTTTTTTATTGTTGATATACTTATACTTATTTAAAGTTAATATATTATATTACAGAGCAAGTTATGAGCATCACGGATGAATGCTTTTTGAGGTAAATAAAAGAAACACGTGTTGTTATACTCAATGGTGTAGAATTTCGAAATTCTTGAGTTATTACTGACTCACTTGCATATTCACTTTGAGTCTGCCTCAAGCGAAATTTCGAAAGTCGGCGAGAAGAGGTTGTCCGAACTAAACGGTTTGACAGTCTGAAGGTGAGAAATAATTTATCCCATGTAAATTCACTGTAATGATTAATGAATTAAGTCATACAATCATATCTCTGTATCTGCTGAATACTATCATTATTACAGTATTATCTCTGTATCTTGAATTGATTGATTTAATCCAACTATGCCTATATTTAAGCTGGTATTTTTTAATATACACTAAAACAGGTATAATTTTAATCATCAATTCCTATTTCCTCATAATATCATATTGAAATTTGCATCTCATGGTAAACAGAAAGTTACAAGAAGCTATTGAAAAATGAAAGGGCGATGTTCACAACAGGACATAAGTACTTCTAGTTGGTGTGGCAAAATCATTTTTGCATATGTTGTTCCTAACTCCCACCTGACTACATCGTTCAAAAATTATGTCACTTCGACATCACAGTAATGTATCAGGCCCTCCAAACTATACTAACTGTCATACAAGACGCGCAGACAATCACCCGAAATCAAGCAAGCTATAGTTTTCTCGTCATAATGATCACGATATGAGAGGGATCGTGTTGGCAAAGATGCCATTTCATGCGAGGTAGATTGTGAGGTAGTAATGACGTAATATTTGAATGACGGAGCCAGGTGGGGGTTAGGAACAAAGTATGCATAAATGGTTGTGCCGCGCCGAATAGAAGTACCGTACTTACATTGTTTAGTGAACTTGCTCCAAATGAATTGTATTGAATAACGGTATCATTCTTACTCTCCTTGAAGTTTGAAATTGGGATTGTTTATTGGGTCAGAGTTAACATTAAACCCTTTGTACCTGGACAGGTTCCATTACATTTGAACCCATGTACATTTGAACCCATGACAATTGCACCTGTATGCTATTGCACCTATGGATTTTTTTTTTGTTTCCTGGATAGTTAAACCCATACTAACCCTAACCCATGGGTTTTAGCACCCGCATATAGATTGAACCCATGGATATACTCATGGGTTCAAATGTATGTGGGTTCAAATGTACGGTCACCACCTGGACATAGTTTATTTTGAGGATTTCTTGTAACAGAAATCAAATCCATGCTAAAGTGCATCAGTCCATAATGTTCTAATTTTCATTTTTTGGCATATTATTAAAAATATATATATTGCATCAGATGTTCTTTATATTCATGCTGAAAGCTTATTAATGCCAAATTTTCATATAAGTTTATCAATTATTTATTGCTATTTACTAGATAATATCAAATTATTACGAATTAGACAAAAGTTCTTATCCAGCATATTGCATTGAAAATTATGAAATTAATATTTTTTTACTAGTTTATAATAGGGAGCTAATATGCATGCTACATTCCTTTCATTTTATACTTGCGCTTCTTCATTGTTCACAATGCTTCTTTTTTAAAACCTGCCCTATCATGTTGAACAATGTGAACACCTTGCGTGTGTTAACTATAATAATATATGGAACATTTCAATACTTCTATCAAGCATAATTTATCTAGATCTTTCATTTTAAACTATCATTAACCTACTGCTATAAGTCTCTTTCGACATGTCCTTTTGGTTTGGGCACAATTTGTCTAAACCATTATTGCCTACGTTTTTGGGCTACATTGCCATTTGAAATTCACTGTAAATATATAAATTCATAGCTGCTCTTTGCATTTAAAAAAATGTAATACAAGTGTTTGTAATTCATTTGGAGCGCTCTCATCCAGTCAATATGAAAAAGCTGGTCAAAAATCATGGCGTCTAGTGTTGAATGATTTGGAATCTGCAACACAAAATGAGGACTAGAGAAATTAAAGTTATGCCTGTTTGATCCACAAATTGTATAATTTGAAATCTTCGTAAAACACCAAATTATCCTAATATACATTCATATTCGTGTCGGCCATGCTAACTTTCCAAAATATTGTTTACAGAAGTTATATAGATGGCTGACGATTTACAAGATGAATGGTGGAATTCGGATGAGGACGATAAAAGGTCCGATGGGTATATTTCAAACAGTAAGTCCTATTTGTGTATCTTGAATACTGATATTCATTTGGATGTTATGTTGTTGTAACTTATAGCAAGTAGAAGATTGTGCGTCAGTGAATACAAATTTAGTGTGTTGAAGAAAGCTGGTGGGATAAGTGACCTTGGAAATAGAAGACGAAGAAGTATAGAGAAGCGGTGTCAGAAAGTTTTAAACATCACAATCCTTGCAAGATATTACCTTAATAAAACAGATTATGCTAAAGAGAGTGGTAAGCAAGTTTCGGGTATGCATAATATTTTGGAACCCTTATTGAAGCTTTTATACCAACAGATTGCTCAAATTAGCTGTCCAGCATATAATATTAGTCACACATATTTTTTCTTCACTTTGAACCCTCCAATCTGTGACCGTTTAACTAGAAACTAAACTATCTGTGAATATCGTATACTCATAAATAAGTACGGTATGAAAGAAACATGGATGGTATTTATATCTTGATGTTGATAAGTTTTGTGAAATATACCAAAAAGTGAATTGAATTGAAAATGGCAAATAATTTTGCCAAAAGAATTCCCATAAACTATTATGAATTACCGGTAATGAATATCATCCACTTTAATTATCATCAATATCATTAGACAATTTGACAACTTTTGAATTCTTTTTTGTCTTTATTCATGTTGAAAAACATTCTTTTCACGCTGTTCACAACTCATGTGTTAACAAATTTATACACTATAGTTTTAATCAGTTGAAAAATCAAAACTTTTTTTAAAATGTTTAGAAATGTTACTTTCATAGTATAAGAGACAGTTATTTAATTGGTATTGGTTTAATCATGCTCTCTCAATTCTCCGTGGTTTTTGTTTCTTTGTTAGATTTAAAATCAAACTTTGTTGCACTACTTAGACTTTCATTTGTGAAAGAAATATTGTTATGGTGATATATTGTCTCCTAACTTATTCATGCCATATCGCATGTCATTTGCTGGACCCAGTTTCTTGCTAGAAATGTAATGCTGCTCCAGGTTTATCATTTTGTCGTGGAATGGTTTTTTCTTGTTCAATGATAGTTTCGCCATATTTCCTTCTTGGAAGGAGTTTATCACAAAGACTGCTCTAGGTTGTCTTCTTGCCCATGAAAGTGCAAGGCAGGCCTGTCAGATAAAATCTTTCATTAATATTTGTATTTGTAATAGATGTCAGCGCACAATCTATCAAAAAATATATTAAAGCCAGAAAGAGTACTCATATATCATCTAGCATTAGTTGTATGTAGTTGCATTAGTATCTTCAGTAATTGACAGAAGGCTGGTTTACCGATTTCAAATGCTATTTTTGTTATATTCAATTCAGAGTTGTGATTTGAACTACCGTATATACTGTTTAAACTAGTGCAATATCTTCAGTTGCTTTGGGCAGATTCAAACTTATGTGAAGTTTTCAGTCATACATTTTGCAATCAGTATGACTTTAATTGAGCTTCGACAACAGGTTGGTGGAAATATTTTTAGGCAATGGCCTGATATTGCTGCATATGAAATATATGCTCATTCAGATATCCTGTAATGTAGAAACATTGTATAAAATATCTTTCTTACCTCTACCAACTCACTATCTTGATGGCATCGAAAAGTTTTTAACATAGAACTTCTATCCAAAATATCTTTGATATGATCACAGTGATTGTTTTCAACATTCATAAATTTGTATAACACTCCAGTAGAAGATGAGCCAACATAAATCTTAAAACAAAATTATGATGTTTCTCAAAATGCAACGATATTGCAAATGGTAACTTGTATTTATAATTAATTTTTTATCCAACTATACGTTTTTATAGATTTATCTTGTGAAAGTTTCTGATACTATTTTTCATTATTGTGTATATTTTAGAATTGACTTCAAAAAGACGGCTTAATAACAATTTTCTTTTATAAAGAACGATCTGTTTTATGTATTCGTTTTTTGATTGATTGAGTACTTCATTATATAGTTATTTTAGTTTTGTAACCACTGTTTGTATTGTTATGCTATATTCACTGAAGGAAATTATTTGTAGTGTTCATATCAAAGACGGATAACATGCTTGCTTTTACCTGATGACTACATGGTATCCTACTTTCCTTAGGGAAGTTTCCTTCTGCCATTGTAATGTCTTTAATTACGACCAAATAAACGGAGTATAGGGCATATGTGTGATCGCCATGCTTGAATTTAGTCCTTGTAAAAATAGTTCATTTTTGATTTGGAAAAATCGTGCAGTATAATAAATAACAGCGAATTTTTTTTTTTGCACTCGCGATTAAACTAATAGGAATAGGTACCGGCAAATAGAATTACACTGGCCTAAAAAATTTTACATTTGTGTAATGGGTTATTGTACGATGGTGCATCACACCTCTGCGCTTTTCATCACACCTCTGATTACTCTGTTGGCTTCCTCCACTAACTATTGTCCATGCATATAGAACGAATAATTGGTTAACCATTCACATTCCCAACATACATGATTACTAGATGCAAGGCCACAATTGTCATATGATTAGGTCCTTCATTATTGGTTTCGTTTTCCAGGATGAGTAAATGCTATTCTTATCAATTTGAAAAAATATCTTCTAAAGCGAGTTAATATTTAATCACACTTGTAAAATAGTTAATATTGTCACAAAATTTTTAACTCACCTGTTAGGTGATTTAAGATGTGCACTTAATTTGGGACATTCTGTAATCCATATTGGAAATGCTGTCTCTCGAGTCTCAAGGGATTTTGTGTCTGGGTCATATTCCGTCACCTAAATTTCAGAAACAGATCACAAATATTCTTGTACACCTACAGTTTCAGTTTAATAGAATTTGGTATAGTACCTGCCATTTTTCACCTTCTTCTGACTCCAACTTGCTGTAAATAGGTGGAATAAGTTCCTCTTGTCTAACTTGATGGGATAGCATTGCCTTGATGACGTCACATTTTTCTGCGATTATGGAAAGCACTATGGATTTTCTCATCTGAAAACAAATTAAAATGATTATATATATACATGATGACCCGAGGTCATTTGGAACATATTTTAGAGAAACATAACTTCTATGGAAAGCATCCTATATTACTGAAATTTGTGGGTACAATCATACACAAATAGCAGTTTGAGTGTATAATAAAAAAATTTAATTTTCATGGAAGTGATACAGAAATTTATGGGTTCTGTTTTTTGGGGTCACCTTGTATTTTGTTTCAACTGAAAATAATATAAAAGTGATACATATAATAACTCCCCTTCAATTAATTATTCTTGCCATGATCACAGTCAATACCTACTTCATATGTTGGTGACTGTTTCAGCATATAGACATGATTCAGCGGTGGAAGTCCAGTCTCTGTTCCCCATTTTATCCAAAGTTCATTAGCTTGCAGAACCTTTATTAGTTGATCTGTTTCTGATGCTATAAATAATGTCATTTAGTTTTATCACATCTTGCAGTCTTTCTCTCACAACAATAATGTGAATCTGGTACATCACTGAAATCAATTGTCTTTTTTTATATATTGTATTCAATAATATATCAATTGTTATCTTCAGTTCAGTTTAGGCATTATGTGAATTTGTTTTGATGCTGACATATTGTTTCCATTCCATAATACACAAAACTCTTGACAAACATTTCAATTTTTTTTCTTGTTTCCATTAATTCAGGGTTTCCCTAATCCTAATTTTAATAAGTCCATGTTTGTAATTTTAACTGCGTTTATAAGTTTACTAAGATTCTTTTTAAAAATTCACACGAAACTGCATCATGTTGATGTTATCATTTGTTACCTGCATTCTGTAAAATACTTTGAGCGTGGTATGGACTGACAATTGTTTCATTTTTTGCTGCCCTCAGGGTAATGACAATTTCTGCAAAGGTGTGAATTAAAGCATCTAATTTTGCAGTCACTCGCTGATATGCAATTGAAGCTGAAATATAAAAATCATGGAAAACATTTAAAAAAAAAGTTCAATGAAAAATTTCAATCGAATTTTGATTTGAAGTCTTTCCTTCTCCTCTCAGGGTAATACCTTATTGTGAGAGTTTCATTTTACAAATATAGGATTTTGTAATGAAAAGCAACTCACGCGGTCCAGGTATTGTGAACAGCCGTAGTAGTTTTTCTCTCAATTGTGACTTACTCTCACAATTGTGAAAATCAACCAGGTACATTGTGTCATTTTCTTCCTTTTCGTTATGTAGTTCAGGTGGTTGCAAACTTAGATGAATTTTCCTCAAAATGTCACTCATTGGAGCTTTATCACCAGTCCTAGAAAAATTTATTAGCGATGAATATTGAATAATGAAAAGCTCATTATTTATTAAAGCTTTTAGCTTGCGGTTTATCAAAAAATTAATATTAGGTGAAATCGGCATAGCAATTTTTTCAGTTTTTTGTAGAGATTGTGTATTTTTTAGCATGATTAACTGCCATATAATACAGAGTGTTCATGAAATCCTGTATTAAATTAGGTAAAGAGCTTCGATGTGTTTTATGCAAAAGGTTGAAAAAAATAAGAAATTGAATATACTATGATTAAAATAAACCAAATCTGGTTAGGATATATTGAAAACTAAATTTCGATTGTAAAAGGACTTTATTTACACCTGGGTATTTCAGATTTAAAAACTAATATCAGAAAGTTGGTTTGAATAAGCACAAATTTAGATGCTTACATCAACTTCGAAATCATACCTACACAAAATTAGATTTTTTTTTTCTGAAATCTTGATATATTGATTAGACTTGTGATGACTATAAATTAGTTTTATCTCCAACCAATCCTGGCCGATACATTGATTCATAATAATTTGTTATTACAATAGTGTGTACATCTTATTTGAATATAAAACTTTGTATACCTATGAAAGACAATGACTAATACTGATCAATGAGACTTTGCAAAATTGATTAGGAGATTTGCATCTAGGTACATTGTAATGTTGAATTCTGCGAGGCGATAAAGAACTTTTCTTATAGAGAACAATTAATTTGAAAATCTTTTGTTACACTAATGCTCACTGGCTCGATGCTTAAGAAACTTGCAGTCACTGCATGTTTTTACCTGAGATGTGTTCTCAAATCTGCTATTTCTGGGGTATTGCTATTTGTACTCATGATTCTTCCATAAAATTTGTTCACTGTCCTTTGAATCTCTTTCATTTCCATTACAAAATTTGAACCTTTTCCTTGAGCCACTCCATAAATTGCAGTTTCTATTTTGAAGCCTGACTTTTTATTAACAACTGCATCTGGAAGATGATTTATTATATATGTAAAAAGTTTATCATTATTAGATATTTCCTTATATCAGTGTTCTTGGTAAATCATACTCAACAGAGAAAAAAGTGACATTGTTCAAGTATAATGAAGATGTTGGATTTCAAGAATTTGATGCCCCTACAAAAAGGGTAAATACGTCTTGATCTTGGCGCAATTCTGCACCCTAGGCCTAACCAACCTATCAATATTTTCAGCAAAACGCCATCTGTACTTTATCTAACTGAAAATATTTATTTTCATTATGAGTATGGTGTCCACGTCAACGGATTAGAATCAACAGCCTGAGTTTATATCGTACTCCACTTTTGAAGTAGTATATCACAGGTCCAGGTATCTACCCATCCCAGTGACATTTAAATGAGTTCCGGACTCCCTGCCACTTTTACACAATGTTGTAATATTAGAATACTTATACAATATAATATTCTCACATGTTGGGTGATTCTGTGTATCTTCAGAAGAGATTGAAAGAGGTGGATTTGCTGTTTGTGGTATGGATGTGCTTTTGTGCATTTGTATTGAAGAATTGACAGATTGTGGCATACTTGCTATTTCCTCAGGTGACAAGTAGATATCTGAACGTGGGAATGCAAAATATATTAGCTGAAGTATGCTGACAGTGTTTGAATGTAGCTACAATATGTACCTTCATCTTCCTGGATAACTGGTTGCACCAATATATTTGTTTGTGTTCTTGGTCTTGGCCCCATTTCTGATACTGTGTTTTCCTGGTCAGGGACTCTTCTATTGCCCTTACGATTCTGAGTGAAATTTTCATACAAAGTTTTTGATAAATACCAAAACTTGGATTTCGAATTTACATGGAATACGAATGGTCTTGTTGTAACATTGGGATTTTGGTCCAATAATGATACCAAAAGCCTTCCTTATTAGTCAGATTATTTCAACTTTGAATGGGTTGTTAGTGTGGCCTCGTTCTTAGCTATTGTTTATTAAAATTTCCATGGATGTTGCAATTGTTATTCGTTATATTATTTTTGTTAACCTAGTTTTGACCATACTTTTTTGAAGTTCTGATCAACAACACCCAGCGTTTTTGAACATTCTGTATCAGTTATCTGAGTTTGTTTGGTTACTTCACATGGAAACCATAACCTAAAATATCTGTTAGATGACCCCCTATTATTTTTGACATATGCTTTTTCTAATGAAACTCACCTTTGTATATAACGAATGGCGTAGGAGCTTGTTCACTTTTTCATAATCACTTTCATATGGCTTCTGTTTTGTTAAACTGCAATCAACAAGTAAGGTTTTCCAGTTAGTTTAATAGACTTATCGTATTTTTAGAAAGCTTAAACATTTATTTAATCGATAGAGCAGGGTGGTCCAAGGTTGCCGGCTCCGCGGGCCACAAAATCATTTTTGCATTGTTTGCGGGCCACAATAATGCCAAAAATAGGTAAACAGGGCAATGGCAAACAAACCCTTTTATTGTGCAAACACATAGTTATCAGACATATAGCCATCCCAGGCTAATAGAATCCGCATTCGAATGCGACGCGGGCCACATGTGGCGTGGGTTTGGAACACCCTGTGATAGAGGCTTTAAAAAAATATTTCTCACCTGACTCTGTCATCAGGATTTGAAGAGTGATACCTTCTTAGGGCTAAATCAGGCCTTGGTGCTACTGGGGGTGCATCCGATGATGAGTATGCATGTGATCGTGGAACTACGTGATCCATATTCCCATATTTTAGTTATAATCTGGATAAGGATCCCAAAGTACTGGAGTGTTAACTATCAATCTATTTCAAGCATGCTGTATTCGGGACTTATTTGAACGAAAGAATATTGTGGTTTTAAACATTGCATGTCATTACTTCTACCAGTTCAGCTTGTAATCCCACCCTATGAACGTTGTATTCATAGATTACCCATGCGTTTGGATCATGTTTGAAGGAAGTCTTTAGTAGTATATCAAGATTTTGCCATTATCTATTAGAAGTCACATAGATCTATCTCATTGCGCCCATAAGTCATAATACTAATATGACTCTATATATTACAGTATTATGTACTCAGAAAGTTTTTGACAAGCAAGTTTTTACTGTTACTGTGATTCAGTTTCATATTACTTTCAATTATGCAATTCTAAATTATTATGAAATTTCATGCCTTGTATAGTCCTAAATACAGAATAGTCTCCACATACCACTGACACTTGTTGTGAGACGTGATGTATGAGGCAGCAAAATACTTCTCATGTATATAATCGCATTACCCTCTATCTTGCAACTTCTGTTATACTGAAGCAAAATATTCCCACTGGGTAAAATTGTTATTTATCTGAAGCCCAAGTTTAGTATAGGTAATTAGCTCACATTTTCCAAATTTTATAGCGCGCTTGGCCTTTCATGATGTTATTGTAGTTACCATTCTACTGTATCCATTACATATTCAATATTTTCCCGTCCTTCACTGCATTTAAATATGCCAGGCCTATTTAAAATGATCTCTTTCTAAATTATTCCCACTGATTTACATGACGCCTCAACAATTAATATGCATGCCAAAGTATTGTATTAAAAACAAAACTACAGTACTCAACTGCGTTGGCTTCGTAGAGGAAAAGGAAGAAGTGACTCATAGGTTGGTGCTCATCTACTACCACACAGTATATTATTAGCTGATGCTACTTCCTTTTCTTTCATGGCTGATGCTATGATTATCCTCATAGTTCACGACAGTAATTGTGGGAAATGAAGTGCGTGCTGTGAGGAAAATGAGAATGCGCAATTGAGGGTTTTCAGTCAAGCTTACATGGAATGCCATTATGAAGTGAAGCTTTATTGTACTTATATTCTAACTACACGATCATTCACTGCTAATCTCATTGACAGTGACTCTTTATACAAAGCACATGTACTGAACTCATTTTGCTGAGGCATTTTTATTTCAATGTATATTATTTACACAAGTGCAATTGGTGATTATGAAACGAAAGCAGAAAATAAAAATCGAAGAAATAAATAGTATACAATAAATGATTGTTTGCCAATCTATTGAGATTGAACACATATTGACAATGACTCAAAATAAGATATCTCATTGAAATATCTGACATGTCATAATAAGGCACCATTAGCACTGTACATATAATATAACAAATTGATAGAAGTAAAATGTACATGTGCCACAAAGTATTTAAAGACAACAATAATGACAAATGATAAAATATAGTTTTATTTTTGAAATAGGTTTGCAATACAATGTTTTCTCTGAACTAAAAAAATATTTGGCAAGTTCAAAACTTGAAACAATTCAATATATAAATAGTATGATGGCACTTTACTGTTATTTTGCTATTTTGGCTGCCCATTTTTTCTGTAATTCACTGAAGTCCCTTTGAACTTGGAAGGTTCTGAAAGATTTTGAAACGTTTGGCTGCTTCGGAATTTTGGTATTCTTGTTGGTGACATTGAGTCCTTTGGTGTTACCTAAAAATACAGATCACATGAGGGCATCCAAGTTTTCATTTTCTCATTTGCGTAAGATTATATTGTGTTTGGAACATAAAACTTGACTAATCATATCACATTCACATACAGCATGCATCTTGTTATTCTAGTTCCTTTAAAAGGGAAAATATTGTGACAAGTTTCTATCTATTAAATTGGTTCTTCAGTAATTGATTTAAATTTTTTCTCAAATAATACTGAATAAAATTACTAAATAAAAGTGAGTTCAAAAAATGTGCATGGACTACAAACACCGTATATTATTCTCTAATCCAAGAGATATTTTGGAATAAATTTGTATTTGAAAAATTTCTTAATTTCACAAGTTGTTGTTATTATCACCAGTATCAATGGTACTTACAACTTAGAGTCATATTAATATTTATTATTTGAAACTTCCCTAATGCTGTCATATTAACATGTGTGCTACATTTGCTTGAACATATTGTTTATTGTTTGCATTCAATGATTACTTCCGTTAATGCTAAGATATTACAATCTGAGCTACATTTACACACCCTTATAAATATTACTCAGTGTTTCAATTGACTATTTTATCTGTTTAGCATTGGGTTATTGAGATGTGTTGTAGCAAGCTACTTACTTTTCCAATATCGCTCAATAAAAATTGTATGTAATAAAATAAAAAAGCAATATTTGGCTGTATGACATAAAAGGATTTACGGTAATGATAATGACAATATGTATATATAACACATGCAAAGTACATGCAAGATGACAAACAAGAGTAATACTAAGGATTTTGACAATCAAATAATAATAGTAAGTAGTAAACATGGACTTTTGTACGAAACGTTGATTGGTGACAGTGGTCTAAATACCTGCTTCCCGCTTTCTCTTGTTTTAGATAGATTTCTTGATCTAATAATTTTTGGTGAAGATGGTATTGAACTTTTTGATTTGGTTTGAACTTGTTTGTATTTTGCTGCATCTTGTTGGGTGAATGTAAAATGATTTTAGCAACACGCAATGCTTTTGCCCGACTAATTCTGTCATATGGCCAAGCAATGATATGTACCACACACAATGTGCTTTGTCATCCTGACTTGGGCTAAAATAGTATGATGCTACCTATCTTTCATAGTATCAATCAATGATCAAAAAATCGAATTATTCACTCAGCGTTTAGCACAGGATCAAATTTAAAAAATATGTTGTTATCTATAGGTTAAACCCAAACTTCCATGCAAGCTAATCTGTGGCATATATACATACTTGTAGGTTTGCTTGTTGGCTCAGCTATTGATGCGATATTTTCATTGGCAGTTGTTTTAACTGGTGCTCCAGTATCCACATCTTTTTTAGCTTTCATGGTTGTAGTGTTTTTGCTGTGCTCGGATTTTATGGATGAGACATCCTGTAATGATTTGTTTTCCACTGGTGTTGGAGGGATCTCTGCTTTAAGTTGCGAAGGTGGTGGTTTCTTTGTAACACGAAAATTTACTGGGGCCACTTTACTACTTCTTGTCAAAGATGATACAGGTGATATTGGTGGCCTGCTGTTCATCTATGAAAATATAAATATATCTAAAGTTAAACTATAACATGAAAGACCCCACTTTAAATGATTTTGCAAACAGTTGCAGATTGCTTTGTTTTTATTTGTGACTCAAGCATCATACCTCTCATAAATTAAAATGAATCTTTTGAGAGGCAGGCTCTCTAATAGATTTAAGATGTTAAACACCCCATGAAAAAGTACTGTTCTTACTTTTGTGATTGAAAATGCTGGTTTGCTCTGTGAAATGTCGGACCCAACAAACACTTTTGCAGTGGGTAATTTTGCAGTAGTTTGCGCTCTCCTAAGAGAGTTGGATTTGACAGTGTCTTGAGTTGGGGCGACAGACTTCTGATTTTCAATTTCTTGTTTTTTATCTGATGATGTCCTGTCTTCCGTTTGTGTGCATACTGCTGTGACTGATATGCCCTTCAGGTTACAATTATTGTTGGTTTGTTTGAATTTTGATAAGTCCTTCTTCAGATCTTCACAGGCTTTTGATTTTATCTGTGGTATTAATTATGTATCGAAAGAGGTGCCAGTGATTGTATATTATGCTAATTTCCTACTCATTTTTAAAGGCGTGACTTTTATGGATATTCAATATTCTAATAACGGCTCAAGCATATATATATATGGTTTGTATACTTACAAGCAGTTGCTTTGTTAATTCCTCACATCTCTCCTCTGTTTCATGTAATTTGTGTACCATGTCCACAAGGTCGAAAGATGTGTCATGTACAGCCTAAGAAGTACCATGAATTTAAATAGTAGTCATATCAATGGCAATTTAATTGTTTAATAATGAAAAGTGTCATTTGCAAGCTTCCAACAACCATTATTGAAGTCATCTTTTAGTACGTGATCATAGAAACGTCTTGGGAATAAATTCTATCCGAAATATTTATGAAAACATTTTCACCTTCTTCTGTTTTGGAGCCGGAGCTTCTCTCAACAATGTTATTTTTTTCTCTTTTTCTTCATTTTCAATTTCTAGCTCATCAAGTCGTGTTTTTAACATGATAACTTGTCGTCTCAGTCTATCATTTGCTTCTTCTGCTTGTGATTGTTTCTAAACGAATATTCAAAAAAATGTTGCTTTCTATCTATTAGAAGAATTCTTAACAGTGTTAACACTCAAAGTGCATCAGCTTCACATCATTCTTACAGTAATCCCATGTCACTTAGTATTACTTTATAGTAATCTACAAAATTGTATCCAAAGTTAAAATGCCAGGTTAATAAAATCAGTTAATATCATGTCAGGGAATACAAGAAATATTTGCTTTATTGACTTGTGACACAAGTCACAAAAACTACGGAAAATTGTGATTTGTATGTTTCACGTAAGTGAGCAATTATGACAAAGAACATTGTAAAGGTATTTTCCAATGCATTCCCTCACCTTTGATGACATTTGTTTTAATTTTTCTTCTGCTTCTTTCAACTTGTCTTGTATTAGGACAAATTGACTTGAAAATTTCATCTTTTCTTGGCCAAGCTCCTCTCTCAACTTCAGCACCTTTTTGCTTTCGTTGATAAACTTTTCAGTAATTTCTGTTACCTGGAAATGATGAATTCAATAAATGATAATATCTGAGCAAGCCAGCTTTGTCATAATTGTGTTGCTTCTATATTCATTTTTCTCTGGCCACGTTTACTTAATTTCTTGAAAACTAGTGTCCATATTTAATTCCATACAGATATTATATGATTTAAGCTTGTGTGTATCATCACTTTGTAGTGAATTTACGCTTTCAATACATTTATCTCATAAACAGCTCTCGAACCACAAACCTTTTCCTTGTCTGCTTTGCCCTCATTCTTAAACTGCAAATTCTTTTCAATCAGGAATTTGACTTGGTCATCCACACATTTTTTATCCCCCTGGAGCAGGATTATTTTCTCTTTCATTTTCTTCATTTTCTCTTCACTTTCTTGCATGATACTCTCATATTGGTCCAGATCAGTCATTCTTGCTTTCATTTTCTGGGAGAAGAATAAAAAAAATTCTGTCAACTGTCGGCTGTGTAAGTATTGGGCAGCAAATTAGAAGATGATTCCTTAGTGAGCAAAATCTTTCTTCAACAAAGTTGTATTTAGCAGATATAGTAGTTGAATATTTTTTGACAATATCATAGTTAGTATCAACCAATATAACAGGCTAGTTTTTGGCTTGGGTATTTGAAAGATAAAGGGGGAAAGCATATATCAAGCTAGTATGAATTTGGCCTTTGAAAGGAACATGCTGTGGTGTCATTCTTATAAGTTATAAATGCTTGTAGCACAAAGTCGAAAAATCTTTATAACACATATTGGCAGAATTAAAGATTAATAATCCTTATTGTCAGTGTTTTACCTGCAAGTGCTGCTTCATATCATTTGATTTCCTTTTCTCAAAATCAAATTTCAACTGCAATTCATCAAATCTAAAATCAGTGTCTTCAATACTTCTTTGGAGATCTTTTTGTACTTTAACTTGCGCTTGCAAGGTTTTTAGCTGGGATCGCAAACTTCTAGTAAGTGTTACTTCTTCTTCTAACTTTATGCGAATATCCTTGCAGTCTTCTTGGGCCTGAAATTAAGAGTAATGTAAGCTATATAGTAGTACACTGACTCTCAATTTAAAAACCTCGGTTTTACTGAAAACAAAAGATTTAGTGTGTAAAATACGTGACACAAGTATTTGCTACCTGTTTTGCCTAAAAGCAATTAGTAGATTGTTTACTCACACACAATGAACAAATAATTGGAAATAATATCGATTTAGTGATCAATCTTTTAGTGACTTATCATTCAAAAAATTTATCATATATAAAGAGATTTAATCAACATAAAATATACAAGCAATGTAGGTACCTGAGTGTATATCATTTCACCTTCTTCCATGTCTTTGACTCTTTGCCTAAGAAGCTCGACTTCCTCTAACAGTAACTCATGTTCCTCATCTTTTTCCAATTTTTCATGAATCCTCCAAAGCTGATCATCTGTTTTTTGTAGATTTCTCTGAACTGTTTTCAGTTTTTTCAATTGTACTGTAAGAGCATTCACCTGAAAAGGAACAAAATGTAACCATTCGTCCCAATCCTATTCTTTAGAAATTCAACATGGTGTTCATCCTGAATGGTGATGATCTATTTTGGTTTATGACAGTTTGTCCGAGCTAATGTACGCAGGTGCTTTATGATCCATTGTAATTTTTTTTCTGTAATTCAATGATATTTACAGGTTTCTTATTTTCTTCGCTAGGTAAATAACTAACAATTACCTTTTCCTCTAGTTGAAGGTTCTTCTGTTTCTCTTCCTCTAACTTGGCATTGATATCTTCCTGACTTTCGAAAAATTTGTTACTCTGAGTTTCAAGGTCATTTTCCAGTTGTATAGCATGCTCTCTCTCAGCATTTATGTCTGTCTCGGATTCTTTGCACTGGAATATGTTGTTGCCAGATCAGGTCAAAAGTATACGAGTATCCTAGGTAAAGCTAGTGTTTAATTGGATGAGATTTCCTTTACCATTTCTTGTTTCACAATAAATAAATCATCTGTTCAAACAGTCTGAAAACATATTGCTATTCGTATTATGCAATACCTTTATTTCTGATTCTTTGAGTCGTCTCTCTAAATCTGTTATTTGTTTTTTGTGTTCTGCTAGTTCGGAGACTTGGTGTTGTCGTTCCTCCACAAGTACCAGTGAAAGTGATTTTAACTTTGCCAATTCATCCTGTGTAGGTGTAAACAATCAACAAACTTTGTGATTCGGGTGTATTATTTGTGATTAAAATATAGAATAAGTGTAATAGGATCATCAACGTTAAAGGCATCAAACTTGTACATGCAATCATTGTTAAGGCATTAGTGTATTATTGGAATATTGTTATTGGAATCTGAACTGTTTCAATCTGCGTCTTGTTTTATTAATTTATGACCCACAAGTTTGCTGGATGATGAAGATGTTCAAATATTAAAAAGTGCATGTATTCCTTTCGTACCTTGTTTGACTTCAATTTGCGACTAGCTTCAATTTCTCTGTTTTCAGATATTTCTTTTTCTTTGTCAAGAGCAATTTTAAGTCGTTCTCTTTCTTCCTCTGTAAATACAAAATGAAATTTTGTGAGAATTGTCTTCACTGTTCAATCCACTCAGCTTCTGAAGTACATAATTTTCTAATAATTTACCTAGTAAGTTTACAAAGTCATCAGATTTGATCATATAATCTTGGTGTTTCTTTTTCTCATCAGTTATCTCAACTGCTAACCGTTGGTTTGCTTGTTCAGCTGCAAGAAGCGCTTGTTTTAGTTTTTTATACGAGTCCTTTTGATGCTGAAATGTTAAAAAGGATGATCAGCTAATGTATTTTACCAATAGTACATAAAATGCATAAAACCTAACATACTTTATATCATACATACGGCCCAAAAAGTGTTCCAATCATTTTGCTAGGCGAAATGTCTAAGCATTGGCACACACTCACTATTGCACCTTTGTTTAACCTTTCGTGTGATCTCATTTTTGAGGTTTATACCATGCTAGAGTAACTTGACTGATTGAAATCGTTGGATAGTTTCATAACTAATGGTGGCTTACTGCTTCTTCATTTATATACGATGCATATTAAACAGAAGAGATTTTTCCATGATGGCCTCAATAACATGAACACAGTTCTGGGTTTTATTCTCTGATTATTTTTTTATATTTTATGATTACTCTCACCAGTATAATTATTTTATTTTATGTAAGCTACCTGTATTATCTTCTGAAGATTCTCTTTTGTTTGTTCTGCAACATGATCGTTTGTAGTTGCATCTAGTGATGCTGCATCTCTTTGTAACGCTTGAAGAGGCATGTTACTTAGACCATATCTGTGAATAAACCATCATTTGAATAAATACTTCATCTCAATTTTTATAAGCGACTTGAAAATGACATAGAAATTTGCAATAAGTGATACATCAGTGATGTCGGCTCGAAAATATAAGTCAAGATTAAATGATCTTATATCAGATATACTATATTATCTGACATACTTTACAATATGCTCAATATGAATGAGCATAATTGCTCAAATTTTCAGACTTTTCATCAACGTAATTAATTATAGTACTGTATTTGTAACCTTCTCTAGCAATAAATGTTACTATTGTAGTTGCCCCTTCACTTTCTCCTAAATATAAACTTCCTAACTACCCCTACCACTTCAAGCATTGTGTAAACGGATGGAATATCGGCCATCTGGTTTGAAAGGCAGTCACATAAATATTTCTTATGTTCTTGATATGTCCCAAGAGGTTTTCTTACGACGTCGCATGGGATAACTGACATTCCATGCCAAGAAAGATTTATCAACCTAATAAAATTTTCTAATTAATTTTTGATGAAAATTTGTACACTTGAAAAATTATTCCATCACCCATTACTCATACACAAATAAGTCATGATAAGAAAGGAATTTATGATCTGATATCTATAACGCTTGGTCGCAAAGTACAACTTCTAAGCAAAAAGCAGGTGCATGCTATTGTCAACAAAGGCGGCACAATATTTTTCATGTTCATATAGCTTTTTTTCAATCGTTATTGTGTGTTTAACGGGAATAGTTTATTATAGTAAGATGCTTTGAATGTTGGGTCGTTCTTTTCCTCGACACAATACACAACTTATGAATATAGATTTGAAAATAAATATAATGTGATCGGTTTGAATTACTTATCAGGTTTTGTAAAATCCCTGTTTGTTTTTGACCATTCGATTATGTTTGTATCTTTTGCGTTCATTTTGGTACGTGGCATTTTGGTAATAATGAATTTTATATCTGTCAGATGTGATTGTCGTAACATTATAAAACAGCCGCAAGATTTACCTTTCTTGTATTGCTGGATTGTTTGGTCTTTCTGATTTTAATATTTCAATAACTTCATCTCGTGCTTGCAGTTCTCCTTCGAATACGCTCAGAAGTTTCAGCAACTCTTCTCTGCTCAAATTAATATTAGGTTCGGGAACAGAGGTTGATGGAGGCATGTTTGAGTTCAAAGCACTTGTCATTACTTCTTGCCTTACACCGTTCAGAGTACCCGATCGACCATTACCCGGCGGTTGTCTTCCTGTAATGTAGTTACGTTAGTAATTAGAGTAAAATGTTAAGACGTTACAGATACTGCATTCGTGATATTTAATACTTGGTATATTGTATATATACTCTGGCTGTTTGGTAATGGAAGATAAATTGATTTTGGAAAGTAGCATCGCGATTTTGTTCCTTCATTTATTTGGGATCGAATCTAAACAGAGTTTCCCATTTTTTTGTTAGTATCCTGTTTACTATAACTATCATCGCCGATAAAATTGGGCATTTTAATTTTCATCACTTTATATTCACCCGCACTTCTGAATGGTTTCTTCAAATTGTAAACAAACATCAATCATTTCATATCGCCGAATGTCTCAATAATTTGGAATACACGTAATGATACTAAATCAGATATTTCGAATTTGTCTGCCCGTTTCCTACGAAAGCTGGTCTTTGTAACCCAATAGAGGGCGAAAGGACTGGGACTAATTAAATTTCTAATTACTACTACATATTGCAAACTATGGTCTTAGTTATATACCACGTCTCATGCGATTTGATAAGAGAAAGTTAGTTATATAAGCAGCTAAGACCCCGTGGGATTACAGTCATATCAACTTTTGAGCTATGAATGTGACATCACCGCTATTATAGCTTTTGACATTTCGTCTGTTTTATCCTGATAATCTATAGAAAGAGGTCACTGTGTTGAATTTATATGGGTCATTATAGCTAAGAAGTTGCTTTTTTACCATCCGCCAAATTGTGTTGTCTGGGAAAACTTATAGATCCAGTTTTTATACACTTTATGGTTCTTATTTGTATGAACCTCCCACCAGTGCTACAGTGGCGAAAGTTTTTATGACGTAAGAACTGCAAATAATTTGTACTGGTACGTCAAAGAAATTGGTAAAAATGATCCATAGCAGCATAAACACGATTTGCCCCGTTATACCAAAAATACTTACAGTTCTCACTATCGCGAATCCTCGAGGGAATGTGCTGTTGCAAGAATTGGGGCCATTGCTATGCTTTAAACTCACGCCGATCTTTCAGCTATTTGGGATCGATAATATTGTAACATAAACACACCACCAAATTTCACCAGGTTTCCAACTTTTGCATATTTCTACTGTGAAACTTCTCGGGATAATATCATCCAGAGTAGAAGTAAGCTAATTTATAAATTACCAAGATAGACTTGGTTTTAAAACTCAATATATATACTGTACGTTTATAAACCTTATCAGTGACGTGACTTTAATCGATTCCCATACCGATCATGCAAAGTCAATTTACGACTATGGTTGTAGAGTAAGAGTGAAGTAACGTCTGAACTTCCAATTGTGGGTTGACCGAAATTTTGTATCCGGAATTAAAATAATTGACTTTCAACCCTGATGCGGAAAATACTGTTTAGGCCATGATAATCCGTAGGTTTTATGTGCTTTTTGGTTTCATCCTGAAATTCAGACTCCACAGTGTTCAAGATTTTGACGTCGAATCACAACTCATTGATATTCGAAAATATTCATTCTCTGTTCTAATTACCGACAGAAAACCGTTAAACTCCGACGCTATAGCCCTTTGTACCGTAAATAAGTTTATAATAAACGTAATACAGAGGGGATGGGTTCGTACCTGTTACGTTACTTCTGTGTCTGTTTTTCTTCACTGTCCCTGTACCATCCACAGGATGTCTATGCGCTTGATATATCGATGGACTCTGAAAAACAAATAAATCGACTACATATATTTTTTATCGAGCATATTGCTACAATCAAGCTACAAGCGCACCAAATTGCGCTCCACGTCTGTTTGACAAAAGTTCATTAAACTCTGAATAACCGTAAATTATATTATAGGAATCAATAATTCCTATTTTTTATATCGTAGGATAAAATGAAGTCCTAATTTAAAATCAGTAAAATGCGATGGTTCCATCACATTTGAACCCACGTACATTTGAACCCGTAATTTGAACTCACGACAATTGCACCTATGGAATTTTTTTTTACCGATATTTGAACCCATACTAACCCTAACCCATGGATTTTAGCACCCTCACATAGATTGATACCGCGGATATACGGGTGCAAATGTACGGTCACCAAATGCGATATTTTATCAGTAATCCGATTGGTATCAAATAATACAAGATGTAGATGCCTTCTTCTTGATTACAATCTAAAGAATATTCTTTTCGACAGATAAATATTTCAAGGGTTCATAATTCAATATTCCTACCACAAAATCCAACTGGACGTTATATTTATTTTCAACCATCTTGACCGAAGCGTATTTTCTTTTGTTACTTTGTACAAAATATCAAATATATGAATCCGGTTTAATCCTGTATTAAGTTCTTATTCCTATCTAATTATGGTAACATCCTGCTTTGTATGCATGAAAAGTTGTAACAAATAAAAAAAGAAGTCAATGATTAAGTACACTATTCGGTAATATGACACTTATTTAATTGTCATATTTGTTCAAAATTTCTTTAATCTCTCGCTTATAATTACTCCGCTTATTATTATTCTATTTCATCCCAAACGCCTGTCCATGATATATGTGAAATGAACTTCTTGAATTTAGTTTTATTGATATTTGTTGACGACACATCCAAAATTTACAAAACTAAGTCTATAGCGCTTTTCACTCTCACGCTTACACAAATTGGTTGGTAACGGACTCCGATGACAACATGGTCGTATCGTTACTACCAGATTTCCCTACACTCCCCCTTAAAATTTCCAGCACCCGCCTAATTTTCAGGTGTGACACCATACTTTAATTGAACGTAACGGAACGTAAATAAAAATGTATTTGAATATTCAAAAAGGGGCTCATATGCCGGTGAAGTTTATCAGTCGAACGCATTTTATAAGTTACAAATAGTTACATCACTAATTCCAAAATATCTACCACCGCCTAAATTTGAAAACACACCCCCTAACCTCCCCCCCTCCCTGAAATAAAAAGCTGGGGGACATACTGGTTACCACCTGGTCCACATTGACAATTTGCTTTCAATCATCTTTTTTTTTTTGCTTAAAAAATTATCACTTCAGCTCTTTTCGTTTTCTGCTTGAAAGCAAATGACCTCTTTCTTCCTCTATTAATTAACTCAAACTTGACCCACTCATCGCGACTTATAAGTTTTATCTAAGTTCTACATTGTAGATTTGTTTGCATTTTGGCAGCCTATAAGGAAACTCTGTTTCTTTAAGAATGTGCGGTCACGTATCCTCCAAAATACTCTACTCGTCATCGATGCCTTGCCGCGGCGCATTCCATTTAGATTCCTTATGCTCCGTGGCTTACTCCTATTTCTCTAATGATCGTTTATTGAACTTCCTAATGCTCGCTTGTTCGTGGCGTAACAGGCAAGTTTATTATTGGAACCCACCTCGACGGCCAACAACTAACAACTGCGCCACACGACACTCTCGCGCTTGAGATATCCCATTCCCAAATACACTGCCTACCAAGCCGCCAATGTTAACTGTTATCGTACGATAAGACTATAAACCTACTTGCCCACAGATTTATAAATAAAATTCGTTTACGCCGGGTCATGCAAGATTAAGAATGGATATTAGCTTGATTTATGAGTGATTCACACATGATATAATGATCGTTTATTGACGGAGAATCAATCGTTTTCGACTTGCATGTTTATTATCAAGAAATGACAGGGCTTAATATGAGTTGAATATAGATTACCAATAAATCACTTAAGGCGCCGTGACTTCATTTGCAAAGTTGTTGTATCGAGTAGCAGAGTTAATACGAAATCCACGTTTATTATTTAATTGCTGAAAATGTCTTTTTGTAAAATATTTTCCCAAACGCGATGTCGCCGCCTCTTTTTCTTACTCAGTCCATATCTTTGTGTTATAGAAGCATAACCCACTGGTGGTTCCCAATCTTTTTTGAAATAATCCTCGCCTATTTTGAATCCTCCCTCAGAATGCATGAAAACTGAGTTACCATTTATTGATCCGTTTAAATGGATCATTTGCTAGTGATATGCGCAACTCGCACTCTGACTTTATACACTTTGATAGTTTGAAATCGTTATCCATACATATCTGTATAATGTATTATTGTAAAACTAAACAATTGAACGATATAAGCAATACAACACACAAATACATAGTAAAATTTCTTCCACGGAACAATAACATTCCTCAATGGAAAAAATACATTCTCTGTTGGGTAACGCTGCCATATACATTTGTCTAAAATAAACGGGGCTCCAGAAGTGTGTTTATCAATATGGAGGTAACTACTTTTTATCGAGCGTACTTTACATCAAGTTGTGTAAAGGGACTGAACCTATGAGCAGGGGGATATTCACTTGGCTAACACAGACAGTCCCCGGACTCGTAATAGAACTGAAATAAGGGGAATCGGAATAAAATTATGGCCTAACCCTAATCTGGTACACACACTACGGGAGTACCGGATAAACTACTTTTTGACAAAATACCCACAGTAACATTCCTTATGCAAATAAAACTCTCTTCTTCAAAATATTTAATTATACGTTATTTAATTTAGCCGCTTGCTTGCATTTAGTATGTTTTTGCTGGTAGATAAATTGAACGGCTCGATCACAAAAAAGCACCAAACATCATTCCGCGAACAATCATTTTATTCGTTGACAGTTTTGACCCTAATATTCATGTTTCCTGTCTCAAATTGGCCTCCGTTGTTTACAACATTTGAATGCTTTTACGACCTCCACGCAATGAATAAATAATTCTTGTGAAGTCGAAACTACAAATGAATGCCACATGCTATGTTTATTACTATTTTCATGTGTTAAGTAATGAGAGCTTTGCCAGCGGGATTCTAGTTCTTCCCCCTTTTAACTGCTTTGCAGTGAAAAAAGTCCGCATATTTTACTATCGTAAGCTAGTAAATGGGCGCTCCAGAACTGCGTGTGTGTACCAATATAGAGGTAACTAATTTTGTTCGCCTACTTTACATCAAGTTGTAAGGGACTGAAGAAGCCTATGGGCAGGGGTATATGCACTTGGTTAACACAGACAGTCACCGAACTCGTAATAGAACTAAAATAAGAAAAATCGGAATAAACATAATATGGCCTAACCTTAACCTGGTACACACACTACGAGAGTACCAGTAAATGTGGACTACGGCTACATGCTAAGGGAATCGCTAAAAATGATGAATGTGTTGCTTTCATCCCTTTCTCTCCAAACATGGCTCCGGGTAATACTTATGCACTAGCATTTCTATTGTTAAATTCAATGCTCTGTGTTCTACTGAATTTGACAATATAATTACTGTACATCGATAGCAGCTTTACATGGACAACTATTGTTTCTCTGCCTTGTCTTTTCCGATTTACGTAAGTACGAGGGAAAAAAGTCAAAAAACAATGCAAAGTTTGTAACTCTGAATACTAAAATAAATTTTCAAATGAATATTTACCGAAATGAATCTATTTTATCTATGTCGAAGTATAAAATATAATCGGATGTAAGTGATTCGAACGTCCTTTCTATTAATTTAATGGCGCTCCAGAACTATGTGTACCAATATGGAGGTAACTACTTTTGTTCGCCTATTTCACATCAAGTTGTGTAAAGGGACTGAAAGCTATGAACGGGGGGATATTCACTTGGCCAACACAGACAGTCCCCGAACTCGTAATAGAACTAAAATAAGGAAAATCGGAATAAAATTATGACCTAACCCTTACCTGGTACACATACTTCGGAAGTACAAATTTATTTTATGTAAACAACCATGCGCATTAGTGTATAACAGTGTTTCTCGAAATGTTCCTTCGAGGAAACCTTCACCGGATACCACTTTCCGTTATTTATAGTAAATTGACTGCAATTCGCTTTTTTTTTACTGTAATGTATACATTTTTTCGCCTTCGTTTGGTGGCTTTTTTAATTTTTAAACGTGGTCACTGGCTGTTACAATAACTGACGGAAACGCGTTGAACGCAAAACTAGAGATTTTTATAAAAGAGCAGTGGAAAAGGACTACATATAATGAAAGTTTGAGAACCACCATAATTAACCAAGTCCAAATTTCTTAGTTCATTTCATTCTTGCTATTTTAAGGCCTATTTCCTCAGTGTCACCCTATCGTATTAAGAATTAGCAGAGTATTCCATTCGGTATCATATTTACAAATTATTTAATAATTCATGTATTTAGCATTCCACTTACGTTCGCATTGCGTGGTCGTGTGCTCTACTCAGTCATGATGCCAAAAATGACATACGGTCGTAGATGGATGAACGCAAAAAAGTATTTATTTACTTTTGTATACGTATAATGTATTTTCAGGCGTATAAGGGAAGCATTATGATTTCTCTCAAAAACGCAATCTTTTCGTTTAATTACTCTGTTTACAAAATGACACATATATATATACACACAGAGAGAGAGAAAGAGTATGGGGCCCGGAACTGAACCCTGCATTACACCAACACAACAACGCCTAGCGCCCGCAAATAACATATTATATCGCATAACATTTTTGATGTTCTCAAATTCTGGAAAGCAATACTAGTTTCTATCAACGATTACTAATTCCATTCAAACAACCTCCTTGTTATATACATACAATAATATACTAAGATTTTTACACAATACCAGCCTACTTTTCTTGCACAATACTGACGCACCAAAGGCAATGGATAGTATCAACGCAGTGGGTTTTGTCCCATCCTAGCGCCCTTGGAGGCTATTATAGAGTCGTATGTTTCATTGTGATGTCAGTTTTTGTAATATAACTTCACATTTGCAACTGCAAGAGAAACTAAGACATTCTTTTTGGTAGGCCTGTCTTGACATAATAACTGCATATCTATTTTAAATATTGCGCCCCCCAACTCGATAAAAACCTATCCCTCGGTTTAATTTTCATCAAAATTCTATTCCCATATGAAATTTATTTCCCTCCTTGTCTACCTATTACAATATCACTCAGACAGACTAATGCAATACAACCTCGACCTTGAAGCATTAGACGTCCTTCCCTACGGATTTATCATGCTGTCAATTGCATTAATTATGCATGCATTTTCGACGCCAGATTTATTTACAACCCCTAACGATACTTGCACTTGCTTCGGCATTTCTTAATTGGCCGAAATGGAATATGTTTCTAAAACTGTACAGTTGTAAGTATGTACGATTTATCATATTTTTTTTTAAATAAAAGGCCGAACTACTCGCCTTTCGCGCTTGTGATTAATCAAGAAAGGTTTTAGCCCAAGATCACTAAAAACTTATTCTTTTTCGAGGTGAATTTGACACAATGTAATGCTTTTTTCATTTAGGCTGGAAACTTTTAAACACAAACAACGCTTTACGTGAACATTGTACTTGGTTGGCTGCACACGTCTTGTGAGCTACCCTGAAAATCAAAACCTCCTGTCAAATGGCATCCCGATATATCTTCTACGGATTCATTCAAATGTCGATTGGAACTATATAACCAACCCCTATACTCACTCAA